TCAGCAGAAGCAGAATATATCGCACTCTGCTCAGCCACCAAGGAGGGACTTTACCTTCGCGAACTACTGGAAGAAGCGAAACTAGCCGAGTTACCCAGCTTCACCGTGTTCTGCGACAACCAATCGGCAATTCGCATCGCCAACAAAAACGGCTTCGCAAACAGGACGAAACACATCGCCCTGCGCTATTTCTTCGTGAAGGACGAGATAGAAAAAGGGAAACTCGATCTGTCATACTGCCCAACATCCGAGATGGCAGCCGATTACTTGACCAAGAAACTCGGAAAGCAGAAGTTCGAATACTGCATGATGCTGACTGGACAAGGCCACGTCACCAGCAGCGACACTCCAGAAGCGAAGGGGAGTGTTGGAAACAATAAGTCCTAAGTGCGCTTCTGTCGTATCAAAACCCAAGGCACCAAGCGAAGCAGTCCCAATCGAAGCATCGAGTCAACCTCGGAGGTTAGGGTAACCGCCTGGAGGTTACGAGAAAGTCAAAGGTCGCTGACCTTTGACTCGACAATCACAGCGCGACAGTTAAGGACACACAACTGACTCGTTACAGAGCAGTTGCCCGAGTCGCACTGTATCGAACCGCAACAGCAATACAGTTATCTACCTATCTATTCGTATTCCCTGTACTCTTATATAAATCCTTGTATTTGCTTGTTTAATTCAATCTACTTTGCTCTCACACACCAGTGCAAGGTCGGTTCACAATCCTCATCAAACGCTTCCGCTATTACAAGTTTTCTACCCAAGAGTTCTCCTCTGCAAAGATCCTAAGGGCTATTTTCTCAGCCCAACAGGGATGGGGGGGGAAGAGGAGTGGGAGGTGGTTTAAAACACGATGGCAAGAAAAGCAGCCACAGGTCAGTTTTAAGGTGCGAAGATGGGATACAGCTCAAGATGGGATACATCTCAAGATGGGATACAGCTCAAGATGGGATACAACTCAAGATGGAATACAGCTCAAGATGGGATACAGCTCAAGATGGGATACAGCTCAAGATGGAGGGAATAAATCCGGGATTTTAATTTCGAGTGGCCCAATAGAGAGTCGACATACTGGTATGGTTGTAAACACACTGGCATCGACGAGGAGAAAGAGTTGATTTTTTTAGTCGACTCAAAAGTCAACTCGGGACACGAAAGTACGTCGACATACCGGTATGGTTGTAAACACACTGGCAGCGAGGAGGAGAGAGAGGAGGGCGGAGAGGGAGACGGAAACGGAACCCCATTGGAGCAGAATGATGCCGGCAGCAGCTCCAGCGTCGTCAAGGCTGGCGGTTACCAGCACGCACACTGAGTCCCCAAAGTAAAGGTAGGCGAATCCACCCATGGTGGCATAGCTGGTGGAACGAGTGAAAGAGGATTGCGAAAGGGGAAAGAATGAAGCAAGTGGAAATTCTTGCAGAACGAGGTGCGACCAGGCAACAGCTCTAGCGTCGCCCAGGCTAGCGGTTACCAGCACGCGCACGGAGTCTCCAAACTTCCGAGCTCTTTGCACTGGTAAGCAGTTACTCTACTGTGTATGGGGTATATTTAGGTCGACGAGCTAGTTCTAAAATATATCATTTTGCTGCAGGTGAGAAGGGCATTGGAAAGAGCGGCAAGCCCCTACACTTCAAGGGCTCCAAGTTCCTCAGTTCATGCTGCAGGTACGTATCATATATCACGAGTGCTTTATCCCTTAAAAGTCGCTATGTCTCACGTCGATTTGCTGAATCACGGCTCGCTTTGCAGGGCGCTAACTTCACTCTTGGGGATGGTCGCGGTGGCGAGTCCATCTATGGCGAGAAATTCGCTGACGAGAACTTCAAGCTGAAGCACACTGGCCCTGGTATGTCCCGCGTCACACAGCCCACACAGCCAATTCTTCACCCATAGCCCTCTTTGCTGCTCACTCGTTGCTATTGGCATGCTCTCGCCTTCCACCTCTCGTCAATCTTCATTCACCCCATGTGAGTGACTCACGATTCAGAAAAAGGTCGGCAAAGATAATAACAAAAACACTTTCAAGATAGCCACGTGATCCTATTTGAACAACCACATACTGGATGCCTTTTGAACATTGTTTCCCTTTACTCCCGCCTGTGCCCCACCTGATACCAGGCATTGTTAGCATGGCCAATGCTGGTCCCAACACCAACGGCTCCCAGTTCTTTATTTGCACTGTCAAGACCAGCTGGTGAGTGCCGAGCCCACCTGATTCTTCATGTGTTGTTTTGGAAATTGGTGTTAGAATTTATATGTAACTGCCTGTAGCTGTAGTTTAGTGTAGTTATTATAAACTGTTGGTGGTGCACCTTCTTTGTATGCTCTGTTTACTATATGTACCCTAGTGCTATAGTGAACACCACCTTTTCCCATTCTCGTCTCTCACCTTGGCACAACCTTCTCGACTTCCCCTTGGCTTAGGCTACTTAGCCTATGCCCTACCTAAAACTTAAACTACCACTTATGCTAGTATCTCAACATGGAATCAGATACTGTTAAGTCCAGGCCTGTGGGCCCGCCTCACGCTTCTGCTGCTGTTTTTCCGGTCGCGCGCCTCGGGCGCGTGGCGATTTTCGTCCTGTCCCGCCCCCGGGTGGCGAGATATATCTTTTCTGCCCGTCGCACGCCCCGTGGCATGCGACGGTGCCCTGCCCGTCGTGTGCCCCGTGGCACGCGACGGTGCCCTGCCCGTCGTGCGCCCCGTGGCACACGACGGTGCCCTAAACCTGCCCGTCGTGCGCCCCGTGGCATGCGATGGTGCCCTAAACTGCCCGTCACGTGCCCCGTGGTGCGCGACGGTGCCCTGAGCTGCCGCGGAACCGCCCCTGGCACCTGCGACGGTGTCGTGAGCCGCCGCGTACCCGCCCCTGGCGCACTCGGCGGTGCCCTTGCCTCATCCGCGCCTGCACTCGCTGCAGCCGCCCCTGCACCACCCGGCGCCTGCCCTTGGAGCAGCCGCCCCCGCTCCTGCACTCGGTGCAGCCGCCTCTGCCTCACCCCGCGCCTGCACTAACTGCAGCCGCCCCTGACCTACCCGCGCCGACCCTTTGTAGCCGCTCTGCGGCTTTCTCCCCGCCCACCCCCTCCTCCTTCGTCTCCCTGCAGCCGTGGGGGGGAGGGTATAGGGGTGGCGGGTGTTGGGGTGATGGGTGGTGTGCTTCCCTTCCCCTCCTCCTCCTTTCGTTCCCACTGCTGCAGCTGCCGCTGGGGGGGAGGGTGTGAGGGTGTGGTGAGCCGGGGGAGTGGCACTGGGGTGGCGGGTGTGAGACCAACCAGCAGCCGTCCCTCCACCTCTCCTCTCTTCCCCCCTCTGCCGCTCCTGCAGCAGTGTGGGGGGGAGGGGGAGGGGGAGGGTGTGGAGATGGAGGGGGTGACCAGCCAGAGCCAGCCCGCCTCCTCACTCTCCCTGCTGCCCCTCCTGTGGTTGGGGGGGGAAGAGAGTAAGGGGGTGGCAGGAATTTCTTGCTGTCGTTTGTCCCTTTGCTGCTGTGCCTGCTCTGTTACCGTACCTGCTGTTGCTGTTGCTCGTGTACCCCTGCAGGTTGTGTTCTGCACAAACTCCTGCTGCAGGTAGTTATGGGGGAGTGTTAGAATTTGTATGTAACTGCCTGTAGCTGTAGTTTAGTGTAGTTATTATAAACTGTTGGTGGTGCACCTTCTTTGCATGCTCTGTTTACTTAATGTACCCTAGTGCTATAGTGAACACCACCTTTTCCCATTCTCGACTCTCACCTTGGCACAACCTTCTCGACTTCCCCTTGGCCTAGGCTACTAAGCCTAGGCCCCACCTAAAACTTAAACTACCACTTATGCTAGTATCTCAACAATTGGTGCCGGATTTGCTCAGAGATTGAGAACCACTTGGTGCTTTGCTTGTGCGTGCAGGCTGGATGGTCGCCATGTGGTGTTTGGCAAGGTGCTGGAGGGGATGGACGTGATGTACAAGGTGGAGGCTGAGGGTACACAGAGCGGCACCCCGAAGGCCACTGTCACCATTGCTGACAGTGGTGAGCTGCCCATGTAAATGCGCTCATCATATTCTCTAAGCTAACCATATACTGAATTCACGAGGTGCTTGGTGCATGACTTATTGGGACAATGTGGTTGGGTCGCACTTATTAGCACTTGAAAATGTTGATATATGCAATGCCGCAAGCTGCAACCACTCTGAATGCATGGGCCAGTGGGAGTAAATGTCAGAATCCCAACCACTAGACCATTGGGATAAAAGGGCTTGTTTCAGTAGCGGGTCAGTGCGCCCATAACCCCCCCAGGCGAACGCGCCTGTAACCCTCTCCAGGATCAATCGGGCATCCACAGTGCAGATCTACTAACACCCCCCCACACAAGGAGGCCCAGGACTAAGCACAGCGGCACCGGCCTACATGTGCATACACCGGGAATCGAACCCGAGACCGCTCTGATACCATGTCAGAATCCCAACCACTAGACCATTGGGATAAAAAGGCTTGTTTCAGTAGCGGGTCAGTGCGCCCATAACCCCCCAGGCGAACGCGCCTGTAACCCTCTCCAGGATCAATCGGGCATCTACAGTGCAGATCTACTGACAGTAAAGGCGGTTGAATATCACAGCTGGGTAGCACCATGGACACTCCCACAGAACATACTCCTCCCATGTGGTGTTTGGCAAGGCGCTGAAGGGGATGGACATGATGTACAAGGTGGAGGCTGAGGGCACACAGAGCGGCACCCCCAAGGCCACTGTCACCATTGCTGACAGTGGTGAGCTGCCCATGTAAATGCGGTCGTCAGATTCTCTGAGCTAACCATACACTGAATTCACGAGGTGCTTGGTGCATGAATTGTTGGGACAATGTGGTTGGATGACATTTATTATTATCACTAGGAAATGTTGATATATGCAATTCCGCAAGCTGTAACCACTCCGAATGCAATGAGCCCAAGCAATAGGGTCAGTTTGACGACTGGAAGCTGGTGGGAGTAAAGGCGGTCGAAAACCACAGCTGGGTAGCACCATGGACAGTCCCCACAGAACATACTCCTCCCATGTGGTGTTTGGCAAGGCGCTGGAGGGAATGGACGTGATGTACAAGGTGGAGGCCGAAGGCACACAGAGCGGCACCCCCAAGGCCACTGTCACCATTGCTGACAGTGGTGAGCTGCCCATAGCGCTCATCAGATTCTCTGAGAATTCACGAGGTGCTTGGTGCATGACTTATGATATGTATGGAGATAGGGACAATGTGGTTGGATCACTTATTACCACTTGAAAATGTTGATATATGCAATTCCGCAAGCTGCAACCACTTCGAATGCAATGAGCCCACGCAATAGGGTCAGTTTGAAGACTGAAAGCTGGTGGGAGTAAAGGCGGTCAAAAATTACGGCTGGTAGCACCATGGACACTCCCACAGAACATACACCTCCCACCACTGACTCCACTCTGTCCAGCACATCATACCTGCAAAAATAGAGGCCACAACAACAATGAGGACGATATCTCTTAACTCCTTCCAACGAGAAAAAACGAGCAGGGCATTTTATTGTGAAGCCCCTACTTGGCGGCTGAGGCAGGAAGAAAAGCAGGCTCACGTGAGGTATGCTGTGATGTAGCCAACGAAGGTGACAGCAAGGCGAGTGATGCCCTCAGCTATCGCTGCAGGGATGCGCAAGGGAGAAGGAATGCAAACAAAAAATTTCGAACATTGAGTTCAAATGATTTGCCAAATAATCTGTAAGTACAGCGGGCCCATTTCAAATGGAGCAGGCGAGAGCAGCCGTGGGACCATGGGAGCAAGCAGGTACCAGAGTGGCGGTGTGGCACTGGTTGTGTGCTGCTTTGGGGCGGTGGTAATCCACCATCAGCAAGATAGGCGGTTTCAGTAGCATCAGCAGCAGGAGCAGTACAGTCAGGCGCAGAAGCCGCGATGAGCGTGGGTTTGTGTGAGGAGAAAGGCAGGCCGAGGCGGGCAGAGAGATCGAGAATCAGCTCTGACATCACATACACCAGAGCCTTTCAGAAGGGAGGGCCAGCGGGAGGGGGATGGGAGGGGAGGTGGGGGGAGCGTGGGAGAGAGGGGGTGGGGTGGTTTCGGGTAGGGTGGGGCAGAGAGGTCGAGAATCAGCTCTGACATTACATACACCAGGGCCTGGGAAGGGGAAAGGGGGGAGAGCGGGGTGGGGGGTAATTTGGGCCGGTGCTAGAGCTGAATCAGCTCTGACATCACATACACCAGAGCCTTTGAGAAGGGTGGGAGGAGGAGGGGAGCACGGGATGGAAGGTGATTTAGGCCGGTGCTGAGGCTGAATCAGCTCCGACATCACACACACCAGAGCCTTTGCATGGAAAGGAGGGGTTGAGATGGGGGGGAAGAGGAGTGGGCGGTGGTTTGGACCATGATGTTAAGAAACGCAGCCACGGTTTAGTTTTAAAGGTGCCAAGATGGAATACAGCTCAACATAGGATACAGCTCAAGATGGGATACAGCTCAAGATGGGATACAACCCAAGATAGGATACAGCTCAAGATGGGATACATCTCAACATGGGATACAGCTCAAGATGGGATACAGCTCAAGATGGGATACAGCTCAAGATGGGATACAGCTCAAGATAGGATACATCTCAAGATGGGATACAGCTCAAGATGGGATACATCTCAAGATGGGATACAGCTCAAGATGGGATGCAGCTCAAGATGGGATACAGCTCAAGATGGGATACAGCTCAAGATGGGATACAGCTCAGGATGGGATACAGCTCAAGATGGGATACAGCTCAAGATGGGATACAGCTCAAGATGGGATACAACTCAAGATGGGATACAGCTCAAGATGGGGTACAGCTCATGATGGGATACATCTCAAGATGGGATACAGCTCAAGATGGGATACAGCTCAAGATGTGATACAGCTCAAGATGGGATACAGCTCAAGATGGGATACATCTCAAGATGGGATACAGCTCAAGATGGGATACAGCTCAAGATGGGATGCAGCTCAAGATGGGATACAGCTCAAGATGGGATACAGCTCAAGATGGGATACAGCTCAAGATGGGATACAGCTCAAGATGGGATACAGCTCAAGATGGGATACAGCTCAAGATGGGATAAAGCTCAAGATGGGATACAGCTCAAGATGGGGTACAGCTCAAGATGGGATACATCTCAAGATGGGATACAGCTCAAGATGGGATACAGCTCAAGATGTGATACAGCTCAAGATGGGATACAGCTCAAGATGGGATACATCTCAAGATAGGATACACCTCAAGATGGGATACAACTCAAGATGTGATACAGCTCAAGATGGGATACATCTCAAGATGGGATACAGCTCAAGATGGGATACATCTCAAGATGGGATACAGCTCAAGATGGGATACAGCTCAAGATGGGATACATCTCAAGATGGGATATAGCTCAAGATGGGATACAGCTCAAGATGGGATACAGCTCAAGATGGGATACAGCTCAAGATGGGATACAGCTCAAGATGGGATACAGCTCAAGATGGGATACAGCTCAAGATGGGATACAACTCAAGATGGGATACAGCTCAAGATGGGATACAGCTCAAGATGGGATACAGCTCAAGATGGGATACAGCTCAAGATGGGATACATCTCAAGATGGGATACAGCTCAAGATGGGATACAGCTCAAGATGGGATACATTTCAAGATGGGATACAGCTCAAGATGGGATACAGCTCTATATGGGATACAGCTCTAGATGGGATACAACTCTAGATGGGATACAGCTCTAGATGGGATACAGCTCTAGATGGGATACAGGTCAAGATGGGATACATCTCAAGATGGGATACAGCTCAAGATGGGATACAGCTCTAGATGGGATACAGCTCTAGATGGGATACAGCTTTAGATGGGATACAGGTCAAGATGGGATACATCTCAAGATGGGATACATCTCAAGATGGGATACAGCTCAAGATGGAGGGAATAAATCCGGGATTTTAACTTCAAGTGGCCCAATAGAGAGTCGACATACTGGTATGGTTGTAAACACACTAGCAGCGACGAGGAGAGAGAGTTGACTTTTTGAGTCGACTCAAAAGTCAACTCGGGACACGAAAGCACGTCGACATACCGGTATGGTTGTAAACACACTGGCAGTGACGAGGAGAGAGAGGAGGGTGGAGAGGGAGACGGAAACGGAACCCCATTGGAGCAGAATGATGCCGGCAGCAGCTCCAGCGTCGTCCAGGCTGGCGGTTACCAGCACGCGCAAAAAGTCCCCAGAGTAAAGGTAGGCGAATCCACCCATGGTGGCATAGCTGGTGGAACAAGTGAAAGAGGATTGCGAAAGGGGAAAGAATGAAGCAAGTGGAAATTCTGGCAGAGCGAGGTGTGACCAAGACAACAGCTCCAGCGTCGCCCAGGCTGGCGGTTACCAGCACGCGCACGGAGTTTCCAAACTTCCGAGCTCTTTGCACTGGTAAGCAGTTACTCTACTGTGTATGGGGTATCTTTAGGTCGACGAGCTAGTTCTAAAATATATCATTTTGCTGCAGGTGAGAAGGGCATTGGAAAGAGCGGCAAGCCCCTGCACTACAAGGGCTCCAAGTTCCACAGGATCATTCCTCAGTTCATGCTGCAGGTACGTATCATATATCACGAGTGCTTTATCCCTTAAAAGTCGCTATGTCTCACGTCATTTGCTGAATCACGGCTCGCTTTGCAGGGCGGTGACTTCACTCTTGGGGATGGCCGCGGTGGCGAGTCCATCTGTGGCGAGAAATTCGCTGACGAGAACTTCAAGCTGAAGCACACTGGCCCTGGTATGTCCCGCGTCACACAGCCCACACAGCCAATTCTTCACCCATAGCCCTCTTTGCTGCTCACTCGTTGCTATTGGCATGCTCTCGCCTTCCACCTCTCGTCAATCTTCATTCACCCCATGTGAGTGACTCATGATTCAGAAAAAGGTCGGCAAAGATAATAACAAAAACACTTTCAAGATAGCCACGTGATCCTATTTGAACAACCACATACTGGATGCCTTTTGAACATTGTTTCCCTTTACTCCCGCCTGTGCCCCACCTGATACCAGGCATTGTCAGCATGGCCAATGCTGGTCCCAACACCAACGGCTCCCAGTTCTTTATCTGCACTGTCAAGACCAGCTGGTGAGTGCTGAGCCCACCTGATTCTTCATGTGCTGTTTTGGAAATTGGTGCCGAGTTTGCTCAGAGACTGAGAACCATTTGGTGTTTGGCTTGTGTGTGCAGGCTGGATGGTCGCCATGTGGTGTTTGGCAAGGTGCTGGAGGGGATGGACGTGATGTACAAGGTGGAGGCGGAGGGCACACAGAGCAGCACCCCCAAGGCCACTGTCACCATTGCCGACAGTGGCGAGCTGCCCATGTGAATGCGCTCAGAAGATTTCTGAGCTAACCATACACTGAGTTACTGGCTTATGACATGCTTGGTGCCTGACTTTTGATACTTGGATCCAGGCCCCTAAATTGGTTTCAGGGCACGCTGAAAAATCAGAGTCGTCAGGGTCTGCTTGGAACTGTTAGACAAATCTGTTGAATTACACTTATTTTTACTTGAAAATGTTTATATATGCAATCCCACATGCTGCAATCACCCCAAACGCAATCAGCCCTCTCAACAGGGTCAGTTGGATAACTGAGAGCTGGTGGGAGTAAAGGCGGTCAAAAATCACAGCTGGTAGCACCATAGACACTCCCACAGAACAGACTCCTCCCACCACTGACTCCACTCTGTCCAGCACATCATACCTGCAAAATTACCGTAGAGGCCACAACAACAGGGACAATCTCTCTGACCTCTTTCAGCAAAAACGTGCAGACCATTATATTGTGAAGCCACTAGCGCTGGCACCTGAGAGAATTGGAAGCAGGAAAAAAAAAAGACTCACGTGAGGTATGCTGTGAGGTAGCCGACGAAGGTGACAGCAACGCGAGTGATGCCCTCAGCTATCGCTGCAGGGATGCGCAGGGGAGCAGGAATGCAAGCGAAAAACACTGAACCTTGAGTGGAAGACTAGTGCCTTGGCTTCAATAATTTGCCAAAAAAAATGTTAGTACAGTGGTCCAAAACAAATGCAGCAGGCAAAAGCAGCAGTGGGGCCATGGGAGCAAGGAGGTACCGGAGTGGCGGTGTGGCACTGGCTGTGCGCTGCATTGGGGCGGTGGTAATCCACCATCAGCAGGGCAGACACTCTCCGCACCATCAGCAACAGGATCCGCAGCACTTGGTGTGGGCTTGTGTGAGGAGACAGGCAGGCCGAGGCGGGCAGAGAGGTCGAGAATCAGCTCTGACATCACATACACCAGAGCCTTTTCATGGAGAGGAGGGGTTGGGATGGGGGGGGAGAGGAGTGGGAGGTGGTTTAAAACATGATGGCAAGAAAAGCAGCCACAGGTCAGTTTTAAGGTGCGAAGATGGGATACATCTCAAGATGGGATACAGCTCAAGATGGGATACATCTCAAGATGGGATACAGCTCAAGATGGGATACAGCTCAAGATGGAATACAGCTCAAGATGGGATACAGCTCAAGATGGGATACAGCTCAAGATGGAGGGAATAAATCCGGGATTTTAATTTCGAGTGGCCCAATAGAGAGTCGACATACTGGTATGGTTGTAAACACACTGGCATCGACGAGGACAAAGAGTTGATTTTTTTAGTCGACTCAAAAGTCAACTCGGGACACGAAAGCACGTCGACATACCGGTATGGTTGTAAACACACTGGCAGCGACGAGGAGAGAGAGGAGGGCGGAGAGGGAGACGGAAACGGAACCCCATTGGAGCAGAATGATGCCGGCAGCAGCTCCAGCGTCGTCCAGGCTGGCGGTTACCAGCACGCGCACGGAGTCCCCAAAGTAAAGGTAGGCGAATCCACCCATGGTGGCATAGCTGGTGGAACGAGTGAAAGAGGATTGCGAAAGGGGAAAGAATGAAGCAAGTGGAAATTCTGGCAGAACGAGGTGCGACCAGGCAACAGCTCTAGCGTCGCCCAGGCTGGCATTCACAATAGACACGCACTGGTGGGCTCACAGCAACAACAGAGCGGTGCATTCACAATAGAAACGCACTGGTGGGCTCACAGCAACAACAGAGCGGTGCATTCACAATAGAAACGCACTGGTGGGCTCACAGCAACAACAGAGCGGTGCATTCACAATAGAAACGCACTGGTGGGCTCACAGCAACAACAGAGCGGTGCATTCACAATAGAAACGCACTGGTGGGCTCACAGCAACAACAGAGCGGTGCATTCACAATAGAAACGCACTGGTGGGCTCACAGCAACAACAGAGCGGTGCATTCACAATAGAAACGCACTGGTGGGCTCACAGGAGAAGGTGATCTGTGAGCCCAGCAGTGGCAGAGAATGTGACTTTATTAATTCGCTCAAAGTGCTGCGGTGTCTGCATGCTGGGTGTTTCAGGTTATGGCTCAGCAATGGAGTCCAATCAGGAGGACGGTGGGAGATCACTGCAGGAACAAGCGGCAGACTCACAGGAGGAAAATAACGACAGGCTCACAGGAGGAGATAGCTACAGGCTCACAGTAGGAAAATAGCGACAGGCTCACAGGAGGAACATGGAGGAGAATGTGACGATGATGCATTGGTCAAAGTGCTGTGGTGTCCGCATGCTTGGTACTTCAGGCTCGATGCAGGATCGAAGCAGGGGGCTCACAGGAGGAACATGGAGGAGAATGTGACGATGATGCACTGGTCAAAGTGCTCTGGTGTCCGCATGCTGCGCCGGAGGGATGGCAGACCCGCATGGCCTGATCACATGGTGTGACACAGCATGGGATAGCATGGCATGATTGCATGGTGTGGAATGGTATGGTATGGTATGGTATGGTATGGTATGGTATGGTATGGTATGGTATGGTATGGTATGGTATGGTATGGTATGGCATGGCATGGCATGGCATGGTATGGTATGGTATGGTATGGTATGGTATGGTATGTTATGGCATGGCATGGCATGGTATGGTATGGTATGGTATGGTATGGTATGGTATGGTATGGTATGGTATGGTATGGTATGGCATGGCATGGTATAACATGGCATGGAAACAGATGGCATATTCAAACATTGAATCCGGTTACAAAAGCACTTTCAGCAATAGTGACATGGGAATGCGAGATTGCAGGATAATCAGAACACCTGAAGAACTTCCTGAACGCCTGAAGATTCACCTGAGAGCGAAACCATGAAGATGCCGGCTGCCATGGGCAGGTGGGACCAGGAGACGGTGGAGTGGTGGTGAGCGCGGGGTTCTGGGAGAGCAGCAGAGGAAGGGTCACTCGCCCACGTGCCTAGCATCACTGGCAGGGTGGGGGGGAAAGAGAGGGGGGGAAGGGAGGGTGTTTAAATAAGCTGAGAAAAAACAAAATGAAGACGAGACTATTGCCACATCAAGGTCAGCCTGAAACCGTTACTTTCTGGCCTGCATTTTGAGTCCATCCAAAAGCCTCTCTCTGTGATCAGCCTCAAGTGCCCTCTCTCCCTCGCCCGCATCAAGGTCAGCCTCAAAACATTACCTTAGGCTGATGCGGGCGAGGGAGAGAGGGCACTTGAAGCTGGTCACAGAGGGGCTTTTGGATGAACTCAAAATGCAGGCCAGAAGTGCGCTGCTGGCGGCACCAGAGAGGGCAGATTTGGTGAGGCGAGCAATGGAGCGCGCTAGCACTGTGGGGATGATGAGCACTAGCAATTGAAGAGGGGTAGGAGATACCAGAGAAGAGAAGTGTGCTAAAGAAATACCGGAGCAGCAAAGGAGCCAGGAAATACCGGAGCAGAGCAGAGTGCTGCTGGCAACACCGGAGAGAGCTACGTTGGTAAGGCGAGCAAATGAGCACACAAGCACGGTGGGGATGACGAGTACCAGGAACCAAAGAGAGGTAGGAGTTACCAGAACAGAGCAGAGTGCTGCTGGCGACACCGGAGAGGGCTACGTTGGTGAGGCGAGCAAAGGAGCGCACTAGCACGGTGGGGATGACTAGCGCTAGGCTGGCCGCTATCACGAGGTGCCTGCAGGGGTGCGGGGCGTGGGGAGATGGTGGAGATGATAGGAAGAGGGGATAATGGGGGAAGGAGTAGTGAGATTGGTGAGGCGCACAAAGGAGTGCAAGAGCACTGTGGGGATGACTAGCGCTAGGCTAGCAGCTATCACGAGGTGCCTGCAGGGATGTGGTGGGGAGACAGATAGAAGAGAGGATGGGAGGATGGGGAGAGGAAGGGTGTGAATATTTCAGGGGATTAAAGGAGTGCATTGGCTTGATGGGGAGGGAAGGAGTGAGACTGGTGAGAAAACATGAGCACTGATGCATGCACGAGGTAAGTACCTCGGCAAGAGGCAGAGCGGAGCAGCAGAGGGTGCAGAGGCATCGGCAGCGGAGGTGGCGAAGGAGGGGAGGCAGAGCGTGGGGAGGGGCGGCAGGAAGATGAGAGCGGACTGCCACACTATGATGAGACACATGCCGAGCGCTCCCCAGAACTCGAATAGCACTGCCACCATCACCTGATGCACACAAGGGACGGAAGGAGCGAGGGGTAGGAGGGAAGGGAAGTTTTTAGGAGAGAAGGGGGAAGGAAGGAACACACATGCCGAGCGCCCCCCAGAACTCGAATAGCACTGCCAGCATCACCTGATGCACACAAGGGACGGAGGGAGGGGCGGGGGTAGGATAAGAAGCATTTTGTTAGGGGAGGAAGGGGAAGATGAGACCATGCCGAGCGCCCCCCAGAACTCGAATAGCACCGCCACCATCACCTGATCGGGATATGGCGAACAGAGCACATGGGTGGGATGGAGGGAGAGGAGAGGGAGGGCACGTGTCAAACACATGCTGAGCGAGCGCTCCCCAGAACTCAAAGAGCACTGCCACCATGACCTGATGCACACATGCCAACATGGGACAGAGGGAGAGGAGAGAGGAGGAGGGAAGTCTCATTGTTGTGAGAGTAAGGGCAATGGGACGGATACACATGCCAAGCGCATTCCAGAACTGAAACAACACCACCACCATCACTGATTGATTGAACAATCATGGCAAGTGGGGACACATGGCACTCACAGCCCATTCGCCCAGCGGACCGAAGGCGAAGCGGGCGAGGGCAGGGTAGGAGGGCAGGGTAGGAGGGCAGGGTAGGAGGGCAGGGTGAAGGGAGGGAGGGCGTCGAATGCGTGACAGAGAGCAGGAGGATGCACAACGCAGAAATCCATGTGGAGCAACGTGCATGGCACTCACCGCCCATTCTCCCGGGGGACCGAAGGCGAACCGTGCAAGGGCGGGGTAGGAGGGCAGGGTGGAGGGCGGGAGGGCGGGGTGGGAGGGCAGGGTGGAGGGCGGGAGGGCGGGGTGGGAGGGAGTCGAATGCAGGGAGCAGGAGAATGCACAACGCAGAAACCAAAGTCGAGTGCAACGGACGTGACACTCACAGCCCATTCGCCCGGCAGGCCGAAGGCGAAGCGGGCGAGAGCAGGGTAGGATTGCAGGGTGGAGGGCGGGAGGGCGTCGAACGCATGGCAGAGCAGGCGAGCCGTGGTGCAGAATAGGGTGGTGCAGAGGGCGAGCACCAGCTGTGGTGCAATGGGAGGGCGGAAAAGAGGGGGGAGAAGGAGGAAGGCGGGTAAGAGGAGAGGGCATGTGATGTGACTAGAAGCAGGACAGAGCAGGCGAGCCGTGGTGCAGAAGAGGGTGGTGCAGAGTGCCAGGACCAGCTGGGTGGAAGGAGGGGGCGGAAGGGGTGGGAGAGAGGGACTGCGATTAGAAGAACGGCAGAGCAGGCTAGCAGTGGTGCAGAAGAGGGCCGTGCAGAGTGCCAAGACCAGCTGTGGAGGTTGGCGGGAGGGGAGGAGGGTGGGGGGAGAGAAAGAAAAGGGTGTGGAAGGAGGGTATGTAATTAGAAGCAGGGGCAGGGCAGGCGAGCTGTGGTGTAGAAGAGGGTCGTGCAGAGCGCGAGTACCAGCTGTGGTGCATTGATTGGGGAGGGGGAGAGGGACAGAGGAAGGGTTCAGGGTTGGGGAAGAAGGGGATGAGAGGAGGACATGTGATTAGAAGCAGAGCAGGCGAGCCGTGATGCGGAAAAAGGTTGTGCAGAGGGCGAGGAGCAGTTGTGTTGATAGGGGAAAGAGCTAAGTGTAGCTGGCAGCACGGATGGCTAAAAATATGGGAATGAGGGAATTGAGGGGACGGTAGAGTGGACAAGGTGTGGTGCAGAGGGGGGTTGTGAAACAGAAGGGGGTTGTGCAGCAGAGGGCGGAAAGCAGTTGGTGGAGTTGTAAGAGGAATTCGGTGCTGAGAGAGAGAGGGGCGGCGGAGACAGAGGGGAGGAGAGAGATGGAGGGAGGGAGTAAAGGGAGGAGCGAACTCACAAGGCTCGTCCAGCCGCCCAGCATGACTGCATAGGGATGAGCTAGATGGATAGATAGATAGATGGAGGGAGGAAATAGGGGGAGTAACGAACTCACAAGGCTCATCCAGCCGCCCAGCATGACTGCATAGCCCATGGAGAGCAGACCTGCCCCAACGAAAAGATTTATCTGCCCAAGGGCAAGGGCGCGGAGGACATGGGTGCAGAACAGCGAAGTAGCACGAATTGGTTGAAATTTTTCTACCATCAGAATCGCTGCTTTACACTAGAAAAGCAAGACAAAACACGACAAGTTAAGACAAGACAAGACAAAACATACAAACACACAGTAAGGGCATGATATTAAGGCAGTAAGGGCATGATATTAAGGCAGTAAGGGCATGATATTAAGGCAGTAAGGGCATGATATTAAGGCAGTAAGGGCATGATATTAAGGCAGTAAGGGCATGATATTAAGGCAGTAAGGGCATGATATTAAGGCAGTAAGGGCTCTAATCACCTACCGTGTTGAGAACGGTTTGGAAGTCCGTCTGTAGGTGCGCGCCCAAGTCCGCCTCCGCCTCCCCTTCCGCCTCCGCCGCATCAAATGCCCCCAGGACCTCCTGCTTCGACAGCCCCGGGCTGCGCGGACTCCGCACGCCCTCCCCTCCACCCGGCCCTCCGCTTCCCCATCTCCCCCTCCTCCCCGAGCCTCCCGCTTCCCCCCGTTCATTCCCAAAGCTAATTCGCCTCTTCCGCGAATCGGCTTCCGCGCAGAGGTCGCTTCCCTCCGATATTGTCACATTCGCTGAGTCGACGCTCGCGCGTCTGTTTGGCGGGGGTCCGCTTGCGATGGCTGCGCCACGGGGTATTGTCAGGTTCACGCGCGCGCGATACTCATGACATACTGCGGAGTCTGACGTGGCACGCGTGTTAGATTCCTGACCGCCTGTTGAAGGTAACAACGGTTCGCGAAGCATCGCGAAGAATAGCGAAGAATAGCGAATAATAGTCTAGGTGAGTGGGAAGAGGAAGTTCGCACGGTCAGGAGACACCAGAGGGGTTACGCTACTACCACTACTCGGTCTCGAAATCGGAGGCTCAACAATTCGCGGCAATTAACGCACTCTCTGCCAACAAACCCAACTAGCATAACCGTGAGTTTGCCAAGATGTCTAATCTGGCAACTACGGGGCGCTCGAGAGTCCATGCACTGCCACGAACCGCAAACAAACGCAGAGCTAGAGATGTTAAAATCCTCGCCAAACCCCCTACCTGCCTGGTCAACTAGCCTAACTGCCACGTGGAATTATCATGTAAAAAGCCCCCTCGAAAAAGCGTCCCACGTGGTGCCAGTTTGACCTGCCAAAAGTGAACCCAAATCGCTTTTGCGAAGCTCGTACATTGTCGTGCGGACTGTGTTACTTTTGTGTGCTTCGCAAAACCACAGTTCCGCTGACATCTTTTTCCGCCAGCACGAACCTCCAAATTATTCAGGTGATCTCATTTGGCTGCAGCTGAAGTTCACCTGCTTGTCAGGCAGATTCAACGCCCTGGCTACACACACTTCCCATTTCGGTTTCCAGGACTCCACAATTCACATTCACGCTCCGCATTTTCCCATTCTATATTCCATCATTTTCAGCCCACTCATATCCACATACTCCACATCGGTCGTTCTCATTCTACGCTCTTTATCGTTCTGCTCAAACAAAATTCGACGCGTGCATGCCTGCGTTGTGCCGGCTCCTTCAAGTATCAACAAAAATGGTTCTCAGTCCCCGTGCAGTGGCAGCTTCAGCTGCACCTAGCTCTAGCCTACATGCTCTGAACTCCATTTGCGGTACTAGCGCACGCGATGTGCTTTTGCTTCGTTTTTTTTCGTCGCATGCTACTAATTTTCTCGTCGGAAGCAGGGACTAAAGAACACTTCCCGGCTCTTCGTTCAACTAAGGCAGCGAAGGTCCTATTTGGCATTGCAACACTCTCAGCTTGCTCTCAAGCATCACGTGATTACTGACTCTCTTTCTCCCGTGCAGGCTGTATCTTATTCTCCATGCGGGAGCTATGTTCCTCTCACCCCAGAGGGCTCGCACCCTAACGTACCTATGCCGAAGGAGGCACTTCCATCATCTTCAGGCTATCTTCCCGTCAGCACGTCCACTCCTGAGTCTCGAATGTTCTATACATACTACGAGGCGACGGAACCGTCAAGATCGCTTGCAGAGACTCCGCTTCTTCTTTGGCTTAACGGTGGTCCGGGTTGTTCGAGTATGATCGGCAATTTCTATGAGATTGGTCCCTGGAATGTCGCTATAACAGATGACGCCATTGACAGCCTTCACCTGAAAAAGAATCCATGGGCGTGGAACAGAAGGTAAGCTGCTGATGGATCATGGTATAACGCAATTATGCCATCACTGATGCAGACTGACGCCTTGACTGTGTGTTGCGAAAGATACGGCCTGCTATTTATTGATAATCCGATTGGCACAGGGTTCAGTGTCGCGGGAAGCATCGAGGATATCCCTCAAGACCAGCCTACAGTGGCAAAGCACCTCTATAATGCCCTATCAGCATTCTTTGACATGCATCCGAGCTTGTGTGGCCGTCCATTCTTTGTTACGGGGGAGTCATATGCTGGGAAGTATGTACCTGAGCTCAGCTGCTTGTTGATGCAGCAGCAGCAGCGAGACCAGGGCCTTCCAGTGGAGTTAGCAGGAATTGTTGTCGGGAACGGTTTCACAGACCCTCGGATACAGGTAGGTGTTCCGGTGGGTATTATCAATTTGCGGCTGCTTTATGTAGCTGGTGAGACTGAAAATGCTGCCTGCTGCTTCAGGTTCAAGTTCATGAGCATGTTGCTAGGGCCTTCAACATGCTCACTGGCCGCCAGGCAGACTATGTGAAGGAAGAGGCCAAAAGAGTGGTTCAACTCATAGACAGGTAGTGTTCTTCTTGTGATTCCATCAGCATATTGTCTACATTGACTGACTATGACGTCAAATGGACAGGGAAGAATGGGAAGAGGCTCATTATGCACGCACCGCACTGTGTGAGTGGATAGAGCACAAAGCAGGAACCCCAACGTTGCTGGATATTCGGCGGCATGCCAAGTACCACGCGACACAGGTACTGCGGCAACAAGTGCCATAAAATTTCCCGCAAAATTTACGTCACTCACCTTACTCTCCTAATCTTATTTCAGGGTGGAGTGGAGTACCTTTCATTGTTTCTTAATCAACCTCATGTCAAGGAAGCACTCCACGCTGAACCAAGAATTAACTGGGCCAGTTGCCGGCCACACATTCGACGCCACCTTGCTCAGGTGTGTGCCTCATTTGGATTCGTGAAAATTCACATCAGACAATGCCAATGTCTCAACCTATACACATAACTCGCTTGAGCAGGATACAATGAAGAGCAGCAAGAAAGCATTTGAGCAAGTGCTTTCAGCAGGTGTCCCTGTGCTGCTGTTTCAGGGCCTGTTTGATGCTAAGGATGGCCCTACCAGCTCTGAAGCGTGGATGCGCACTCTGTCCTGGAGTGATGCAGACAGATTCTGGGATGCCGAGCGAGTGGTGTGGCTTGTATGCGGAAGGAGAGAAGGATATTGGAGACAGTGGAAGAATTTGACTCATGTGATTGTGACCGGTGCTGGACACCAAGTGCCTGCTGACCAACCTGAGGCTGCAGCAGCCATGATCGAGACATGGGTGGAGCAACACATCTCACTGGGAAGGCCAATCTCAGAGGTGCATATCGATCAGCCCTTAGCTGTGGGGATTTAGCCCGAGCTGGCTCTAGAAGCTGCGATGGCCTCGCTGGGCAATGGTACAGGGAATCATGCGCATATGAGAACATGACTTTTGCACAAATGAGTTGTATTGGGGGTATATATATGTACGGAAGAGGTCAAAATGGCAGCTCCCTACCTCATCTTGTTGCCAGGGATGACTGTAGGGGAGGATCCAGCGCATACGTTTTCGGTTGCACTGCAGTTCATCTTATTGCCTCGAGGTGCAAAAAGGTGAAGATTTAGAACCGCTGTGCACCAGTTTATATCGTCTCGAACATCGACGGATGAACTGTAAAGCACTTGTAAACGTACGCGCTGGACCCGCCCTAATTAATAGAATTTGGCCACTAGTGAGGAACGAGACGAGATGCTGGATTCTGTTGACAGTAAGGACATTAAATCAGTAGTGCATGAACACCTAGGGCTACCAAGTGGAACCATGGGGATGAGCAGAAGGCAGAAGGCAACAGGAATAGCCTAAAGGTCCAATCCAATGGCAAGGGGTAAAGGAGAAAAGCATTTGCATTATATGCACTTATGAAAGATACAAGATTACTCAGGGAGACCACAGGGCTACCATAAAGCATCGGTCACCCCGCTGGATGAGCCTCGAGCCTGCATGGCTCAAGAAGTTTGAACATCTTGGAAATAACCCTGCCTTGTCACCTCGTGGCACCAGCCATAGCCACTGAACGCTCAGCAGCAAGAGACTGCACGCGTGCAACATCTGAAGTTACCCAGGCAGCCCCCATGTACAAGCCATGCCATAAGGTACTAGGTATATTACTTATTCGGAGCTTCAAGACCTCCCAGAAACCGAGGGAGCGGCGTACGGTGTCCACCAGTCCGACTGATACTTGGGATAAGGAGCGTCCCACTTGGCAGGCTTGTAGTTGTTCTCAATGGGAAGTGATTTCAAGGCCTCTTCCTGGGAGTCACACTCGAACTCGCCCCTGAGAACACGGTCCAATCTCAGCTTCATAAATCTGAAAGGGCCGGGGGGAACATGCAAGCCGGGCAAGAGTGAATGAGACCACCGAGCGTGAATCTCCTCACTCACAGCACGCGATATTTTTAGCGTATGTACTACGCACTGCCTGTCCCGATATCTAGAACAACTGTCATTCAAGAGCATTGAAGAACACTTACGTCATCCAAACAGCGTCGGTGGTGACAAGAGCCACAGCAGGCCTGTTCACTCGCTTGGCGATCTCAGGGAAGCTCGCAAGAAACTCGGGCTCGTACACGAGCCAGAAGTCCTGCGGGCGACCCTGTTCGTGCAGCCACCTGAGTCGCTCCTTAAGCTGCTCCTGGAAGTGCTCCTCCTCGTCCAGCATGAACTTGGCGTTCGCCACAATGAAGTGGTACGTCGTGCTCGTGGTTGAGGCAGAATCAGCCTGCATTGTCAGGGGATTTGGTACACATTGAGTTCCATCTTAAGGCTTGTTCATTTAGGGTACAAGTCGTCACCGGATTCACATTGCTGCATCTGTCGGACCCGCCCTGGCATCAAAATCGACGGAATCAAGCTATGAATAATGTTACTTCACCTGCTTCTTTGCAACATCGACTGAAGATGCCTGAGCCCGGGCGACGACGACTTGAGCCCTCTCCACCGGCTGCGCCTGGACGGAGGCGGTGCGGGTCTTCACACTCAATGGAGCGAGCGCCACGCGAGCAGTGCATTGTTCCTGCCTGCTGACGAGGCCACTGAGAGCGACAAAGTTAAACTGGCTAGCGGCGATTGTGGTGGCTGCCATTATTGCTTGAGAACGGATCAACAAGGATTTGAGCCTTGTTTTGGGAACTCAAGCAGGACGTGCTAGGGGAGCAGGAAACGTGATGGATACACAAACTTGGAAGCACACATTCACATTTCCCTCATGTTTATGCCTTTGGAGAAACTGTAAAATTTTGCCCAGAACTGAAGTTCTCGAGGCGCAGGAATGCCCAGAATTCTCACCCCTAGAAGGGTCTGCTCGATGAGTTGGCGATGTGAAGTTCCGCTTCGCCTATAGCGTGGGAGCAGGGTCGGTGTGCTGGACGAAAGCGCACCATCCTAGTGGGCGACAAGGTTGGGCCCCTACACGTTTGCGACTAGCATCCCCGCGACAAGTTATCACGAGCCACGTGGAATATCATTTGCTTCAGACCAAATGCGTCAGCTGCGAAACAATCCCAAGATGGATGAGGAAATGATGAGCATGGCGACGCCATGTTACCTGAACGCGCGACAGAAATCTCCTAATACTGTTACACTGAACATATTTCTATCTTCCAATTGTACTGTTCCACAATAACGAATTCCACAATAACATATTTCTATCTTCCACTTGGTGGACTTTAGGGACCCAAGGGAAGCACAAGGTTCAGATCTATTCCTGTCTATGGTGCTTCGTCATCACCAGAAGCGAAGTTGCTCGTATCGCTCCACCCGGCGGACCATCTTCCTGTCGTCAGCTAGGCTAGTCAGTTGCCACGTGGATTTTGGTGATCACAGATTAGGGCTCAACGTCCTAACCCCGCGGTTTCGTAGTCATCCTATTCTTTGTTCCTGGACTTTCACATCGCAACTATGGCGACGCCAAATCCAAAAACAACGTTGTATGTTGGTGAGGCTGGTGGATTTCGTGAGGTAAAGGTTTTCGAGTTTAGAATTGAAATTTCCGTCTTGTATAGAATTTTCTTTGACTTACCTAGAATTCGTCAGTCCTGCGATAGTGCGATATTCTCATAATTGCGTCCGTGTGTTGCTGGCAGGAGGGTTGGAGGAGAATGTGACCGAGTCAATTCTCCACGCGGCTTTCATCCCGTTCGGTGACATCAAGGATATAAATATCCCGATTGATCAGGTAGCGAATGCTGTCTCTTTCTTATCTCGAACCCCTTTTTTATACGAGTAGTTTGTCTCTGGCCTACAATCCAATCACATTAGCCGCGAATAAATCAATTAGCAGCACCCTTGCGGATGCGTACGACAGCTAGTACACCCGCCCCACCCCCACCCCCTCCTTCTCCTTCCCCTTTCGCCCCCTTTTCCGGCTTTCCCCTCCCCGTCCCTCCCCATCCCACCTCACGTCCCTCTTCCGCCAGACGACGCAGAAGCACCGCGGGTTCGGCTTCCTGACGTACATGGAGAAGGAGGACGCGGCGGCAGCCATGGACAACATGCACAACGGCGAGCTGTACGGCCGCGTGCTCACCGTCAACATCGCGCAGCCGCAGAAGATCAAAGGCGGCGAGCAGGGCTGGGCCTCGCAACCAGGTGCGGTGGCGTTTAGGGCACAGGAACGGGCGTTGCAGCCAGATACGCCGGGGTTTAGTAAGGATGGCTCTTGTGTTGTTCAGGGATGGGCTTCGAGGGCAACCAGGTGTCGTGTGTGCAGGCAAAGGGGCATTGTATGTTCAGGGTTGAGGGCTGGGTCTTGCAACTGGTCACCATCTGGGTGCAAAGAGATTATTCTGGTGGTTTTTGGTTAGGCTCATGATGCACTTACTCAAGGGAAGGGTGTTATACTACCGCCTGTCCAGCCTACGGTTTGCACCCCACCCCACTGTCTTGCACCCCACCTCACCCTGCTTCACTGTTGTCCTTTCCGCTTTGTGACTAACGTTGTCCGTGCAAATTTTTGCACACTTACCCCAGCCCTGCCACCTGCCAAATTTCTTTCCCTTCCCTTCCTCTTTACGTTTCACAGCTCCTCTTCCCCTGTTCCCCTTGGCATACTTCCCCTTCTTGATCTCTCTTTTTCCCTCCCCCTCTTCCTCCCCACCTCGTGTACCTTTCCGCACATGTTTTTTTCCAACTCCAGTGTGGGCGGACGCAGACACATGGTTTGAGCGCCAACAGCAAGAGGAGGAGATTCAACGATTAAGCAAGGAGCAGAAAGCTGCTGCTGCAGCTGCTGCCAATGCTCCAAAGGGTGGCGCTGCTGCTGATAGAAGCATGGAAGAGGAAGAGGAGGGGGATACTGGGCCTGGTGCAGCTGATCCTATGGCTGCTGCTGAAGCTGAGGCTATGAACAAGACATGATAGTGTGCTTCTATGTGCTTGGCATGGAAGTACCTTGTGTAAATGCAGTTACGGTAGTCTACATCGTTCAGCCTTTAGGAAACCAGTGGTATGCACCCAACAAATTGCTCGTCAACAATCCCGCAAAATAGGAAATGTTCCTGTACAAAACAACCACTACACTGGGCACAACTAATCACTCTTTTTGTAGTGAATACCCAATTCATTACTGTAGAGGCTGCTCTTAGCGAGGACAGCCCGAACACTTCGCGTCAGGATGGCTCGGCCTACACTTTCGCACCGAGCCAATTCCGAGTCGCCCCGCACCAATCACGACACATCCAAACCCAACCACATCCCAAGGTCCCCGCCTAGCACGGTTTCGACCCAATAAATGTGTGCTCCTTATTCATTCTTGATCATTCTGTAATTCATTCTCTTTATAGAAGTCTTCCGCGCACTCTGTTTAGTAAAACTCATAACACTTTTCACCAAATCAAAACCTCGAAATCTTCCCAGCCTTCCCAGTGAGAGGGTACCCTCCCTCCCCTCTACGGCTTCTGCACATTCGTCACGCCATGAGCAATGAACAAATCGCCCTTGTACATTCCCGGGTCGCTCACCCTGGACCACGTCCTCCGCTTCGACCCCGCCTGCCCGAGCGCCACCCCGGTTCCGCGCTTCAGCCACCCCTTCCCCACATCGATCTGCACCAGCCGGCGGTCCTGGTAAACCGTGGGGAAGGACGAGCCGCTTCGGAGCTCCGCGAGCGTGAAGGACCCGTCGAGCACGTTCATGAGGACCGTGTCTAAGTGCGCTTCGACCTCCTCTTGGGTATCGGGGAGTTTGCCGTTGAAATAGCGGAGTACGGCGGTGTTGTCGGGGATGAGGAGGGTTTTCGCCTCCGCGTTCGGGAGCACGTCCGCGCCGTATTTCGCGAGGAGGGAGTCTGGCGGGGGGAGGCGGGAGGAGGCGGAGGGAAGGCGGAGAAAACGCGGAAGCTGGGTTATGGGCCGATCGCGGACAACAGCACGGGACAAGCGGCATTACGCTGCAAATGGAGCGCCGCGAGGGACTAACCTTGCTTCTTGAGCACGTATTTTGCGGCGAGGTAGATGAGCGAGAAGTTGGGGCGGCTCTTGAGCGCGTTCGTCAGCGCGCGGACCTCGTCGATGAGGCGCTCTGACGACACCTCCGCGGACACGACCGACGTCGCGAGGAGCAGCGCGAAAAGCACTGCGAGCGCGGGCGATTTGTAGCCCATGGCGGCGGGTGCTGCACGTTGTGCGCTAAGTTCGCTGGCTTGCGGTGGAGAAAGGTTCCGTTATAGCTGACGACGATTTTCACTTGCAGTCCGGAGAAAACACCTAACGAATTCACAAGCAACGGTGGGTGCTTGGCTCTCGCTTGTTGCCTGAACTAATGAAGGCGAGATGGGAAGCCATGACTTTGTACTACAAAGCTCTCGCGTGCGCAAATTGGTGGGGCGGAAGCGGGGGAGGTGGCTTGCGGTGGGGGAGCGCTGAGTAAGCGAGCAGCGCCAGCGGGTACAGATGAGGGATGGGCGAGGGAGTGGTGGTGCTTGTGGGTCGGAGCGGTGGGGTAGAAACATGCTGCGCTGGAGCCTGAGCGTCAGAACATTTGCGATTTTTGGGTTCGGAATTTCGTCGTCACGTCGGTCGTCCTTACCAGACCAATCGCGCCCCTCCACTCCCCCGCGTCGCATCGCACACACGGTTCAGCCTCAAACCAACCAAGCATTTTACTGTTTCGCCACCCATTCTAACCCAGAGAAATCGTACAGAACCACATGTTCGCACGTAGTTTTCCATCACATTATCTCCACCAGCTGTGTCGTGCGCATACTTCCAAACAAAGTTGCGACAATTTGGACGACCGAGCGGGCCTTTTTCGCACAAGGTCGCTGTGCGACAATCTGTTGATGGCAGGACTCAGGAGTTGTGCAGGGAACGAACACAGGTCCATCGATCATGGTGCACAGTCAAGTACCAACTGTTCTCAGCCGTCGATGCAACAAACATTGAGGCACCAGAACAGTGCTACATTCAGGTCTAGGTTCAGTGACGGTGAACCACTTTCATGTAGCGGATAGTCGATACTAGCTGATGTGGTATTACTATACTTCAATAGTTAATGTCGGTATCTGAACTATATTGTGAAACACTGATGTAGAAATGCATTTTGACACACCTCACCACACCACCATCACCCATCCATGCGCCGTTTCGCGAAGAGCAAGCCTGTGCATGCCGCCGTCAGCCAGCAGCAGTAACGAATCTGTAACGACTGGTGGCTATCCGACAAATTCACGGATCCCAGGCTGTTGTTGGTGTCAGCCAGCCACATCCACGAGCGCATCGCGCGACAGTGCCGATTTCGCTGCTTATTTTTTCGGATTCCGCCGCCGACTGAGCGATTTCAGCAAAGGCACGTAACCATTCTTCGCCTAATCGTCACAAGCCCCTTGTTCTATTCTAGCACCACGCGAAGGGGGGTAACCGTCGTCGTTACTGCCTCGTCTCTTTTGTCGTACATGCAGCTCATTCTTGTGGTTGCTCAGTGCGCTTCAGATTTTCATGGCAGAACAGAAGCTGTTCGGATTTCGGTCTAGGAGGCATCCTATCTACCTCCAGAATTTGGAGTTCAGATAACCAACACTCAGGACACGTCACCTGCCTCGATCGTACCTGCGCAGGATCGATTTTTGATTCGGTTCAAAAAGTTTTCAAACAAATTTAAATGCAACACGCGGGCTTTTAGTGCGGTGGACGATCGATCTTCCTCGATTTTGCACGATCGATCGAGGGAGGTGACGTGTCCTCACCAGGCCTGTCGATTCAAGGGCATATGCCCTTAATGCCCTGAACATTCCGGGTTACTTTCGCTCCAGCTCGACTGCATAAAGTGTTAGATTCGCACAGCACCCGCGCCACTAAGTGCCTAGTTCGACCCTCCCCAGATGCGTTAAGTACCCAAACCAGGCCTTCCCCTGTCTCAAAGTTTTGGTTTCCGGTTGTAAGACCCCCCCCCTTCCCTCTTTTTCCTTAGGCTGCACGAGAGGAGTGGATGTTTCCTAGTAGCGTTTTCTGGCCAATCCTGTGTTTATAAAGTGTCTAAGTCAGCTTGGAGAACCTGAATTTTCCTTTAGCGCCTAAGTGCCACCCCCCCCCTCCTTCTCCTTAGGTTGTACGAGAGGAGTAGTTTTTTCCCTTGCGCTTTCTTGCCAATCCTGTGTTTATAAAGTGTCTAAGTCAGCTTCGAGCACCCGAATTTTCCCTTAGCGTCTAAGTGCAAACTCTTCACAAGCCCGGATTTCAAGTTTTCACTTTGGGGTGCGCCAGTGACCGTTAAGGGTGCCCAAACGCTCAGCTACACCAAAAATAGGGTCAGATGGGGAGGAGCTGGGGAGCGCAAGTATGGGCCCCAGGAACTTCGACAGGCCTGGTCCTCACCATCTCACCTCACCGCCATCATAACTCCACCAACCATCCTATCCATTCATTCATTCATTTCATTTATTTGTTTTCTTCACTCGAGGCGTAGTCTTTCGTAAGGCTCCGCGCTTCGTTTCGTCCCACCCGATTTGTCCCGTGGGTCGAGCGAACCTACAGCACACCCTTTAGGGAATTTGCCTGCCATTGCTTCGCGCGCGTAGCCTCTCCGCACGCGACGGCAGAAGCAAATCGCGTTTTCCAGCACGAAGAGGGTATGGCGTGCTTGCGGCCTGTCAAAGGTCGATAAGCGTCGGACCCCGGAGTTCCCATCAAGGATCCATTACCGCACGAAAAAAATCGCGAGCTCTCGTTCACTCCAAACGACGCCGCGAAAAAATTGTTGCGATTTGTCGCCCAAAGGTTCCGACGATGGTTTTCCGACGTTGCGCGACGACGAGTCGCAGCCGTCGCAGGGACCGACAGCTGTCGCACAGTCTGCCAGTCGTCGCTTTGGCGCTTCTCGCCTTTGCAATACGGCCGCTGGAAGGCGCCTCGAGCGGCGCCGGCTTCGTGAATTCATGTGAGCGCCGACATATTAAATTGACGGGCGGGACTTTGCGTCATCTTTTAGTCTCCTCGTGAATCGACGGGCTGATATATGCGACGCCAATATAAGGAGGCTGTGCAGGGCAGTCTCTTCGATCGACGTGTTCATCGAAATGCCGAAGTTCTTCGCATTCCGTGAATGCTACGAGCGCTGAGCACGTCAGCAAAACTCATTTTCCTCCTCTTCTCCGCCCTGCTCTTCCCCCATCTCCGGTTTCCGCTTCCCCCATCCCCCCCCCCCCCCCCCCCCCCCCATTCGCGCGCCAGGGGCAAATCATCTCCGCTACTCCAGCCTCCCTCGCCACGAACAATCTACTGACGCGTCGCTTCTCCCATCCTCGTTACAATCCGCCCCAATATCATCGCACAAGGCACCCGGTTCGTTTCTCCCATCCGCCCTTCCTTCCGCCTCCGCCGCCAAATCACGCCGCGCCTCCACCGCCCCCGCGCTCCCCCAGCACCTTCCGCGTTTCCTCCACTCCGCGCATTCTCAACCATCCCCCGCCTCCGCCCCCGTGTGGCGCAACCGCGTCACCCTCTCCCGCGTAGCCGCGCTTCCGCCCGCCCCCCCGTCCGCGGGGAGCAGGAGGGTCGAGTTAGAATCAACGGTGAAGCGCAAGGCGACAACGACTCGGCCAAAATCCGTGCCGTCCACTTTGGGCGCTGCTGACCGTACGATGCTGCTGAGTCGGATGAACGATGCGCGGTGAGAGATGAAACGGGGGAGGGGCGAGATGAAACAGGGTAGTTGACACATATGGTTGGGACGGGGAAGACGGGTGATAGATGAAACGGGGGAGGTGAGAGATGACTCGACGTCAAGTGCGATTGAGACAAAATGCTGCTGAGCTGACACTCTCTCCTCACCTCTCACTCCTCTGCCCCCCTGCTTAATCATTTTCTCTCAATCTCCTTTCCTCTCCATTCCCTCACTCCCCTTCTCTTCCCCGTCTCTCCCCACTCCCTTCCCTCGTTCCCTCCACCAATCAGAGCGTCTGTTTCAGCCACAGCCGTCCCACGCCCATCCGCCGCACTCCCAAACCTGACCTGGAGCGACACCCTGGCAGGCTCGGCGCAGGCCTGGGCAGCCAAAGAAGCAGGTTCGGTGTGCGCCGGGCCTGTGGACGCGTTCGGCAGCACTCTGTCCCTGTGGTCGCAGCAGCCTGGCAGTGCGTATGGAGTGAGCTGGTACGGGTTTGAGTCGGCTGCTTCCTCCCCTGCCGGCAGCACTCCCTCTGACGCCCTCACCGCGTGGCTCTACGAGAAGGCCTTCTATGATGTGAGTGTGTGCGATTGGTGGGGTGTGAGTGTGCTATGTGTCTTAGTGTGAGTGTGCTATTAGTGGCTCGTGCTGAGCTGTGCTGTGCTGTGAGTGGCTCGTCTCCCCTCTGACGCCCTCACCGCGTGGCTCTACGAGAAGGCCTTCTATGATGTGAGTGAGTGTGCGCGATATGAGAGGAAGACCAATCTGTGTTTCGTTTGATTCCCCAACGTTCGTGCGAATTACGTGTGCCTCGCCTCCTCTCTGTGCGAATTACGTGTGCCTCGCCGCCTCTCTGTGCGAATTACGTGTGCCTCGCCGCCTCTCTGTGCGAATCACGTGTGCCTCGCCGCCTCTCTGTGCGAATCACGTGTGCCTCGCCGCCTCTCTGTGCGAATTACGTGTGCCTCGCCGCCTCTCTGTGCGAATTACGTGTGCCTCGCCGCCTCTCTGTGCGAATTACGTGTGCCTCGCCGCCTCTCTGTGCGAATTACGTGTGCCTCGCCGCCTCTCTGTGCGAATTACGTGTGCCTCGCCGCCTCTCTGTGCGAATCACGTGTGCCTCGCCGCCTCTCTGTGCGAATTACGTGTGCCTCGCCGCCTCTCTGTGCGAATTACGTGTGCCTCGCCGCCTCTCTGTGCGAATTACGTGTGCCTCGCCGCCTCTCTGTGCGAATTACGTGTGCCTCGCCGCCTCTCTGTGCGAATCACGTGTGCCTCGCCGCCTCTCTGTGCGAATTACGTGTGCCTCGCCGCCTCTCTGTGCGAATTACGTGTGCCTCGCCGCCTCTCTGTGCGAATTACGTGTGCCTCGCCTCCTCTCTGTGCGAATTACGTGTGCCTCGCCGCCTCTCTGTGCGAATCACGTGTGCCTCGCCGCCTCTCTGTGCGAATCACGTGTGCCTCGCCGCCTCTCTGTGCGAATCACGTGTGCCTCGCCGCCTCTCTGTGCGAATCACGTGTGCCTCGCCGCCTCTCTGTGCGAATCACGTGTGCCTCGCCGCCTCTCTGTGCGAATCACGTGTGCCTCGCCGCCTCTCTGTGCGAATCACGTGTGCCTCGCCGCCTCTCTGTGCGAATTATGTGTGCCTCGTCGCCTCTCTGCTCACATTCACACGTCCCCCACCCTCCCATCGCCCTTTACTCTCTTCCCTCTACTCTCTTCCCTCCAACCACCCCACGCGCAATGAGTGCAGTGACACGGACGACTGTGAGGACTACTGGCAGATCGTATCCAAGCACCTTACACGTCCTCTCCCCACCTCCCTCCCCCCTCTCTGCTCCCCGTCCTTCCCACCCATCAGCCTGCCCGCAACCAGTGCTCTGACACGGACGACTGTGAGGACTACCGGCAGATCGTGTGCTGAGATGACTCCCAGGTCCTCTTACCCCTTCCGCCTCTCTTCCACTATCTTCCCCTCTTCCCTTCTGCTATGTCCCATATCAGCCCATACGGAACGAGTGCTCGGACACGGACGACTGTGAGGACTACCGCCAGATCGTGTGGCGAACCACCACTGCAGTGGGCTGCGGCATGGTGAGATGCAGAGCGGTGCGGTGGTGTTGTGAGGTGGGGCGTGGGTGCGGTGCGGCGCTGTGTTGTCGGATGGGGTGTGGTGCGGTGCGGTGCCTTGTGGTGTGTCATACGGGATGGGTGTTGGAGCTGGTACATGCTTCTCTACAGCCTATCACAATCCCTCCTCCTCACCCTGCTTTCTCTCGCCCCCGGATCACATGCAACGAGGCCAATGCACCCATCCCAGCAACTCTCTTCGTCCTCCTCTGCTATTTCGACCCTCTCACACTTCCCCCCGCCCCTCCTTGCACAATCCCACCCTTCTCTCTCGCCCCCGGGTCACATGCAACGAGGCCAATGCACCCGTCCCAACCTCTCTCTTCGTCCTCCTCTGCTGCTTCCTCTCACGTTCTCACACTCCTTCCTCACCCCTCTTCCCTACCTTTGCTCCTTCCCCCCCTGCCCCCCCCTCTCTCCCCCCCAGGTAACGTGCAGCGAGGCCAACGCACCCATCCCAACGTCTCTCTTCGTCCTCCTCTGCTATTTCGACCCTTTCACACTTCCCCTTTCCCTTCCTTCCTCCTCTTCACCTCCTTCACTCTCTCCCCCACTCCAGGTCACATGCAACGAGGCCAATGCACCCATCCCAACGTCTCTCTTCGTCCTCCTCTGCTACTTCGACCCCCCCGGAAACCTTCCCAACCAACACCCCTGGCTCTCCCCCCCCTCCCCACCTTCCCCCGCTCCTCCCCCTCCCGCCACCCCTCCCCCTCGCCCACCCCCACCCTCTCCTCGCGCCGCCCCCACTCCCCCCCCACCTCCCCTCCGCGCGCCTCCCCCCAAAGCCTCCTCACCTCCCCCTCCTCCCCCTGTGCGGAGCCCTCCCCCCCGCCTCCCCCCGCCCGCTTCCCCCAGCCCTCCCCCTCCGCGCGCTTCCCCCTTGGGGGTGACCAGCGTGGGGGAGGGGGGGAGGGAGACGCTGCTGCAGGGGATGAATGGAGCGAGGTGAGAAGGGGGGGAGAGGAGGGGGGGGAGAACTGGGGGGAAAGAAGTGGGGGGGGGAGAAGTGGGGGGGGAGAAGTGGGGGGAAATAGCATGGAGAATGGTGAAGCAAGGGAGGGTGGAATGTTGCTTAGTGGAAGGCTGATTTGTTTCTGTCTTGTCTTTGTTGTTTAGCTTTTGCTGCATTGCGTCCTGCCGGTGCGTGATTGCCGCTCTGCGATTCCTCTCTCATCCATCCCCCTCTCTCCCCCTCACTCTTACAAACAAACTCTTGATTCCCCCCCCCCCCTCTCTCTTATCCTCTCTCCCCCACCACCACCCTCCCCCACCAATCGCAGGCTTGCAGTCCCCTCTGCCAGCCTGTCAGCGCTGACCTGGAGCGACGCCTTGGCCACGTCAGCACAACAATGGGCAGCCAATCAGACAGCATCCCTCTGCTCGGCCCCTCTAGACGCCTTCGGCTCAGCCCTCTCTTTCAGCGCAGCCATTCCTGTAGCCGCTGCCACCCTCCCCTCTCTGTTTACTGCTGCTACAACCTCTCCTCTTGTAGGAAAGCGGAGCAGCAGCAAAAAGGGCAGCGGCAAGACCAGTGGCAGCAGCACGAGCAACAGCACGAGCGGCAGCAGCAGCGGTGGCGGCGGCAGTGCGTATGGAGTGAGCTGGTACGGGTTTGAGTCGGCTGCTGCCGCTCCTGCCGGCAGCACTCCCTCTGACGCCCTCAGCGCATGGCTCTATGAGAAGCAGAAGTACAACGTGAGTGTGTGCGCAGGGGATGAGGTGAGTGCATGATGAATGGATGAGTGTATGTGTGCCTCCGCCAACACTCCCTCTGACGCCATCAGTGCCTGGCTCTATGAGAAGCAGAAGTACAGCGTGAGTTGCCTTGACTTGACTGCCTGTGATTCCCACTCAGACTCCTTCCAGACATCTGTTCAGTTTAGCGTTGGTACCCGCAGCTCTTCGTTCCCATCTCCTGTCCCCTCCTCATTCCCTGCATTCCCATACCACTCTCCCTTCCTCCTTAACTCCTTTCTTCCCTTCCTACTTCCTCCCTCCTCCCTTCCCCTGCCTTTCTCTCCTCGTCTCTCTTCTCCTTCCTTCCCCACCCCTCCTCTACGTTCTCCCTATCTTAGATTCTCCTCCTTTTCCTTCGCTTCCCTGCTGTCCTACCTCCTACCTTAATGTCCCATCCACCAGTCAGAAGCTGACACGTGCGCAGCAGGGGAGCTCTGCAGCAATTACCGGCAGATTGTGTGGAAGGCTGCTACAGCCGTGGGGTGTGGCATGGTGGGTGTAAGGCTGCTACAGCCGTGGGGTGTGGCATGGTGGGTGTAAGGCTGCTACAGTCGTTGGGTGTGGCATGGTGGGTTGTGGCACTTCGATTAGAACTGCTGCAGCAATCACCTATGCCTCTCCCTCTTCCTCTGCTTCCACATTCACTGCTGCGTCTTGCACCTCTCTCCCTCTGCCTATGCCTTTCGAGTCATCTCAAATCCCACCTCTCACTTATTCTTTCCTCCTGCCTTTCCCCCTGCCTCTTCCCATGCCTCTCCCCCCTTGCCTCTCCCCCATTGCCTCTCCCCCCTTGCCTCTCCCCCCTTGCCTCTCCCCCCTTGCCTCTCTCCCATTGCCTCTCCCCCCTTGCCTCTCCCCCTCCCTCTCCCTCCACCATACCTGACCACATACCTACCAACCATCCCAGGTTACTTGTTCAGAGACCCGTGCACCCTCCCCCACCACCCTCTTCACCCTCCTCTGCCTCTTCAACTCCCAAGCCTCCTCCAACCTACACCCTTGGCTCGCCTCCCCTCCCCCTCCTCCCTCTCCGCCCTCCCCTCCTCCATCCCCCCCTCGCTCTCCCAACCCTCCCCCATCCCCACCTCCCCCTCGCCGCCCTCCTCCTTCTCCTCCTCTCCGTTCCTCTCCCCCTCCTCCTCCTGCCGCCCGCTCCCCCCCTCCCCGCCCCCCTCCCCCTGTGCTGCGCCCCCCTTCCCCTCCCCCCCCGTCCCCCCCCCCGGCACGAGGGGCGGGTGTGCTAGGGGGAGGGGGGAGAGCGGAGCTGCTGGCGCTTATCAACAGAGAGAGGTGGGTGGGGTGGGCGGAGTATTTTGTCTATTTGTGCGTGTGAACTTTGAGTCGACATTGAGTCCCCCTGTGCGGGGGCCGTCTGTGCTGGGGGGAGGGCGGAGCTGCTGGCGCTTATCAACAGAGAGAGGTGGGAAGGGTGGGCGGAGTATTTTGTCTATTTGTGTGCGTGCATGGGTGCGTGTGCACTGCATGGGTGCGTGTGCACTGCATGGGTGCGTGTGCACTGCATGGGTGCGTGTGCACTGCATGGGTGCGTGTGCACTGCATGGGTGCGTGTGCACTGCATGGGTGCGTGTGCACTGCATGGGTGCGTGTGCACTGCATGGGTGCGTGTGCACTGCATGGGTGCATGTGCACTGCATGGGTGCGTGTGCACTGCATGGGTGCATGTGCACTGCATGGGTGCATGTGCACTGCATGGGTGCATGTGCACTGCATGGGTGCGTGTGCGCTGCATGGGTGCATGTGCACTGCATGGGTGCATGTGCACTGCATGGGTGCATGTGCACTGCATGGGTGCGTGTGCACTGCATGGGTGCGTGTGCACTGCATGGGTGCATGTGCACTGCATGGGTGCATGTGCACTGCATGGGTGCGTGTGCACTGCATGGGTGCATGTGCGCTGCATGGGTGCGTGTGCGCTGCATGGGTGCGTGTGCACTGCATGGGTGCATGTGCACTGCATGGGTGCGTGTGCACTGCATGGGTGCGTGTGCTGCATGGGTGCATGTGCACTGCATGGGTGCGTGTGCACTGCATGGGTGCGTGTGCGCTGCATGGGTGCGTGTGCACTGCATGGGTGCATGTGCACTGCATGGGTGCGTGTGCACTGCATGGGTGCGTGTGCACTGCATGGGTGCATGTGCACTGCATGGGTGCGTGTGCACTGCATGGGTGCGTGTGCGCTGCATGGGTGCGTGTGCACTGCATGGGTGCATGTGCACTGCATGGGTGCATGTGCACTGCATGGGTGCGTGTGCACTGCATGGGTGCATGTGCACTGCATGGGTGCGTGTGCACTGCATGGGTGCATGTGCACTGCATGGGTGCGTGTGCGCTGCATGGGTGCGTGTGCGCTGCATGGGTGCATGTGCACTGCATGGGTGCGTGTGCACTGCATGGGTGCATGTGCACTGCATGGGTGCATGTGCACTGCATGGGTGCGTGTGCACTGCATGGGTGCATGTGCACTGCATGGGTGCGTGTGCACTGCATGGGTGCATGTGCACTGCATGGGTGCGTGTGCGCTGCATGGGTGCATGTGCACTGCATGGGTGCATGTGCACTGCATGGGTGCATGTGCACTGCATGGGTGCGTGTGCACTGCATGGGTGCGTGTGCACTGCATGGGTGCATGTGCACTGCATGGGTGCATGTGCACTGCATGGGTGCGTGTGCACTGCATGGGTGCATGTGCGCTGCATGGGTGCGTGTGCGCTGCATGGGTGCGTGTGCACTGCATGGGTGCATGTGCACTGCATGGGTGCGTGTGCACTGCATGGGTGCGTGTGCACTGCATGGGTGCATGTGCACTGCATGGGTGCGTGTGCACTGCATGGGTGCGTGTGCGCTGCATGGGTGCGTGTGCACTGCATGGGTGCATGTGCACTGCATGGGTGCATGTGCACTGCATGGGTGCGTGTGCACTGCATGGGTGCATGTGCACTGCATGGGTGCGTGTGCGCTGCATGGGTGCGTGTGCACTGCATGGGTGCATGTGCACTGCATGGGTGCATGTGCACTGCATGGGTGCGTGTGCACTGCATGGGTGCATGTGCACTGCATGGGTGCGTGTGCACTGCATGGGTGCATGTGCACTGCATGGGTGCGTGTGCGCTGCATGGGTGCGTGTGCGCTGCATGGGTGCATGTGCACTGCATGGGTGCGTGTGCACTGCATGGGTGCATGTGCACTGCATGGGTGCATGTGCACTGCATGGGTGCGTGTGCACTGCATGGGTGCATGTGCACTGCATGGGTGCGTGTGCACTACATGGGTGCATGTGCACTGCATGGGTGCGTGTGCGCTGCATGGGTGCGTGTGCACTGCATGGGTGCATGTGCACTGCATGGGTGCATGTGCACTGCATGGGTGCGTGTGCACTGCATGGGTGCATGTGCACTGCATGGGTGCGTGTGCACTGCATGGGTGCATGTGCACTGCATGGGTGCGTGTGCGCTGCATGGGTGCGTGTGCGCTGCATGGGTGCATGTGCACTGCATGATGTGCACTGCATGGGTGCATGTGCACTGCATGGGTGCGTGTGCGCTGCATGGGTGCGTGTGCACTGCATGGGTGCGTGTGCACTGCATGGGTGCGTGTGCACTGCATGGGTGCATGTGCACTGCATGGGTGCATGTGCACTGCATGGGTGCGTGTGCACTGCATGGGTGCATGTGCACTGCATGGGTGCGTGTGCACTGCATGGGTGCATGTGCACTGCATGGGTGCATGTGCACTGCATGGGTGCGTGTGCGCTGCATGGGTGCGTGTGCGCTGCATGGGTGCATGTGCACTGCATGGGTGCGTGTGCACTGCATGGGTGCATGTGCACTGCATGGGTGCGTGTGCGCTGCATGGGTGCGTGTGCGCTGCATGGGTGCATGTGCACTGCATGATGTGCACTGCATGGGTGCATGTGCACTGCATGGGTGCGTGTGCGCTGCATGGGTGCGTGTGCACTGCATGGGTGCGTGTGCACTGCATGGGTGCGTGTGCACTGCATGGGTGCATGTGCACTGCATGGGTGCATGTGCACTGCATGGGTGCGTGTGCACTGCATGGGTGCATGTGCACTGCATGGGTGCGTGTGCACTGCATGGGTGCATGTGCACTGCATGGGTGCATGTGCACTGCATGGGTGCGTGTGCACTGCATGGGTGCATGTGCACTGCATGGGTGCGTGTGCACTGCATGGGTGCGTGTGCACTGCATGGGTGCATGTGCACTGCATGGGTGCGTGTGCACTGCATGGGTGCATGTGCACTGCATGGGTGCGTGTGCACTGCATGGGTGCGTGTGCACTGCATGGGTGCATGTGCACTGAATGGGTGCGTGTGCACTGCATGGGTGCATGTGCACTGCATGGGTGCGTGTGCGCTGCATGGGTGCGTGTGCACTGCATGGGTGCATGTGCACTGCATGGGTGCGTGTGCGCTGCATGGGTGCGTGTGCGCTGCATGGGTGCATGTGCACTGCATGATGTGCACTGCATGGGTGCATGTGCACTCCATGGGTGCGTGTGCGCTGCATGGGTGCGTGTGCACTGCATGGGTGCATGTGCACTGCATGGGTGCGTGTGCACTGCATGGGTGCATGTGCACTGCATGGGTGCATGTGCACTGCATGGGTGCGTGTGCACTGCATGGGTGCATGTGCACTGCATGGGTGCGTGTGCACTGCATGGGTGCGTGTGCACTGCATGGGTGCATGTGCACTGCATGGGTGCGTGTGCACTGCATGGGTGCATGTGCACTGCATGGGTGCGTGTGCACTGTATGGGTGCGTGTGCACTGCATGGGTGCATGTGCACTGAATGGGTGCGTGTGCACTGCATGGGTGCATGTGCACTGCATGGGTGCGTGTGCGCTGCATGGGTGCGTGTGCACTGCATGGGTGCATGTGCACTGCATGGGTGCGTGTGCGCTGCATGGGTGCGTGTGCGCTGCATGGGTGCATGTGCACTGCATGATGTGCACTGCATGGGTGCATGTGCACTCCATGGGTGCGTGTGCGCTGCATGGGTGCGTGTGCACTGCATGGGTGCATGTGCACTGCATGGGTGCGTGTGCACTGCATGGGTGCATGTGCACTGCATGGGTGCGTGTGCACTGCATGGGTGCATGTGCACTGCATGGGTGCGTGTGCGCTGCATGGGTGCGTGTGCACTGCATGGGTGCATGTGCACTGCATGGGTGCATGTGCACTGCATGGGTGCGTGTGCACTGCATGGGTGCATGTGCACTGCATGGGTGCGTGTGCACTGCATGGGTGCATGTGCACTGCATGGGTGCGTGTGCGCTGCATGGGTGCGTGTGCGCTGCATGGGTGCATGTGCACTGCATGGGTGCGTGTGCACTGCATGGGTGCATGTGCACTGCATGGGTGCGTGTGCGCTGCATGGGTGCGTGTGCACTGCATGGGTGCATGTGCACTGAATGGGTGCGTGTGCACTGCATGGGTGCATGTGCACTGCATGGGTGCGTGTGCGCTGCATGGGTGCGTGTGCACTGCATGGGTGCATGTGCACTGCATGGGTGCGTGTGCGCTGCATGGGTGCGTGTGCGCTGCATGGGTGCATGTGCACTGCATGATGTGCACTGCATGGGTGCATGTGCACTGCATGGGTGCGTGTGCGCTGCATGGGTGCGTGTGCACTGCATGGGTGCATGTGCACTGCATGGGTGCGTGTGCGCTGCATGGGTGCGTGTGCGCTGCATGGGTGCATGTGCACTGCATGGGTGCGTGTGCACTGCATGGGTGCATGTGCACTGCATGGGTGCATGTGCACTGCATGGGTGCGTGTGCACTGCATGGGTGCATGTGCACTGCATGGGTGCGTGTGCACTGCATGGGTGCATGTGCACTGCATGGGTGCGTGTGCGCTGCATGGGTGCGTGTGCACTGCATGGGTGCATGTGCACTTCATGGGTGCGTGTGCACTGCATGGGTGCATGTGCACTGCATGGGTGCGTGTGCGCTGCATGGGTGCGTGTGCACTGCATGGGTGCATGTGCACTGCATGGGTGCATGTGCACTGCATGGGTGCGTGTGCACTGCATGGGTGCATGTGCACTGCATGGGTGCGTGTGCACTGCATGGGTGCATGTGCACTGCATGGGTGCGTGTGCGCTGCATGGGTGCGTGTGCGCTGCATGGGTGCATGTGCACTGCATGGGTGCGTGTGCACTGCATGGGTGCATGTGCACTGCATGGGTGCGTGTGCGCTGCATGGGTGCGTGTGCACTGCATGGGTGCATGTGCACTGAATGGGTGCGTGTGCACTGCACGGGTGCATGTGCACTGCATGGGTGCGTGTGCGCTGCATGGGTGCGTGTGCACTGCATGGGTGCATGTGCACTGCATGGGTGCGTGTGCGCTGCATGGGTGCGTGTGCGCTGCATGGGTGCATGTGCACTGCATGATGTGCACTGCATGGGTGCATGTGCACTGCATGGGTGCGTGTGCGCTGCATGGGTGCGTGTGCACTGCATGGGTGCATGTGCACTGCATGGGTGCGTGTGCACTGCATGGGTGCATGTGCACTGCATGGGTGCGTGTGCACTGCATGGTTGAATGTGCACTGCATGGGTGCGTGTGCGCTGCATGGGTGCGTGTGCACTGCATGGGTGCATGTGCACTGCATGGGTGCGTGTGCACTGCATGGGTGCGTGTGCGCTGCATGGGTGCATGTGCACTGCATGGGTGCGTGTGCACTGCATGGGTGCATGTGCACTGCATGGGTGCGTGTGCGCTGCATGGGTGCGTGTGCACTGCATGGGTGCGTGTGCACTGCATGGGTGCATGTGCACTGCATGGGTGCGTGTGCACTGCATGGGTGCATGTGCACTGCATGTGCACAGATGCTTGTGCATGGTTGCACGTCCATGGATGGTGATGTTCTTGACATTCCACCACTGACTTTCCCCACTTAACCACTCTTTACCAAGCTTCACCACTCTCACCGCCCTTATATATCCCCCCTGTCACTTCCCTCTCTGCCCATGCCACCGCTCTCGTCCAATCAGGGCGCCTGCCAGCCTGTCAGCGCTGACCTGGAGCGATGCCTTGGCCACGTCAGCGCAGCAGTGGGCGGCCAATCAGACCGCAGCACTGTGCTCTGCCCCTCTAGATGCCTTCGGCTCGCTTCTCCCTCTAGCCGCTACAACCGTACCTACAGCCGTGGCTTGGGGTGTGAGCTGGTACGGGTTTGAGTCGGCTGCTGCCTCACCTGAAGGCAGCGCTCCCTCTGACGCCATCAGTGCATGGCTCTATGAAAAGCAGAACTACGATGTGAGTGTGTGATATGAGGAACAGAAATATGACGTGAGTTTCCTGCCTTAGTGTGTGTGTGCTCAATCCCCACCTTTTACTTTCTCTCACTCAACAGCTATCTTCTGTTGCATTTCTTCCTCCCCCGCTGTTTGCGTATCACCTTCCCTCACCCCTTTTCTTTTGAGGCCGATGAAATAACAAGTGAGGAATATTTATGTATGAATGTATGTATATATATGTATATATATATAATACTTTATTCCTCGTGTCTTCTTGTGCCTACCCTTGCTTCCCCTCGCGCCACCAGCCAACCACCAAGACCTGCTCCCCTTTTGATTCGTGTGACAACTACCGTCAGATGGTCGGCATCACAACCACAGCTGTCGGATGTGGAACGGTGCGTGTGGTGGCATGGTTGTGATGTGGCGCGGCGAACATGCCTATTTTGTCTGCTTCTCCTTGCTCGTTCCCCACTCATTTCCTCTCATTATCCTGGTTTTGTCTATTCATTCTCACCCTTTCACCCACCCCACCTTTCCACTCTTCATCCTCCTCTCCTTTTCCCATCCCTCATCTCCCTCCCCTCTCCTTCATCTCCCCTCCCCACGTCTCCTTCCAATCTCCTTCCTCTCTCCTCCCCCTCTCCTCCCCTCACCTTCCTCCCTTATATCTCATTACTCTCCACCCCCCATGGTCTCTTCCTCTCTCCCCTTATTCTGCAGATTTCCTGCCTTGAGTCCAAAGCACCCATCCCCACCACTCTCTACATCCTCATGTGCCACTTCGACCCCCCTGGTTACACGCTAACCACCCGCCGCCGCTTCTAGTTGCAGTTCATTCATTTGTTCTTTATTTTGTTCATTTCTGGAGTGTTGGTCCATCATGTGGTGGCTGAAGCTTGTAACATATGTGCTGCTTTGACATTTATATAAAAATTTGATCGATCATAACTCTGTTCGTGCGAAGCATGTATAGCTGGTGTGAGATTGCATCTTTCCTTAGCCACGACAAGGCTAGCTACCCCACAGGACTCAGTCATTGTGACTGATACATACAGTACAGGCGCCGGCAGTCAGTATCCCTTTGAGCCGACTCACAAGTCACCTACGGTATTAAGGCTAGCTACCCCACAGGACTCAGTCAGTGTGACCGATACATACAGTACAGGCGCCGGCAGTCAGTATCCCTTTCCAGACACTTCAGAGAATTCCAGGTGGTTTGCCAGGGATTAGGGGCTGCAAGAAAGGCCCTGGTACCGTAACTTCATTGGGGCTGCAAGAAAGGCCCCGCCACATGTCAGGAGTTGACACACACATCCCTGGTAATTCTCCAGCCTTTTTAGTAGGATGTATACGGCATCCATCTGGCTTGAGTTGAGATTTTGCAAGAGCGCATGGAAAAGAACTCTGTTACCCCGTTGAATTCAGAGAAGTCGGCCACATGGTAGGTCCATTCTTTTGCGTTGAATTGAATTACTAGGTGAATGTCAGAGGATCAAATCGCACACGGGGGAGAAGAGGCGCCCGTTGGTGCATCTAAGCTCGTGAATCAAGTTGCCTGATTCTGTGCTGATGCCAGCAATGAGGAAATCGGCAAGGGATGATGTCAGCAGGTCAGCAAACACAACTGCTGCTTCCGGCAAGGCATCTGCTCCTGCTGCTGCTGAGGCCGAACCTCCCAATCCATCTCTTTCCCCTCCTCCTCCTGCTTTTGCTCCCGCTCCTGCTGCATCGGCTGCAGCACCAGCAGCAGCAGGCAGCAGAGCAGGTGGGTTGCGGGCGAGAGTGGAGTGTAGGAGGGCCCAACCACGCTCCTCCAGATGCTGCTGGATGGGCTGGGGAAAAGAAGGGAGGGGAAGGGAGGGGAGGGGGTGCGATTCACGAGCATCTCAAAGAGCCGCACTCTCCCCACCCCAAGTCCGTCCAGACTCAGCCACTGCAGCTGCTGCAATGCTCGCGAGGGTGCTATGTGCCGTTTGATCTGAATGACTCGAATTGTTCGCTCACCGTGTTGATTACAATCAATCACTCCCCATTTCACGTGCATCCCCAGACAGCCACACTCTCCTCAGGTTCAGACTCACTCAGCCACTGCAGCCGCTGCAATGCCTGCGAGACTGCTGCCTGCCATTGAATGACTCAAATAATTCGCTCACTGTGTTGATGAGAATCAATCACTCACCGCTTAACGACCATCCCCAGGCAGCCACACTCTCCTCAGGTTCAGACTCAGCCACTGCAGGCGCTGCAATGCCTGCGAGAGTGCTATGTGCCGTTTGAACGGCTCGAATCACTCTCTCACAGTATTGATTAGAGTCAATCACTCACCGTTTCACGTGCATCTCCAGATAGACACACTCTCCTGAGGTCGGGATTCAGCCACTGCAGCCGCTGCAGTGCTTGCGATACTTCTGCTGTCCGTTGATCTCCCCACTGTCCTGCTGTTTCTCCTGCCGTTTCTCCTGCCTTTTCTCCTGCTCCTTCAGTCCTTGCCTCATCCCCCCTGCTGACGTGTACAGCTGCTATTGGACGAGGCAGGTAGGGTTCCCCGCCCAGCGCTATAGTCACCGGGTCTAGAGTCAACAGATCGCCCTGCCCTATACTCGCTATAAGCTCATCCACTGTTGTTGTGTTAGCCATCATTGTAGCACCACACAACCTTCCCATGGTGCTGGTGCTGCTGCCACCTCCCTCACTCTCTCCCTCACTCGCTCCCTCACTCCCTCCCTTTCCTTCGCTCCTCACTCTTCCCCCAGCATGCACACTCACTCGCCTCGGCCCATCCCTCCCCACCCATACGTGGGTTTCCAGTAGGGAGGAGTTGGGAGAGTGGAGGAGAGAGGAAATGGTAGGGGAGGGGGAGGAGGAAGAGGACGGGGAAGAAGCAGAAGCAGCAGCAAAGGAAGAAGCAATACGGGACGAGAGCACATGCGCTTGTGCACTAGCCTTCCCAGCCTCAGTCAACACAGCTGCCTCCTCTGTTGTATTCGGCAGATTCTTGGAATACCGGACTGCAAACGTCGTGTTGGTAGCTGCGGTGGTGCCGGGAACAGTACCAGACGAGAGGGAGTGGAGGAGAGACGCTTGGCTGGCAACGGCGGGTGCCAGGCTGGCAGCCACGTGGAGACCCACGCTTACGTGGCGCTCGCGGTTGATGACGTGGCAGAGGTGGAGGGAGGGCCAGCGGAGGAGGAAGCGGGCGGCTTGGGATCGCCGCCAATGGAGCTGCAGGGAGGAAGGAGGGGGGAAGAAGGAGTATTGGGAAGGGGGGTGGGTGGAAGAGAAAAGGAGATGGGGAAGGAAGAAGCGGGTTGATTGGGATCGCCACCAGTGGAGCGGCAAGTGGGGGAGAGGAGAGGAGAGGGCATGGTTGGCGGAGGGGAAAGTCGGAGCGGGAGGGGTGAAAGGTGGCTGGAATGGAGGGTGATTCTGGTGTGGGTAAGGAGGGAAGGCCGGCGGAGGAGGAAGCGGGCAGCTTGGGATCGCCACCAGTGGAGATGCAGGGAGGAGGGAGGGGGAGGTGGGAGAGGGTGAGATTTCTCCTCAAACCAACCTCTAGGATTTTTGTTTGAGCAACGATTGAAACTCCCATTTCTTTCTCATGGAAAAGAAGATCCGACCATTATCATTAACGAACTTTTGAGACGTCTCAAAAGCCATAATCATTAACGAAAATCCGCCCTACCTGGGCTTTTTCCTCCGACATGGTGTATAGTGCGCCCTGCCTATCCACCATAACGGGTCGCTGCTTATGGGGATAGCCCCATCGGCTCACAACCGCTGCTGCTGCTGATTGAATGGTTGATGCTAGGGATGCTGACGCTGCTTCCCCTGGTGCCCCTGCTGATGCTGCTGCTTCCGAGACTACTGACGCTGATGTTTCTGATCCTGCTGCTGCCGGTGCTGGTGCTGCAGCGGAGGCAGCAGCAGGAGCCGTTTCAGCAGCAACCGGGAAGCTGCCGTGCACCGGTGCGGGTGCATCAATGGGTTCTGTTGGAAAGTCAGTACCAATGCACACAACCTCCTGAGGCGACGCCAGGTGCTGCTGCAGCTGTGACAATATCTGTGACTGTGATTGTAATGAGGACTGTGACTGTAACGAGAAACAAGTGGGCATGTGACCGTTGGCGAGGAGGTGCGAGATGAGGGAGGAGCAGGCGGGGTGAGCGAGAGGGAAGAAGAAGCAGGTCCACTCGCCCGTTTGGTTCAGCTCTGCATGTTCAAGCAGAAGAATAGAGGGGCACACATAGGGAGGCAGGTGGGCATGTGACCGTTTGCTTGGAGGTGGGAGACGCGGGAGGAGCAGGCGGGGTGAGCGAGGGGGAAGAAGAAGCAGGTCCACTCGCCCGTTTGGTTCATCTCTGCATGTTCGCGATTGCACACACCACACACAGAGTCGCAGAGAGAGAGGCCCAGAGGTACGCACAAGAAAACACAGAGACACGCAGAGGGAGCAGCATGAAGAATGGGTGAGGGGAAAGAAGAAGCAGGTCCCCTCGCCTGGTAAATTCAGCTCTTATGTTCATAAGTGTACACTCTCCTCCTCATGAGAAGTGTACATTCTCGCATGAGGAGGAGCCCCCATGAGGAGGAACGTGCGGTTGTGCTGCACTGGTCCTTCCACCCACCCCCATAATCACCCACTCCCCCTATAGACAATATCGGCTAAATCACTCACCCCGGCAATCACTGTTGAGAGCCGGCCCGTAGCTGCCAGGCAGGGTAACCAACGTGCGGTTGTGCTGCATTGGGCCTCACATTCACCCTATAATCAACGACCCCTATAATCAGGCACCCTTCTCCCACTCAATCCCCTCACCCTCCCCCCCCAATACAATCACACCACCTCTGCAATCACTGTTGAGAGCAGGACCGTAGCTGCCAGGCAGGGCAACCAGCGTGCGGTTGTGCTGCATCGCCAGGCCCAAGAAATCCGCCATGACGTGGATCTGACTCGCGATGACGTGGAACGGGTCGGCGCTGACGTGGCGGTCGGTGGGCATCCAAGGAACCACCAGCAACCGCCTCCCCTCACACGTTTCTCCCCCTCCTCCTCCTCCGCCTCCGCGTCCTTCTCCCCCTGCTGCTGCTGACGCCAGCATCTGGTGAGCCCAGATGTCCCGCTGTGCGACACGTGTCAGCGCGAGATTGGCTGCATCCGTGCCTTGCACCTGGGAAGGGGAGTGGGGAGAAGGGGAGTCGGGGGACAGGGATCGGGGGGAAGGGGGGTGGGAGTTGAAGCGCTTGTGCGCTGAGGAATGGCAGTGGAGGGAGGCGGGGAAAGGGGAGGGGGCGAGGATGGGAGGGGGCAGGGAGGAAGGGGAAAGGGGAGAGAGGAGGGAGAGAAAGGCGAGGGGAGGGGGAAGCCCAGGGAGGGGGAAGGCGAGGGGAGGGGGAAGCCCAGGGAGGGGGAAGGCGAGGGGAGGGGGAAGCCCAGGGAGGGGGAATAGAGGAGCGGGGAGGAGGGGAAGAGTGGGTGGGGGAAGTTGAAGGGTGTCTCCCGGCCTTCACTTGTTCAAGCTATACTTTGCGAGTCACAGGCGTTAATAACAGGCTACAGAAAAGCAGAGACGAACCTCACCACGAGTCAAACGATTTTACATACCCATGGAGTGCGGGAAGGACTTTTGAGTCAGAAAAGCAGAGACGAACCTCCCCGCACTCAAAAGTCATCATTTTACATACCCATGGAGTGCGGGGAGGCAACCGATCACAGCATTCGGATAAGCTTTCCTCTTTACCACCAGTCTGCTGCTGCCACGTGTCCTCCCAGCGGATCCCATCCCCCCCTCCTCCCCCTGTGCCTCGCCACGGTCCCCCTTCCGCCGCCTCCCGCGCAAGAGTACGGGCGGCGCAGTCAGCGAGATGAGGGGGAGGGGGGAGGTCGGGCGGAAGGGGGAGGGGCGATGGCGGAAGGAGGGAGCCCCGCTGCAGGCCATAGGCGCTCTCCCACGCCTGCAGGGGGACGGGATGGGGAAGCGCGGGGGCGGCGGCGGGGGAGGGAAGGGCAGGGCGAGTTGTGAGAAAAGATGGAGATAGCAGGTCGAAAATTGCGGAGTCACGCTAACAGGTGGGTGAATGGGAACGACGGAAGCGCGTACGCGATATAGAGCTAGAGTGGGCTGGTCCTTGGGTTCAGAGCCGAGGGGTTCCCATCCGTCCAGCAAGGCATCAGAGGCTGCTCCGCGCGGTTGAAGAAGCGCGCACCACACGGCGAGAGACAAGAACGACGCAAGGCGCCATTTTGACGCCATAAATGCAGGAATTTTGGTGTGCAGAGAAAGAACCCGCATATCATAAACAAAATAAACTTTTATTCGTTACGTAGACATCCTGCTATAGCTCAGTTGGTAGAGCGGAGGACTGTAGACGAGCAATCCTTAGGTCACTGGTTCGAATCCGGTTGGCGGGATCCTTTTGCGCATAAGTAGTAGTTTTTTTGTGGAGATCCACTCCTTGCCATGAAAGAGAGTTTTCTATATGGTGTCAGCCTGTGCCCGCACTGCGAGTTGATTGTCCTGCAAGTTGATTCCATGTTTACAAGCAGGCAGACCTGGTGGACTATTCAGAAGCCCATTCAGCAGGGTACCCTTCCTGCTTGACAGGTGATGAAAGGCATATGCATACCACCTTTAGATGGCAGAGTTAGGTGCTTCTGTTGGAGTGGAGTATTACTTCAATGCACGCACCCCAGTAGGCCTGAGGTGAGAGAGAGTTGCCTTGTCAATGCCCTGCACGCCCAGTATTATTATTGAGTGAGAGGCACAGACAACCTACAGCTCATTTCAGAGTACTGCTAGTGGCTATACTTCCATACATCATGTGTTTCGGTAAGCAATCCTGGGATCTTGTCACGTCAGCACTCAGCAGCAGCCTTGCTGATGGGGTTACATATCCTAGATTGTCAAGGACCTTGTGTCGGGTAGCCTGTCACGAAAGATGAACGCAGCCTTAGCAGCTCAACTAAGGCTTATGCCTTCCAGCTTCTCCTCTAGTCCACATTCCACGTCAGTCCACACCCGATCCTTCGCCATAATCAGCACCAATCCCAGCCGTCGCTGTTCCACCAGCGGATTCGGATCTGCTGACGTGGCACGCGCCATTCTCTCTTCCAGCGACTCGTTCCTGCGGGGATCTGCGGGATCCGCGGCGGCAGACGCGCGACGAAACTCGACAGTGTCGTGAAGGATAATATTCCCCTCCTTGTCCAGGCAGTTGAACCGGCCTACAAACACTCGACCGTCCGTTATGCCGATCCGGAGCCGTCTCTGAAGAAGACGACGCGCTCCTGCTATAGCGGGTCTCTTGACGGATTCGTTACAGTCCGACTCCGGTATTGTCACGGATGACGAGCTGGGAAGCGCAGGATCCGGGTCCGGTCTATCCGCACGGTGCGTCGTGTGAACCACCATAACTCAGCAGCAGCAGACAGCAACACGAAATGTGGAACTGATATGTATCCGGATTCCGGTGTGATCTGGTATGAACGTCACAAAACTGCTCGTACCACCCGAAGACGGACCCCTGAGGTGGAGAGGCAGCGTACGAAAATGAAGAGCTCAAGAATTTAGCAGGCTAAGAGGAAGAACGACTTACCCGTTAATCGGGATTAACGAGAAGCTGGATGTTTAATGCAGTGACAAGCGACGAAGCGGTGAAGCTAGCGGATTGTGCGGAACAGCAAGAAACGAATTACGAGCGTGGGGATAAGAGATTCTAGGGGGGAAATTTGGGAAAGCACGAATGGGGGGACCGTAGAGGATGAGCATCTCTGATAGTGAGAGTTTCGTTAAAATTTTACTAGGAAACAGGACCGTATGCTGTCTTTCTGATTTGGCCCTTGTTCGCTTCAATACAGTGACATTTGCTTCTTCCTAGAACGAGGTTTATCCCCTTTCGCCCAATCCCAAGGTCCTCTCAAGCACCACAAGCGGAACCTGCAATCCCGCCAACGATTGTTTGTTGCTGCTTTCTTTTTTCGTCGAGCTGAGAGAGTGGTGTGGTGTGAGTGATCACACACTATCAGCCTTTTGGTTCCTAGACTACTCGACTAGGTCCCATTGTTTCTAGTGCCGTCAGCCTTAAGCGTGACTCCTTCGATAACGAACGAAGTTCCGATACTCTTGTGATCGCACGCGTTTGAGCGATTAGATCAATGGCCTCCGCGGCGACGTCGCAAGCGATCAGGACAGCGATAGCAGCGACAAACTGTGCGACTGCGTCACAGTTATCGAGTCGACTGTCGTCAGCGACAAACGTCTCGCTGTTCTCGCTGAGAACTGTTCCGCTACAATGCAGAAGCCAGTCATCTGTAAGGTGAGCATCAGCCACGTGGCAACCTATAAACGTCGACAGCGCGGTTGATTCTCATTGAATCGCGACAATGTTTCTGCTTCTATACGTGAGTAACGGGGCGTTCGAACGAATGCGTCAAGACGCAATGTTTCGCTTTGATATGCGTCTTCGGTGGCAATTCGCCGTCGCCAGACGGTTATCATGCCATGTAGTTACTCCCACATCTAAGGACGTCTCAAAACTCAATAATCTGAACCTTGACGTTTTAATGACTAGTCTTTCGTGCAATGCAGGGGTTGCGACTTTGCTTAACAGTTGCATGTCTGCATATTTCTTTCCCTTTCTCCTCTCCATCCCCCTTCGCCTTCTCTATCCCTCTGTACCGGTTCCCGCCACTGCAGCGGCTCTAACCGCCTGCGAATCACGTGCAACGCTGCGTCGCCAGGCGCGCAGCCCGCGGAAGACCCCTACCAGGTGCTGGGAGTCCGCCCCCTGGACTCGTTCGACGCCATCAAGCTGGCGCACAGGAAGAAGCTGCGGGACGCGGAGGGCAAGGGGGACGAGGCGGAAATAGAGCGAGTGAGCGGGGGAGGGGGGGGGGGCGGAGGGGGAGGGAGGGGGGAGGGGTGGGGAGAGAGGTTTGGGGGATAGGGGGACGGGGTGGGGATTGTGAGGCCTCAGAACGGCGCACAGAAAGAAGCTGCGGGACACAGAGGACAAGAGGGACGAGGCGGAAATAGAGCGGGTGAGAAAAGGGGGAGTGGGAGTGGGGAAATCGTGTTAAAGAGGGAACAGAGTGAGGGGGGAGCGTGAGGCCCCAGCATGGCACAGGGAGAAGCTGTGGGACGCGGAGGGGAAGGGGGACGAGGCGGAGATAGAGCGGGTGGAGGGGGGGGGGGGAGGGGGGGGGATAGTGGGAAGGGAAGTGCATGATTAGGGGGAGGGGGAGTGAGGAGGAAGCGGAGGTTGGGGGGCGTGGAAGGCAAAGGGGACGAGGCGGAAATAGAGCAGATGAGAGGGGGGAAATAGAGCAGATGAGAGGAGGGTAGTGAGGCCGAGAGGGAGATGTTGGAGGCAAGGACGCAGGTTGGTTGGGATGGGAATGCTGAGGAAAAGGGTGACGGTGTGGGAGGACCCCACCGTCCACGATGTGAGGGATATCATATCAAGCTTGCCGACCAGACGGGCTTTGCTCCCTCTCTCCTCTTCCCTCGCTCGCACCTTTCCGCCCTCCGTTCCATCACTGTCCAGATCGACAGGGCATTCGATTCGATGCCATAATGATGCGGCAGCTCACCATGCGCAAGCAGTGCGTCACCTATGGGTCCCTCGAGGTCTCAGAGGACATGAAGTTTGCCGACCAGATGGACTTTGCTCCCTTCTATTCCCCCATCCACCTCATGCACCACCCCTATCCTTGCAGATCGACAAGGCATACGATGCCATCATGATGCGCCAGCTCACCATGCGCAAGAAGGGCGTCACATATGGCTCTCTCGAGGTGTCAAAGGACATCAAGTTTGCCGACCAGACAAACTTCCTCCCATGGCTGCCGCGCTACGAGAAGGCGGACAACAAGGGCATCCTCATTAATGCTGCTGTCTCTGCCGTCATGGTAACAGCATAACGTGGTAACCGTGTGACCTAACACCATAGCAAACAAGCTCCGGTACGAGAAGTCTGACAACAAGGGCATCCTCATTAATGCTGCTGTCTCTGCTGTCATGGTAATGCTGTAACACCGTAGCCACTGTAACACTGTAAGAAAAGCAGGCAACCACGTGGACTTCCTCCTGTGATGGCTGCGCTACAAGAAGGCGGACAACAAGGGCATCCTCATCAACGCTGCTGTCTCTGCCGTCATGGTAACCCTAAACACAGTAATGTCGTAACCACTGAATGCTGTAACAGAACCAGACAACCAGACAAACTTCCTCCCATGGCTGCCGCGCTACGAGAAGGCGGACAACAAGGGCATCCTCATCAACACTGCTGTCTCTGCCGTCATGGTAACAGCATAACCTGGTAACCATGTGACTTAACACCATAGCAAACAAGCTCTGGTACGAGAAGTCTGACAACAAGGGCATCTTCATCAACGCTGCTGTCTCTGCTGTCATGGTAACCCTGTAACATGCTAAAAGTGTAACACTGTAGTTACTGTTGCACAAACACCATAGCGATGATGACCATGCTATGAGAATGCGGGCAACAAGAGCATCCTCATCAACGCTGCTGTCTCTGCCGTCATGGTAATGCCATAACATGGTAACAGTGTTACACCATAGTGACTGTAACGCTAACACCATAGCGATGATGACCATGCTATGAGAAGGCGGACAACAAGAGCATCCTCTCTGTCTCAGCCATTATGGTAACACGATAACACCGTAGGCATTGTAAAACTAACAGCATACCAATGTTAACTCTGTAATACCACTGGAGCACTGTAGCACTATATGGAACGCTGTGTCATCATTCCTCCGTATCTCTCTCTGTCCAATCCCTGCTTTCTCTCTGCTTTCCACGTGTGCAGGCGGTGTGGATGGTGGGGGCGCAGAGCACGGACTGGAAGATCCTGCAGTTCCTCCTCTCCTTCTACATCTTCCTCCTCTCCATGAAGCTCCATGCACATTCCCCCCCGGTCCCAATCCTTGCCGCTCCCGCCCTCCCTCCCTCCCAATCCTTGCCACTCCTTCCCTCCCTTCCAATCCTTGCCTCTCTCTGCCTGCAGGCGGTGTGGATGGTGGGGGCGCAGAGCACGGACTGGAAGATCCTGCAGTTCCTCCTCTCCTTCTACATCTTCCAGCTCTTCATGAAGCTTGACCCCTTCTACCCGCAAAACACTGTACGCAATTACTCTTCTACACCCCAACCTCAATCCAAAGCATCCGTCAAACTCAACTTTCACACTGTCCTTTCCCGTCCCCTGAAAAACCCAAAGTCTGCTCTGTTTGCTCCTTGTGTTTCTTGCTGTTGTACTCAATCTCTCCTGGTGGTTCTCAACCATTGGTGCAGGAGGAGGGGGAGAAGAGATGGCAGAGGAACGGGCGGCGACTCACACGGGCGCTTAGCCTTGTCTTTGGCGTCATTGCTCTTGCCTCTTTGGTATGGATGGGAGGGACTCGTGCAATCATATCGGCTTGCAATGGTGGTAATCATGCCACGGCATTTCGGATGAAGTCTCTGCACGACTTGACACAAACTTGTTTTTGCCATTTCAGGTTCACACTCTCCTGATTAAGGCCTACTCGCTTGCTGGGATGTATGTTCCACGTGCACTTTACACCTTCCAGGTGAGGCTTGGAAACTGCTTTTCCACCGTTCCATTCTCTTGATCAGCGGAAACCAGGGTACTGTAACTAGTGAGGGGCATACCTCTAATTCTGCATTAACCATTGTGTTGTGTGTTTACAGGAAACGTTCATCACCCTCTTCACAAGCGTCAGTTTGTTCTTCATGGGATCATACTACCGATGAGCTCAAATGTGTGACTGACAATGGATGGTGTAGAGCTTTCTTAGTTTACTAGGAGACATAAATAAACTGTAACAAGTACTTCATGTTACACGCCTTGAAAATTGGCGGTAGAGCCAAAGCATGATCTTTTCGTCTGTCCGTGACGTGGCTCCTGATCTTCCGAGCTCACCCACCCAACTTCACTCTTCCACTCCGCTCACCCAAGCCTCACCCACGCCTTTATTCCAGCGCGGCGGAAAGACCAAACCTCACCCGCAACCTCCCGCGAGGGGCATCCCCGCACGGCGGCAATTTCTAGGTAGGCGCTCTGGGTTGCTAGAAGACCGCGCTTTTCTGCAAAGGCTCCGCCCTGCTGCGGAGAGCTCGAGACATTCTTCCGCTTCCGCTTCCGCGCGCGCCTCAGGTTTGATCCTGCTGTTGCACCCTCCACTATTCCATCTTCTTCCGCTTCCATATTCCCTAACTACTTATGGCGGAACGGCCTTATTTCTCCTACTTTTGGCGGATCTGTTGCTCCATACCTAATTAGACCTCGGCTCGTGGTCCGATTAGGAGTTAGTCAAACGGCGTTTGCGTCGTGCAGAATAGGGCCGTCATACCATACCGCATTATTAGCACCACATTTGTGTGTTACGCCACTTGATTCAGCCTGAAGCTCCTTACCTAAAATTATAATTACTCTCACCCTCTAACGGCTGTCGTCTCGCGAAGCCCGATGCGCATGTTTATCTTAATCGTTTCCTTATGAAGAACGTCAAGTGACCCAAATCACTCTCTTTCCTTCTTCGACATTGTGAGTCTCCAAGTCTCGCTTCCCTTAATCGTGCTCTATCTTAGCCAATCGCTAGACACCATAAAATCAGTAACCGAACTAACCTTTTCAAGTCGAACATTTCGATCCCTATTTGGTCGCTTAGTCGAAACCCGAAACCGTGGCGTGTCAGTTTCCGTACACATTTTTACCAACATCACATTTCATCCCACATTTCCTGCTACTGCAGACTTAGGGAGGGGGAACTATGGCGGAGGCATCAGAGCGCGCACCTGGGAACCCGTGGCTGCACGTGCGACGAGAACCGTTCGATTTCGGCCTCCTGCCTATCCCCGCGATCGCATCGTACAAGGAAGCGTCCACTGAAACCCTAAAGCTCCTCCGTCAGCGCCTCATCGACGCGTCTTTAAACTCCGAAGGCGCCTCGACCACCTCCCCGACTCGCGACGGCTCGCAAGAGCCACGTGTCACATGCGAGGCGATAGAATCGTGCCTGAAGCTCTCTAAAGACCAAGCGCGGCTCGTTCTAGACACGCTAGCGTCCGTTCTCCCCACCGGCAGCGAAGACATCGATTCGCTCTCCGACGCGTCGCCGTCAGATGCGGCGAAGATCGGAACGGACGTGGACCTGCTGTTGCTCTTCCTCTTCCTCCAGCGGTACCGCCGCGTTCCCAACCGCTCGTCGCGCGACGCTGCTGTGCTCGCGGACGTGTGGCCGCAGGGGCCGTCGCCGTTCGACTCTGTCTCCCCCACCGCTACCTCCGCCCTCCAGGTAACGTTTTCTCTCGGTATATTTCAAGCGAATGACCTTTAATAGGAAAAAAAACACGTATAGATATTCGGAGGGGCCGTTGCCGCAATGCTGCTGTGCGCACCGGTGTCTGATAAGTGAGTCGACAAAAATCACGTTCGATAGAGGGGGAAAATCCGTGACAATCCTTGTTACCGAGGGGCCGCCGCCGCAATGCGCTGTGCGCGCCGATGTCTGATAAGCGAGTCAGCAAAAACGCACGTCTGATAGAGGGGGAAATCCTCGCTCTTACTCGTCACCCAGATGTCTAGCTGCTGGCTAGAAATGCTGCTGTGCGCCAGCGTCTGGCTGCAGGGGCCGATGCCGCCGCTCGATTCCGTAGCCGAACGCAGAGAGCGTTTATGAAAATTTTGAGGTATTGTAGGTGGATAGAAAATGTAATGACGAAGCATCTGGCGTTCAAAAGCCAGATACTAACGCTCGTCCCGTGATGCCGTTGTGTTCGGCGATGTGAGCCCACATAGCTCGTCGCCGCGCTTGATGCGGTTTCACCTACTGTAACCTCTGCTGCGCACTTTTCCCCCGACGGCATTCTGAGCTGGTTATATATTCGATGTTTTAGCGTGATGGCTAAAACGATGTTTGTGTGGCATTGGGGACGTGAGTGGTCCTGTATCGTTGTCATTACGGCGAATAGAGCGTGAGGCATTGTTAATACTGCTCGGCGAATGCAGCTCTAAACGGGTTCGCACATGTTTTTCCTGTCTCCGCGATGTGCCTAGGCGAGTCGTAAGACGTCTCGGAGGTTGCTTGGAGAAGTCACCGGTGACCTAGTTGTGGGAATGTCGGAGCTGATTATAACGAAAGTTTGAGCAGAGGAGCGAACAGTAGAGTACCGAGCCGGCCGGATGCTGGCTGCGCCATTTAGGGCATTTTCGGGCATCATCGCGCTCATAGCAAGTCTCGTGTGATCGTCGCTCATTGCTTTAGGGTTACTAGTTCCTTCAGTTCCGGTACCAGGTTGACTCTGGGATTGCATTGTCTCACTCAGCGTATCAGTACGTTCCGAAACCTGTCACGCATTGACCTCCGTTTCCACTGCCTGTCTGACTCTCCTTCTCCCTTGTTTTCGGCTTGAACACGTCATCATTACGCCAACAGATAAAGACAAGCCTGGCCACCCGGCAGCGGTTCCAAACGGGGCATGCGGAGGAGGAGCAGCAGCAGCTGTCGTTTCTGCAGAAGAACCTTCCCGCCGTGCTACAACTGCTGGCGGAGCATGGCTCTGATGCTGCTGGTAGTGGCGACGGCACGGAACCCGGCACACAAGTGAGTTATAGAGTGCTCCTTGTTGTGCTGTAGCACTTAGAGATCCTTTGCAGGCAGAAGAACCTGCCCGCCGTGTTACAGCTGCTGACGGAACATGGCTCTGCTGGTAGTGAGACGGCACGGAGCCCGGCGCACAGGTGAGTTATAGATCCTTTGCAGGCACAAGAACCTGCCCGCCGTGTTGCAGCTGCTGGCGGAGCATGGCTCTGACGTTGCTGGTATTGGGATGGCACGGAACCCGGCACACAGGTGAGTGAGGGATTGAGCGCTCACCCACTCTATTTCTCCCTTGTGTCCCCAAGCTCCTCCTTTTACACGGCGCCACATCTTCTAGTGTCACCGCTTATTAATTCGGCTCTACACTCTATCCCTCTCTTTTCCACCCTCCCTCGTCGTCCCACCACCCCATCCCTCCCATCCTCTCCATTCCCCTCTGTCCCATCCCATCCCTTCCCTTCCTCTCGCCCTATTCCTCCCTTTCTCCCGTCCGATTCTTCCCTTCCTCCCATGTCCCCATCTTTTCTTTCTCCCATCTTTTCCTCCCAGGCTTTCCCTGATCTCTCCCCACCTCCCATGTCCCCCTATATGCCCCCGAACCTCCCTCCCCCTCTCTTCCGTCCCCAACCCCCGCCCCCTCCCTCCCATTCAGGTCATCTCTATCGACAAGTTCGAGTTGCTGGGTCTCTTCCTTCGGGTCAACCGACCCGGAGTCTCCTCCCTCCTCCTATCCCAAGTCGCTCCTTTCTTTGCCGAAGCTGACGCGGCCATGCCTCCTGCGCCCGTACCTCTCTCCGTGGCTCAAGACTGGCTCGGCCCGAGGCTCTGCTGCACGTCCGACCACGGCCCGGACCTAAGGCCGCAGTCCCCCTCCCGCCCCGCCAAGGTCCCCGCGGATAGGGGCGGAGATTCCGCCGCCTCCCCCACCAAAAGCGGAGATACGCCCATGGGGGAAGGGGGAGCAGTTGCGGGGAGCGGGGCAGGCGCAGGGGCGGAGGTTCAGGGATCGCCTAGAGGGGCCGCGGCCAATGGGGCGATGACAGGTGGCGTGCTGTCGCGGCGTGTGTGGGCGGCGGCAGGGATGACGACCGTTGATGGGGTTGCGAAGATGTCGGTTCTCAAGGGGGAGACGGAGGTTGACAGCAGCTGCGTGCGGGTATGTCCCTGGTCTGACTCCCTCCTCTGAATCCCTCGTCTGTCTCCTCTTTTGAGTCCTTCCCCTCTGAATCTTTGCTCTCGGTGAGATGGAATCAGCCTGTGGATGGGGTTGCAAAGATGTTGGTGCTTAAGGAGGAGACTGAGATGGACAGCAGCTGCGTGCAGGTAAGACTCCCCCCCCCCTCAACCCCCCTCCCCCCCTCTTCTGACTCCCATTTTTGAGTCCCTTCCCTTGGAATCTTTGCTCTCGGTGAGATGTGGCGGTGCCTGTGGATGGGGTTGCAAAGATGTTGGTGCTTAAGGAGGAGACTGAGATGGACAGCAGCTGCGTGCGGGTGAGTCGTTCCCCCCTCCTTTGGGAAAAAAATCGAAAGAAAACAACGTCAAACAGTGGCTACATGCTAAAGTAACGAAGTGCGCCCAAGTGTGGAGTGGCTGGAAAGCGGTCATGGTTGAAAACAAGTTACTTCTGAGTCGACTCAAAGGTCACCTGGAAAGCGGTCATGGTCAAAAACAAGTACCCACACTCGAACCCCCTGCACTCCCACTCTCTCACGCTCCCACTCCCACCCTCTCGCGCTCCCACCCTCACCACACGCTGCTCCTTCTCAGCCTGCCAACCAGAAACTCCTTCGCCTTCCCGCTCAACTCTCCACTCAGCCCGCCTCTCAAAACCCCCTCTCCTCCCATTTCCCCCGCCCCCTCCCTTCCCTCCTTCCCGCACCTTGAATCACCTTCCGCCTTCCTCTCCTCGCCCTTATCCCCCCCTCTTCGTTCTCCCCGCACACATTTGTTCCCTGCCAATGTCACACCTTCCACGACCCGTACCTACCGGCTGAAATCCCTTCTTTTTTACTCCCGGTCCCACATAACCCTAACCTCCTTTCTCCCCTCCAAGCGGCACGCTGCAATGACAGTGTGATGTGATCTACGTGCTCCTTCTCTCTGGAACACTTACTCTGCCTCCCTCCTGCCTCTTCCCCCCTGCGCCCCCCCCCCCTCCCCCCAGGTGGCGCACTGTCACGACAGTGTGATCTACGTGCTCGCGCCTCTCAAGTACGCCTCCGTTATTGGCTGCTCCGATTCCATTGTGGTGCTGGGCGCCGTGGGCAAGGTAAGAGGGAGCGAGGACGAGATGAAGAGGGGAGGGGGAGGAATAGAGCCAAAGTGGTGGGGCGTGGGCATGTGCAGTCGCTTCTCTCGCGCCTCTCAAGTATGCCTCCGTTATTGGCTGCTCCGACTCCATTGTGGTGCTGGGCGCCGTGGGCAAGGTAAGAGGGAGGAAGGTGAATGGTAGAGGAGGGAGGGTGAACAATAGAGAGAGGAGGGGTGAAGGGTAGAGAGGAGGGGTGAAAGGTAGAGAGAGGAGGGGTGAAGGGTAGAGACAGGAAGGGTGAAGGGCAGAGGGGAGAAAGGTAGAGGGCGGAGGGGTGAAGGGAAGAGAATGGAGGGTGAAGTGGACGAGGGTTGAAGGAGAGCAAGAGAGAGGAAGAATGAAAGGGAGAGTGGGGAGGGGCTTATACAAAGTGCCACTAGACATGCCCCCAATCAAACACGCTCCCTCCTCCCAACCCGCCCCCACACACACCCCACTCCGCAATCCCCTCCTCCCTCCTCAGGTGGTTTTCGTGGAAGCCTGTGAGCGTTTGACCCTCATCGCCCCGTGCGCGCGCATCCGCATAGCCAACTGCCCATTCCATCCTCCTCTTCCTCTTCCTACCCTGCCCCCTCCCCTTCTTCCCTCCCTGCCAGGTGGTGCGAGTGGAAGCCTGTGAACGCCTGACCCTCATCGCCCCGTGTGCGCGCATCCGCATAGCCAACTGCCGCGAGTGCGTGTTCTACCTCGGCTGCAACTCCCGCCCCGTCATTCTCGGCGACAACCACTCCCTCCAAATCGCCCCTTACAACACCTTCTACCCCCGCCTCGACTACCACCTGGCCAAGGTCGGGGTGGACCCTGCTGTGAACAAGTGGGACATGCCGCTAGCGCTGGGGTCGTTAGATGCTGCTGCTGCTGCTGGTGCTGCCGGTGCTGGCACTGCTGCTGGTGGGGCTGGTGGTTCGGCTGGTGCTGGGGGGGCGAGTGGAGTGGAGGGGGAGGGGGCGAAGGAGGGAGCGGCGGCCGCGGCGCTTGATTCGGCGATTCTGATGCCTCCTGAGAAGTTTGTGCCGTTTGTGGTGAGTCTCATGTCATGTCATGTCATGTCAGTCACCTCGTCCGTTCCAGTGCTGGTTCAGCTTTTCTGTGATTCGGCGATTCTGATGCTCCTGAGAAGTTTGTGCCGTTTGTGGTGAGTGGCATGCCATGTCACGTCAGTCAGTCACCTCATCCAGTGCTTGTTCAGCTTCCCTTGCTTGTTTGGGGTGAGTCGTTTTCCTAGCCCACATGGCCCCAGCCTCTCCTTCGATGCGAGAGGGTAAAAGGCACCCATGGATCGCTTTGAAATGGAAGTTATACCATTTGCCTCTCTGTTTGCCGCCAGTCCACAGGCCCTTCAATCCTAATTTTATATCCCCTTCCCCTCTCCCCCTCTTCTCCGCCCCCTTCCCCCCCCCATTTCCTCTCCTTCTTTCTCAACATAACAGGTTCCGTTCCGGACGCAGCAGGAGCAGCCAGGCGGAGGGGGAGGTGCCAGTCTGCTACTGCAGCAGGCCACGCAGTTTCCTTGTATGGGATGGGAATCAAGCTTATCACATCCCCACACCTCCCCTGTTGCCATCACATCAGGTTCCGTTTCGGACGCAGCAGGAGCAGCCAGGTGGAGGAGGCGGTGCCAGTCCGCTACTGCAGCAGGCCACGCAGTTTCCTTTTATGGGATGGGAATCAAGCGTATCACATCCCCACACCTCCCCTGTTGCCATCAAATCAGGTTCCGTTTCGGACGCAGCAGGAGCAGCCAGGCGGAGGAGGCGGTGCCAGTCCACTGCTGCAGCAGGCCACGCGGGCCAACCCGTTTGCTCTGCCCAAGACATACCTCATCGCCCTGCAGCACAAGGTGTGTTACTCATTGCTGTTGAATACTCGTCAGCACAATGTACATAACTCATCACCACAGCAGTCCGCTGCTGCAGCAGGCCACACGGGCTAACCCGTTTGCTCTGCCCAAGACGTACCTCATTGCGCTGCAGCACAAGGTATGAGAGTCGCTGCCTTGAATGCGCTGCGGCACAAGGCACATGGCTGGGATCCCTTGAATGCCTTGGACCACAGAGGTGCAAGCAGCCATGGATTGCTTCTGTCGTCTCTGCTGTACCACGCCTCTCTTTGCTCGCGTCTTTCCTCTCTGTACACCTCACCACCCCTCTTCCTTTCTTTTCTCCCCCGTCTCCTCCCTGATGTGTGACAGACCAAGACGGTGGAGAGTCTGAGGCAGACGCTCAAGACAGCGGTGCTGGACGAGAGTGGGGATTGAGGTCAACCGTCTCACCCTCCTTTCTTTCTTCCCGCCCAACCCCCTTCCCTGCCTTCCTTCCCTGTCAGACCAAGACGGTGGAGAGTCTGAGGCAGACGCTCAAGACAGCGGTGCTGGACGAGGGGCGGAAGAGGGAGCTCACGAACGTCATCCAGGCACACTTCAAGGAGTGGCTCCTCAGTCAGTGCCCCCCCTACCTCCTCTACCTCCTACGGCATTTTGCCTCCTGAAAATGTTTCTATTTCTTCTGTAATAATGCCTCCTCTCTGAGGAGGCCTCCTCTCTAAGAATGCCTCAAGAACGTTATCCAGGCACACTTCAAGGGGTGGCTCCTCAGTCAGTCACTCCCTTCCTCTTTCCCTTACCTCCTTCCACCTTTTTTTTCACACCCATCCAGTTTACCTGCTTTATTTCCATTCCAATTATGTACCGTTTCCCTCGGTTACCCATCATCCACGCTACACTCGCCCTTCATCCACACTACACTCCCATCATCGAGCCCGCTATCCACGACCGTTTTCCTCATTTCCCCCACACCCCCTCCCCACCACCCTCTACCCCGCTCCCCCCAAGCACCCTGTGGGCACATATCTGGAAACGTTTCAAAAGACAGAGGTAACATTCCAAGTCACCCTGGCTCTATCCCCTCTCCCCACCCGACTTGCCCTGCCTGCTGCAGCATCGGGCAACATTCGGCAGGTGTACGATCTCGCACGCCTTGACAGGGACCCTTAGCACCTTCTTAGGGAGAGCCCTAGCAGCAGATTTCTTAGTCACCCTGCCTTTATCCCCCCTCCCCAACCTCTGCCCTGCCTGCTGCAGCATCGGGCAATATTCAGCAGGTGTACGATCTCGCACGCCTTGACAGGGACCCCTAGCACCGCTGAGAGGGAGAGAGCTGCTTTTGAGTCGACTCAAAAGCAGACTCATTACACGCGGTTTCTACAGGTGTACGATCTCGCACGCCTTGACAGGGACCCCTAGCACCGCTGAGAGGGAGAGAGAGAGCGCCCTATCACCTGGTCAACCTGCTTCCACCTGCTTCTCCCCCCCCCCTCCCCACCCAACTTGCCCTGCCTGCTGCAGCATCAGGCAACATTCGGCAGGTGTACGATCTCGCACGCCTTGACAGGGACCCCTAGCACCTGGTCAGGGGGACCCCTATCAGCAGCTTTTCAGGGGAAGCCCCTGTCTCGCCCATTCTCGTCTAATCATCTGCTCTTTAGCTTCTAAGCCCTTCAAGCGTGCGGCTTTTCAAGCGTCCACATTATGCGTCCCTTATCATTGTCTGCCTCTCTCTCGATCCGTATGCACCAACCTACCAAGCCCTTTCCACACAGTGCACTGCTAGAGTAGACCGTTGCTTGCATGTCCAAGCAGCCGTTCTTGCATGGCCACCAGCACTGCAACCAACTTGCATAATTACAGACCAGCTGATTTCACAAGGATGTACCGTGGGCATGGAAGGATGGATCTGTACGGGGCATGGGATGGCAAGGAGTATGGGCCGGGAGTAGCTACTGTACTACCAGCTGAGCTGGTGCTTTATTTAGGGAGCCTTAGTCTGGGGCAAAGCTTCTCTTGTGAGGGCTGAATGGGAAACAAACTGATTATGAGTGTGGTGGTTGCCTTTGAGAGGATGAGGCACTTGACAAATCTGAAGGCCCTTGCGACAATTATGAATCAACTGTAATTCATTGCTGTGATTGTATTGATGGTACCGTCACCCCCCGGATATAAGCGCCACCCTAGGATAAGCGCCTGGCGCTTCTAATTGGCATATGGCGCTTATATCCCCTCCTCGATTATAAGCGCACCCCCTGAAAAAACTAGTTTTATTATAAGCGCACGTAAACTTTAAAATTTGAAATGTGTACAAAACGTTGTAATGATTTTTACTTTAGCAGGCAGATATGTTGCAGATTCGGTTCCCTTCACATTCGGACCCTGCACTGGATGCGGGTCCAGTCAGCAGGAGCTGTCAGGAGCTGGATGTGAGTCAGATTGGGTGTGTCTCCCAGCGCGCGCGAGAATTTCACAGACGACCCCATGTAAATTCGACTCGATTGAAAGGGCAAGCACGAGACCTACAGTTTGGTGTTAAAAAATATAAAAAATATGAATGTCATTTTATAAACGCCGGCGCTTATAACTTTACTCGATTATAAGCCCACCCCCTTGAAAAAACATGTTTTATTATTGCCCCCCATGGGGGTATATCCGGGGGGTGACGGTAATTGTTAGTACTGATACACTGATGTGGCGTATCAGCAATGATCCATACAAGTTATGATCCACAAATGCGGACTGAGAGAAAATGTTATATTGATATACGTAATGTAATCAATTGTGCAGTTACGTTATGTGATGTACTCATATTTCTATATGTAATGCAGAGATGTGGGAGTAAGGTTTTGTGTAATGATTTGCCGCACTACAGCGATTGGGTGCGCGATTTAGATTTTGGCGACGCTTTTCCCCGATTATGACGAGATGCCACGATGCGGGCTGATAACGAACTCTTCGCTAACGTTCATTCGATTCCACGTGGATCAGAATACCCTGAAGGTCACAAAATCGGTCTGCCTTATCGGGTTGGAGCTCACCGATTGGTTGACGGACCCAGTGTGCGAAATTCTGATTGAACGGCGCCACCTGTCGGGATTCTTGTGCTGCTCGATGCTGGGTTTCCCCGAACTCCTGGAAAATCCCTCCAAGCGGTGTACCTGCAGCAGCGAGACCTCACATCCAGTTTTAGACTCTTCGGGGTTTGCTTTCCTCTACGCAAGCAGCGATCTCCTTCCAGACCAGACTCTGCAGCCAGACTTCCTCTTCCAGTAACCAAACTACAGAGGAAAAATGGCCGCCGTCACCATGGCTGCTGTTGGTCTGGGTGCTCCCCTTGTCGCACCCAAGAACCTGTCCTCCAAGGCGTCTTTCTCCACCACCAAGGCGTCTTGCTTCGTGAAGCAGGTGTCTGCCAAGACCGTCTGCTCCGCGGAGAAGAAGGAGGAGAACGTTACCGAGCAGGCTGGCAAGATCGCCTCTGCCCTCGCCCTTGCTGCCATCGTCAGCACCGGTGCCTTGGCCGTTCCCGAGGTCGCACTCGCCGATGTCGCTGGCCTTACCCCCTGCAAGGACTCCAAGGCCTTCGCTAAGCGCCAGAAGAACTCCATCAAGAAGCTGAAGAACCGCCTCAAGCTCTACAAGGACGGCTCCGCCCCCGCTCTGGCTCTCAAGGCCACCATTGAGAGGACCGAGCGCCGGTTCTCTTTCTACGGCAAGTCCGGCCTGCTGTGCGGCACCGACGGTCTTCCCCACCTGATCGTCGATGGTGACTTCAGGCACGCGGGCGAGTTCGTGTCCCCCGGCATCGTCTTCCTGTACATTGCTGGCTGGATCGGGTGGGTCGGCCGCTCTTACCTGATCAAGACCAAGGAGGGAGCCAAGCCCACCGAGAAGGAGATCATCATCGATGTTCCCCTCGCTCTCAGCCTGCTCGGCCGTGGTGCTACCTGGCCCGTGGCTGCCTGGTCCGAGTACAGGAAGGGTGACCTGATTGTGTCCGCTGACCAGATCACCGTGTCCCCCCGTTAAATGCAAGATAATATATTTTGAGTTTCATGTACAGCCCTTTTAGAAGGTCGGCTTGAGTGGAACAATTTTGTACGCTCAATATTCAGATTAACACGATATTCAATAGCCACCTTTTGGAAGTGCCAACGCTATTCCTGTTGTTTTAGCCAAACATGGCTGGCTAGGTCATGGTGCATTAGTCATTTACTTGCAGAAAAATTCATTTAGATACGTACGCAATTCTTTCATGTCAAGTGGTTCAGGCTCAAACTTCAGTCAAATGCATCATATCCACCGCGCCCTTTTACCCAAGCATTAGAATCACTAGATAGAATGAAGCTTCATTTTCCTTCTACCAGTTGTCTTCCCTGTTACTTGCAGAAGTATGTTCAATAATCTCGCAAATATAGGAAATAATACACGGCCATCACGCTGTTGCTGTGGATTGTTGGGGCAGCGTCCTGAGATGAAACGAGGAAGTGGTTAAACGCAGTAATTCGAAGGACTGAAAAATCACTTCAGAAAGCCCAAGAAAAATCAACAATGCTGAAGCTTGACTGTACAATCATCAGGGTTCAAAACGCCATGTCACATCAGCTTCCTCGCAGTTTGTGAACAAACCACATCATCATCATCCCCCGTGAACTCCTCTGTTCCAGTTGCAGCCCCATTGGTTATCCCTCCACCATTTTCATGGTGTCTGCGCATTCTCTTACGGCTTGGTGTGCGCATGACTTCCCGACCAAATGTCTTCATCTGGTAATTGACGAAAGCCTCCTTCACCTCATCCTCCTGGAAAACAAGAAAATAATAAGAAACGCAATTAAACAATAGACACAAACAAACAACAAAACCAACTTGCACTACATGAACAGCAACAGCGGATAGGTTGTGCAATGACAAATAACGACAACGAATGAGCTTACGAGGCGCTGATCTCTTGTCTTGATGTACACTCGAACGGTCATGTCCTTGTAATTCTGAGGCATCATTGTGCTCATGCGATGGCATGGGATGGGAAACTTGGACAGCTTCTTTGAAGGATCGCCTCGGTCCCGGTGCTCCTGGGTCTGCAGTTGCACAATTCAGAACGTGGAAATTACTGATCGAGGAGTGCTTGGTAGGAGAGACCTGCAAAGAGGATGGTGGTGATTCACATGTCCGCATGTGAAGCATGTCAGACATGCACGTGCGTGCGTGATGTGTGACATTGACCTCCAGGTGGAATGACATCGTGACATGTCGAAAACTCTAGCTCTGACAACTCACATTGAAAAAGCAGACCCTGCAGAGCATATGCACCCCATGTATGCATCACAGGTGCAATTAACAGGAGGAATGAACACCCCACCTTACGCAGACGGGGACCCTGAAGTACACCCCCCACGACTCACATCAAAGAAGCGGACCCTGAAGAGCAAGCACAACCCATGGGTGCATCACAGGAGGAATCAACACCCCATGCAGTCGTTGTGGCAACATGGTTGTTGCAGCCATGTGGTGAGGTGGAGCACACGGGCCCAGCAGGCGAAACGGATGGAGCAGCACCCCCCGTGGTGGTTGTAGCAACATGGTTGTTGCAGCCATGTGGTGTGGTGGAGCACACGGGCCCGGCAGACAAGGAAGCAACATCCCCAATGGTGGTTGTCACAAAATGGCCGCCATACCAACGTGGTTGTTGTAGCCATGGTTTGATTGCGCACATGACACAGGGTGGAGGTGCATAAGAGAGAAATACGAGATTGTATGAGAAACGGCCGATTAAGGCACTCAGCAGTTTCTGAGTGGGTTGTGCAAAGTTGATTCTATCAATCAGTTGCTAAGGTTGAACGTTTTGACTCGCTAGTCAGTGGGTTGTCTGTGTCTTGGCCATAGTCAATCTTTATATTGTCCACAATCACTCTTGGGAAAACCTAGTCCACTCTCGTAATGTACATTACTCAAGACGCATGTGACCAACAGGTTGATATTGATGTTGACATGTGTCATTCTAGACTCACTTGTCAAGGGGGTTATCTGTGTCCTGCCCATAGTCGATCTTGATATTGTCCACAATCACTCTTGAGAAACCTTACCTAGTTCCACTGTCATAACACCTTGTTCGACATGAGTGTAGGAACAGGGTCGTGAGGAATGTAAGTGGAAAGGCTCTCACTTGTCGAGGGGGTTGTCTGTGTCCTGCCCATAGTCAATCTTGATATTGTCCACAATCACTTGGTCGCCATGCTCCCTCAGGTATGACCCCGTGCCCTGCCAAAATACCAAGGAACACAGGTAGATGGGTATGTCGTATGGTAAGCAGCTAGTTATCATTACTTGGTCGCCATGCTCCGGCGGCTACAATCCCGAGTCCTGCCATTGCTCCCAGTCAAATGGTGGAATACAGGTAGCAGGCTTACAGGTACAGGGGGATATGGTATGGTAAACAGCTATGTACCATCACTTGTGGCCACGCTCACACTACTCACGCCCTCACACACTCACATGCTCAGCCAGCGCATCCACTGTGAGGTTCTTAAAAAGGGGCAGCACATAACACTCACACGCAAACCCACAAACACCCTCACACACTCCCTAATATACTCGCACACTCCCACAAACACTCTCACTCCCTAACACACTCGCACACTCCCACACACTCTCACACACTCGCACAATCCGACACTACTCACGCCCTCACACACTCACATGCTGCAGCAGCTCATCTACTGTGAGCTTTCTGAAGTGGTGAAGCGCATCCACCGGCACCACAAACTCGTTCATGTACTGGAGGGGAGGGAGGAGGGGAAGGGGGCGAAGGGAGGAGGTCAAACAGGAGCAAACAGAGTGCGGGGAGGGAGGAGGGGAAGGGGGCGAAGGGAGGAGGTCAAACAGGAGCAGACAGAGTGCGGGGAGGCAAACGAGAGCTTCTTGAAGTGGTGAAGAGCGCCCAATGGGACCACGACCTCGTTCATGTACTGCGGGGTTGAATGGTGGGGAGACGGGGTAAAGATGGGATGGGGGAGTGATCTGGGGACATGAGGCAGTAAGGAGGGAGCAGACATTGTTCAGGGAGGAAGGTGAGTGCTGAGAAAAGGTGCAAAACGGTGCAGAACGGTGCAGAGCGGTGCAGAACGGTGCAAAACGGTGCAGAACGGTGCAGGGACCCAGAAGTCACCTGATACAGCTGTCGCCGTTCAAGCTGCCTCAAAATCTCCTGGGATTTCGCCAGGCTGGGGTCCCGAGACCGCAGGATCTCCCGCAGAATCGTATCGTCCAGCTGGCAGAATCTATCGAGATCTTTCGTGAGTGCAATCTCCTCAAAGCGGAAGACGTGGCTGGCGTGGGTGAGGGCCTCTAGGATCATGGCCTCCACTGCCTTGACCGTCTTGTGCGTGTACACATTGCGATACATCTTGGCCCTCAGCCAGAACAGCTCGTTCACTGTCTCCACTGTAAAGGGGGGGGGGGGTGGGGGTGGAGGAGAGGGGGGAAGTGGAAGGTGTGGTTGGCATGGGGAGCGCCTCCAGGATCATGGCCTCGACTGCCCTGGAGGCGCCTTGAGAGCCGCTCCCAAAGGATCATGGCCTCGACTGCCTTGACTGTCTTGTGCGCGTACACGTTGCGATACATCTTGGCGCGCAGCCAAAACAGCTCGTTCACTGTCTCCACTGCAGGGGGGGGGGGGGGGCAAGGGGAGGGATTAGGGTGTGGGGGTGGGGTTGCGTGTACACGTTGCGATACATCTTGGCGCACAGCCAGAACAGCTCGTTTACTGTCTGCACTGTTGACAGGGGAGCGGGGGGAGAGGGGAGGAGGGAGGAGGCAGGAGGGAGGAGGGAGAAGGAAGGAGGGAGGAGGGAGGAGGAAGGAGGGCGGACGGAGGAGGGAGACCGGAGGGGAAGCGGAGGATGCATTGGGCGTGGGAGAGGGGAGGAGGGAGGAGAGGGCCTCGAGGATCATGGCCTTGACGGCCTCAACAGCCAAAACAGCTCATTCACTGTCTCCACTGCAGACAAGTGCGAGGGAGGAGGGGGGGGGGGACGGGGGAATGGGGAGAGGGTAGAAGGGGTAAAGGAAAACACATCTTGGCCCGCAGCCAAAACAGGTCGTTCACTGTTTCTACTGCAGAGAAGTGTGCGGGAGGAGGGGAAAGGAGGGGGGGGAGAGGGAAAGGGGGAGGGGCAAGGGGGAGGGGAGAGCAAGAGAGGGTACGAGAGGAGAAGAGCAGGCAAGAGAGCATACGAGACAAACAGGAGAGGGCGGAGGGTAAGAGTGGGCAAGAAGGGAAAAGTACGGCAATGAAGTAGGGCATCACTCACACTCTCTGTACTTGAAGCAGATTTCGTCGTCTATGACTCGCATCATCTGGATTATTCTGTGGGGAGGGAGAGAAGGACAGCAGGGGGGGCGATGGGGGCGACACGGAGGAGAACGCAAGGGTTTTTGAAGGCGCCAGCGCTAAAGAAAAGCCACGCAGAAAACACTGAAGGTGCCACCAAATAGTGCATCCAACGCTGCAGGGTTTTATTGAAAATTCTCAAAAAAACCCTCCTTACACTCACCCTCCCACCTCACCCTCCTCATCTCCCCATGTTCATCCCACATCCCCCCCTCTCACCTCTTGTGATCGAAGCACGCCTTGATGTTGCAGAAGTAGCTGTCACGAGCCAGGTAGTCAAACCTGTCAACCACAGAGCATGCACTCACGCCCTCCTTATGCTCACCCTCCTTACATTCACACCCTCCTCACCTCTTGTGATCGAAGCACGACTTGATGTTGCAGAAGTAGCTGTCTCGAGCCAGGTAGTCAAACCTGCCAGCCACAGAGCAGTGCACAGATCGGGACACCACATAAAGAGAGAGCAGCAATTCTACTGCTAAAGAATTAAGGAAAAACGGGGTGCACTGTTGAAGGATTGGAGAGAACACGGGCTCACTCACTTGTCCACGTCTATTCCCGTGCGTGCATTGGCTACAATGTCCCATAAAAACTCCTTCTCCTTATAGTCCTGCATAGGACACTCCACACCACACACACAGGGGAGGAGGGAGACAGTCAGTCAGGTGCCTCACAGCGCATTGGCCACGATATCCCATAGAAACTTCTTCCCAGTTTAGTCCTGCAGATACTCCGGGCAGCGGAAAAAAAAACTTTCAGCGACCGTTCGCGTGATGCTTCGAAAATCTTTTTGTCACGATGATTCATAATAGCTCCTTCTCCCTGACCCACAGAGAAAACGAGCACTGCATACTCTCCACAAATGAAAATGCACGTTTCAGGAGTTTTTTCAGGAGCTTTTGAGCCCTCAGCCTCACCTCACCCTCATATCACTGACATGACCCAACCATTCCATTCCCCTCACCCACCCACCCTCACCCACCCTCGCCCACCCTCACCCACTCAATTCTTTTTCCCCTCACCCTCCCATCATCTTTCCCTGCCCTTTTTTTTCCTGTCTCCACCCGTTTCCCCCCTCACCTACCCTTTTCCTCTTGGACTTGTCAGGTAGAATGAGGCTCTGGGTGTGGGGGAATTAACAACGGGCGGGCAGCAGGGGGGGATGGATAGTTGGGGGGAAAGAAGGGGAGAAAGGAAACGGAAAGAACAGGGCAGGTAGGTGGACGGAAAAGGCAGAGAAAGCCACTTGTAAATAATCCTTTGCAATGGATTATGGAGCCAAGCATGCGGAGGGGTGGAGGTGGCAAAATGTTGAGGATGAGACTCACCTGGATGGTGGCGACAGTGTCAGGGTCAATGTCAATGCTGTTGTTGTCAATCACTCGATCCACCAGCTGCACTGACCATCTCTTGTGTACCTTCACCCCCTCTCCCCTTCAGCACTATCTCTCACTCTTCTCCTGGTTCTCACCTTGATGGTGGCAAGCAACGGTGTCAGGATCAATCAATGTCAATGCTGTTGTTGTTGCCATTGCCAATCCTCTTCACTTGCAGGCTGTCCCCGATAATGCTGCGCCGCGCTCACCTCTCACCTGCAGTATTATCTCACCTTGATGGTGGCGACGGTATCAGGGTCAATGTCAATGTTGTTGTTGTCAATCACTCGATCCACCAGCTGCACTGACCGACCGCCTCTCATCTACCTCCACCCTCTCCCCTTCAGTGCTATCTTACCCTCATGCTCTCACCTCATCCTCTCACCCTCATGCCGTCATGCCCTCTCTCACCTTGATGGTGGCCACGGTGTCAGGATCAATGTCGATGTTGTTGTTGTCAATCACTCGATCCACCAGCTCCACTGACCGCTTCTCGTGGTGCCTGATGATTCAATGCGGTGCAAAGGTGTTCAACAAGATTGAAAATTGTTTAGAGAGATGCAAAGGTGTTCAAAAAGTGGCCTTGCAAGTGGAATCATGCAGGTACAATCGACTGTGCAGCACATAGCAGTCGGATCCAGGGCAGAAGCGGGAGAAGATGGCGTTATCCAGCATGTGACTGAAGCACCCATGCCCCATGTCATGGCACAACCCAGCTTCAAGACGCCTCAAAAGATTGCCAAGTACGTACCAATCGGATCCAGAGCAGAAGTGGGAGAAGATGGAGTTATCGAGCATGTGACTGAAGCACCCATGCCCCATGTCATGGCACAGCCCAGCCAGAGTAACCGCCATGACGTCATCATCATTGATCCGCAGCTCTGGCTGCTGCCGCCTTAATGATTCCACCACCTCATTGGCCAGATGGGAGGTCCCTATGGAGTGCTCTAGTCGTGTGTGATTGGCTGACGGGTACACGTAGTGGCAGACGCCTAGCTGGCGGATGTGCCTTAGCCGCTGAAACTCGCACGTGTCGATGATGCTCAGGCTGGTCTGTGGTGGGATTGAGGAGGGGAGGGTTGGAAGGGATGGGGAGAGAGAGGCGTGGAGAGGAGTGAAATTAGACGAGCAAAGGAGAAGCTGTTTTGCTGCACGAAAGGAAGAAGCATGAGTGTCAATCCCTGTCATTGGCACTGAATCCTGGCTCACTCACCCGTTGTGCTGAATCTTGTAACTTGACAGCCATGTGCTTTTATCCCGTGACCTTTGCTCCGTAGCCATCGTGACCTTTGTCCGTGCCTTTTCCATTTAGACTCAGCAGCATTTCCATACCGTGTGAGAACGTGATATGGCCGTGAATGGGGTCGTAAAACAGCTTTCGAGCGACTAACCAAAAGCCAACCCGTTACAATGTCACACGATATACCCGTACGTTGTTGAGGATGATATGGTCGCGATTGGAATCGTTAAACAGCTTCGAACCGTTCCCGTAAATCGGATTGTTAGCAGTCGACTCAAAGCACACCTTCGTACCTTGTCGACCGTGATATGGTCGTGAATGGGATCGTTCAACAGCTTCGAGCCGTTCCAGTAGAGATGACTCATCGCAACGGCACGTCCGAAACCGATGTCGTTGGCCGTGACAGCACTTTCGTGAATGATCGAATGAGATCCCGCGAGGGAGTCGCTATCACGAATCCGGTAACGTAATCTAATTCAGGTCCAAGGTTGGGATTCTAAGCAACTCCGCTACGAATGTTAACGCAACGTTATTCTGGTTGAAGAATCAACGGTCATATCAGGATACGCCTTGCAGGAAAAGGAGGGAGACTAGCTAGCCAAGCACCAGCAACAAGAAGCTCTCATCAGGTTATATATTCAAGGAGCGTGGCGTGGTTTTTCTCAAGGTTCTGGTAAAGGTGATAGGTGAGAGAATCTTATGTGCCTGCCGAACTGGGCTGTTGCCATGCCAAGCATGTTTTACTGCCTGAGTGAGTGCGACATTCCCGAGGGGCACAGGAAGTGAGTGGTGGTGAAGTGATACATGCATAGCGGCGTGGTATGGTAACGTCCAGAGCGTGATCCATTCGAGCCTAGACATTTACCGCTCTAAACCGTACAAAAATTGACTGTAACGCAAAATACCGTGTCCAACATGCGGACTTCGGCACCACGCCCTCTTGCGAGAGAGGTCGAACGAAACCACGCACTCACCACATGCATTCGTAAGAACATAGAGTGTTACAGACAGTACAGTGCTACACGCTGGTGTGAACAAATTATCTATCAGTGGTACAGTATTCAATTGAGGAAAACGGTAGGCCCTGGGGAAGTGACAGAATTTGCAGCAACAAGGTAGCCCATGAAAAAATGAAGGTGTAGCACACCACAACGCTTTGTGGAGATCTCCACTAACATATTACAGCAGTAAACTTTGTTAACATTTGTTTCCTACGTGCTATTGTACAGTGTAACGAATGTCTGTCAGTTCAGAATGCACTACTGTGCAGCACTGGTTTTGTAGTCATGATTGTCTTTCGCTTGGCTTCTCTCCCACACCTTTTGCAGCGGCACTGTGTCAGCAGCGCCACCCACACCACTCCCACTGTCACCACCACCACCACCACCACCACTACCAGCAGCAGCAGGACCACCAGAGACAGACGCAATAGGCGCTGCTCCAATCACAGGTGCATCCGGGGAAGGGTTCATCTCGAGCAGGGTGACGAGCTCAGCAGTGGTCTTGAGCGCATGGGAGAAGCGCCAGAGCGTGTTGAAAAGAGCCACCACCTCGTTGCGCTGCAGACTCAACTTATCAACACCGTTGCCATTGCCGTTGCCACCGATGCCATTGCCGATGCCGTTGCCATTGCCATCAACAGAGAAGAGGATCTTCAGGGCTGTGGCAAGCCCGAGGATCTCCAGCTTGCCCCACAGGCGGCACCGCTCACACCCCACACAGTCCATGATCAGGCTGGGGGAGTGGGGAAAGGTGGAGAGTGGTGGAGATAGGTAAGGAAGGAATGGAAGAGCACGCCAGCTTGCCCCACAGGTGACAGCGCACACACCCCACACAGTCCATCTAGACTACTAGACCATTCAACACGCACCTGATGTTCCTGGTGACTTTTGAGTCGACTCAAAAGTCACAGGTGGCATCGCGCACACCCCTCACAGCCCATCTAGACTAATAGATCTATTAGTGCCCCTCACAGACCATTCAACACGCACCTGATGTTCCTGAAGTGCCCCTGCAGTGTCTGCTTGAGCATCGGACCCTCATCCCCTCGCCACATCCTCGCCTCATCAAACGGCAGTGGGCAAGCCGCCTGCAGCCTCCCATTCCTCACCACCTGCTGCACCAGCGCTGCTGTCTGCTGGTCTTCAAGGGGGTTCCCTGTGTCATAAGATGCGCGTGATAAGAAATCCGCTGCCTGTACCAAACAAGGGTGGGGGAGAAGGAAGGGGGGAAGGAGGGAAAGTGTGGTTGGAGGGTGTTACCAGCAAACCTGAAAAGGGTAGAGGTAGGGTGTTACAAACCTGAGAAGAGCAATGTTTTACCCAAAGCGAATGTGCACAAGTGGATTGTCCGGCAACATTATTGCCAACTAATTGGTGTGTGGAGTTAAGGAGGAGGGGAGGAGGGGGAGACCACTTACTTTGGTAGCAGCGCGCAACACAAAGAGGAAGGTAAAGTAGAGGTTGGCAAGGCGGTTGGCAAGGCGCTTAGATGATAAATGATCTCGACACAACCGCAAACCCAAACCCAAAGCATGCTTACCTTGGTGGCCGCGCGCAGCACAAAGAGGAAGGTAAAGTAGAGGTTAGCGAGGCGCTCAGGGAACTTGGCCACTCGGTGGTGGAAGATGGTGATGTTGGGGCCCCACTGTATGGTGGGAGGGGAGAGGGGCGAGGGGAAATAGGAGGTAAAGGGATGGGAGAAGGCGGGAGCAATGGAAGGGGAGTGAGATGGCGGTTTTGAAGGGAACTTGGCAACACGGTGGTGGAAGATGGTGATGTTGGGGCCCCACTGGTGGATAATGGGCAAGGGAGGGAGTATGGGGGACACGGAGGAAGGAGGGCGATGGAAGCAGGGGAAGGGGAATGAGACGGAGCTGAAAGGGAACTTGGCAACGCGGTGGTGGAATATGGTGATGTTGGGGCCCCACTGAAGTGAGGAGAGGGGAGTGGAGAGAGAACAGGGAAAAGGGCAAAGAGAAGGTGGTGATGAAAGGGTTATCTAAGCACAAAGAGGAATGTGAAATAGAGGTTGGCGAGACGCTCAGGGAACATGTCTTTGGTGCCATCCTGGAAGCAGCTCTCCTGATAGCACCAACTCCCCCACAACAAGCCCCCCTCCCTCCCTCACCCGTCCTGGAAGCAGCTCTCCTGATAGCACCAACTCCCCCACAACAAGATGCTCACCTTCCCAGCTGCTCACTCTGCAACTCTGCAATGCCAGCTCACCTTCCCAGCTGCTCACTCTGCAACTCTGCAATGCCAGCTCACCTTCCCAGCTGCTCACTCTGCAACTCTGCAATGCCAGCTCACCTTCCCAGCTGCTCATTCTGCAACTCTGCAATGCCAGCTCACCTTCCCAGCTGCTGAGTCCCATATTTGCGACGCGGCCACGTGCACTGATATGGCCTGGTGCAGACCCGAAATTAGTCGGTACAGCACGCGCCTCTCCGTGCATTCATCCCTGGTGCCGTCCTGGAAGCAGCTCTCCTGGTAGATCGCCTGCCAGATGCGCCGCGCTGAGTCGCCCCCGTACCCTGTGTAGCGCTCTGGGTTCAGAGCTAAGTTCACATACACCTGGGAGGCTGTGTGTGTGGCGGGTAAGGTAGAGGGATGCGGGGAAAGGAGGAAAATGTGAGAGGAGGGCTTTTGGTCGAGCCGTCCTGGAAGCAGCTCTCCTGGTAGTGAGAGGAGGGCTTTTGGTCGAGCCGTCCTGGAAGCAGCTCTCCTGGTAGTGAGAGGAGGGCTTTTGGTCGAGCCGTCCTGGAAGCAGCTCTCCTGGTAGTGAGAGGAGGGCTTTTGGTCGAGCCGTCCTGGAAGCAGCTCTCCTGGTAGTGAGAGGAGGGCTTTTGGTCGAGCCGTCCTGGAAGCAGCTCTCCTGGTAGTGAGAGGAGGGCTTTTGGTCGAGCCGTCCTGGAAGCAGCTCTCCTGGTAGTGAGAGGAGGGCTTTTGGTCGAGCCGTCCTGGAAGCAGCTCTCCTGGTAGTGAGAGGAGGGCTTTTGGTCGAGCCGTCCTGGAAGCAGCTCTCCTGGTAGTGAGAGGAGGGCTTTTGGTCGAGCCGTCCTGGAAGCAGCTCTCCTGGTAGTGAGAGGAGGGCTTTTGGTCGAGCCGTCCTGGAAGCAGCTCTCCTGGTAGTGAGAGGAGGGCTTTTGGTCGAGCCGTCCTGGAAGCAGCTCTCCTGGTAGTGAGAGGAGGGCTTTTGGTCGAGCCGTCCTGGAAGCAACTCTCCTGGTAGTGAGAGGAGGGCTTTTGGTCGAGCCGTCCTGGAAGCAGCTCTCCTGGTAGTGAGAGGAGGGCTTTTGGTCGAGCCGTCCTGGAAGCAGCTCTCCTGGTAGTGAGAGGAGGGCTTTTGGTCGAGCCGTCCTGGAAGCAGCTCTCCTGGTAGTGAGAGGAGGGCTTTTGGTCGAGCCGTCCTGGAAGCAGCTCTCCTGGTAGTGAGAGGAGGGCTTTTGGTCGAGCCGTCCTGGAAGCAGCTCTCCTGGTAGTGAGAGGAGGGCTTTTGGTCGAGCCGTCCTGGAAGCAGCTCTCCTGGTAGTGAGAGGAGGGCTTTTGGTCGAGCCGTCCTGGAAGCAGCTCTCCTGGTAGTGAGAGGAGGGCTTTTGGTCGAGCCGTCCTGGAAGCAGCTCTCCTGGTAGTGAGAGGAGGGCTTTTGGTCGAGCCGTCCTGGAAGCAGCTCTCCTGGTAGTGAGAGGAGGGCTTTTGGTCGAGCCGTCCTGGAAGCAGCTCTCCTGGTAGTGAGAGGAGGGCTTTTGGTCGAGCCGTCCTGGAAGCAGCTCTCCTGGTAGTGAGAGGAGGGCTTTTGGTCGAGCCGTCCTGGAAGCAGCTCTCCTGGTGGTGAGAGGAGGGCTTTTGGTCGAGCCGTCCTGGAAGCAGCTCTCCTGGTAGTGAGAGGAGGGCTTTTGGTCGAGCCGTCCTGGAAGCAGCTCTCCTGGTAGTGAGAGGAGGGCTTTTGGTCGAGCCGTCCTGGAAGCAACTCTCCTGGTAGTGAGAGGAGGGCTTTTGGTCGAGCCGTCCTGGAAGCAGCTCTCCTGGTAGTGAGAGGAGGGCTTTTGGTCGAGCCGTCCTGGAAGCAGCTCTCCTGGTAGTGAGAGGAGGGCTTTTGGTCGAGCCGTCCTGGAAGCAGCTCTCCTGGTAGTGAGAGGAGGGCTTTTGGTCGAGCCGTCCTGGAAGCAGCTCTCCTGGTAGTGAGAGGAGGGCTTTTGGTCGAGCCGTCCTGGAAGCAGCTCTCCTGGTGGTGAGAGGAGGGCTTTTGGTCGAGCCGTCCTGGAAGCAGCTCTCCTGGTGGTGAGAGGAGGGCTTTTGGTCGAGCCGTCCTGGAAGCAGCTCTCCTGGTGGTGAGAGGAGGGCTTTTGGTCGAGCCGTCCTGGAAGCAGCTCTCCTGGTGGTGAGAGGAGGGCCTACCAGACGCACCATACCTTCCCTGCCTCACTCTCATCATCAGCCGCCCAGTACTATCTGCCTCCACGATCAACGGTGGAGCAATCACCATCCAGCCAGGGCTTTTGAAGCGCCTCAAAAGTCGCCTCCACGGTCAATGGTGTAGCAATCCCCCATCCACCCAGGGGCAAGCCGTGTTCTGGTAACTCAATTTCCGTACCCATCTGTTTCACTGCACCTGTGTCACTCTAATCATCGACTGTCCATGAGTTATCTGCCTCCACCCACGCCTGAAATGCACCGGGGCACCCCGGAAACTGCAACTGCAACTGCCTTGTACCAATCATATCTGTATCATATCATATCTTCTCACCTGTGTCACTCTCATCATCAGACGTCCACGAGTTATCCGCCTCCACCCATGCCTGGAACATGCTGAGTCACCCCGGCAAAATCTGAGTCGTTTTTTAGGTGAGAATTCTCGGCTGCAAGCAACTGCCTCGTACCAGTTACATCCGCACCTTCTCACCTGTATCTGACTCATCATCAGACGTCCACGGGTTATCCGCCTCCACCCACGCCTGAAACGCGCTCCGATCCACCGTTCGGTCCACCGACCCCGCCGCTGACTCAGCAGACGCTGACTCATCCGCACTCGGGTCCAGGTCAGCGTCGCGTGGCTCGTCCACGTCAGCAGGGAGCAGCGACGGCGCGGGTGGGGAGGGGCAGCGGAGGGCGGGGGGGACCTCGTCGTCCTTACACTCCCCTACAGAACAGTCCCTTGAGTGGCACATCCCGTCGTCTGGCCAGAAGGGACAGTCGCACCACAGACGAACCTGGAAAGAGGGGGTGGGATGGGGTGGAATGCAGTGCGGTTGAGTGGGGTAAGAGGGAAGGAACCTCGTGGTCCTTGCACTCCTCTACAGAACAATCCCTGGAGTGGCACATGCCGTCGTCTGGCCAGAAGGGACAGTCACACCACAGACGAACCTGACAGGGGGTGGATAGGATGGGATGGAATGGGATGGAATGGGTTGGAATGGGGTGGAATGGGGTGGAATGGGGAGCAGGAACCTCGTGGTCCCCCACGGAGCATTCTCTGGAGTGGCACATGCCGTCGTCTGGCCAGAAGGGACAGTCACACACACCAGAGACGACCTGGCAGGGGAGGGGGCGGGAAGTGGTGGAATGGGTTGGGGTGGTGTTGACGAGCTGTCAGCAGCAGCTGCAACACACGTGCGAGAAGCCCCTCTGAAACCACTACGCACCTTGCAGTACCGCACTGAACCGACCTTGAAGTATTTGAAGAAGGTGGTGTTGACGAGCTGAGTCAGCAGCGGCTGTAACACGTGCGAGTTGAGTTCGTCCACTGTCTCGTACTCGCAGCAACAGTCGTCCACCACGCCTGACAGCCGCTTCACCTGCGAGTGACACGTGGCAGGGACAGGTGACACGTGGCAGCAGGAAAGTTGAGAGAAAGGAGTGCGAGTTGAGTTCGTCCACTGTTTCGTATTCGCAGCAGAAGTCGTCCATCACGCCAGACAGCCGCCTGCAAGTGACACGTGGCAGCGCGGCGGCATGACGCAAATCGGAGATTTGACTAGCGTGATGGGTGTACTGACACGTGATCTGCATACTTACACATAAGGTACGTACCTGGCACGTGAAGTGCGTACTTGTGTGACGTGCGTACCTGACACGTAACGTACGTACCTGACATGTGCAGCCAGAATCCGGTTGAGATGTAACGGAAGCTGACGACGCCGGCGGATTTCTCGATATTGCCGCCGCTTCGACAGGCGGTGTAGAATCTCCTGTTGCTGGCACCTCCTCAACAGGCTTCACGCCCCATTGTCGCAGCAACTGGTTACAAAACTCGCTGCTTTTCGCAGCAGCGGCGGTGACATATTCCGGTCGCGATACTGTCACCGCTACAGCCACGACGGCGACTGTCGCGGCCAGAGCTAACCAAACAAGCCCTCCTGATCCTTGATGCGTTTTGTTAGCCTTCTTTTTTGCGATGTCGTTTTTCTGGTGCTGTCCGTGAGCCGGCTCGCCGTTTGTCGCCGCCATGGATAGGCGGCGCGTGATGTCTTTGCTTTCTCCTGATGCACGAAGTTCGGAAAATTGGAAAGGGAAACAAAAAACTAAGTTTTGTTCCTAAATGTACGAAGCTAGGTTACTGAGACGCGTTATATCTCAGGCGAGCTTCTTTTTCCTTGAATCTCGTTTCCGAAAGGCAGGTTACGACGCGTGATAATGGCAAACTAGTAGCGACTTCACGTTGCCTTGCCTCGATTCTCCGTGACCAACACGCTAGTAGCCTCGATGTCTAAACAGCTAAGACTGACGTAACTTCATTGCCATAACTGGAGAAATGCCTGACATATCTATCTGCTAATGACGATCCAGCAGAAGAAAGCTGGGAAAAGCATTACGGATTTGAGATGTGGAGATATTGATGCTGAACATAAAGGGCCGAGGTAAACAACCTCGTCCTAATCTTAGACAGGTGAGAAACGGTTTAGTGCGGTAATTAATATTTAACCGTTTTGCAGACCACGGCATCAGGGCCGTGTATCGTACAAACCGCTCCAGATTGCAGATCATCGTACCCCACTGTTTTGGAATGCTGGTTCCACGCCCTCATCGGACGATCCCGATTCTTCCCACGGCTGGTTGCCGTGTCGTGCGTGACGGTCTGGAAGATCGCGTTCCTAGTCGTGCTTCTGGAAGGCACCTGACGGGTAAACGTGTTCCGACCAATCAGCCTCGTTGTTGCTCCGTTAGTTAGGCGAGACCGTGCTGTGCTGGCGCAGACTCGTACTGTCTGTCGCAATTGCCCGTAGCGAGATTCAGCGAGATTCCTACATTCGTAATAGTTACAGCATACCTGTTACGCCTACCCTTTTATGCTGTTTAGCAGAATTCCACATAGCCATATACTCAAAATTGCGCTCCTTTCGCAAGGCGAGCTTCGCAACCGATTCGTCAGCACGAACGAGGCTGGACGATGAACACCAGCAGGGATTTGCGAGGGTCGTCAACTATCAAACGGCCTTCGCGGTACGTGGCGAAAGGCCTCTCGCACCGCCATGTCCAACACCTTCGAGCCGCATCTGACTTCCCAATTTTGCTTCATAATCAAATTTGCCATTTTGCACTGTTATTTTGCACTACCTTTCTCTCTCCACCGTCGCACGGCCACAGACGAGCACATCTCGTGCTCTACTCGTTCAAGAGTGAGTCATCCCGCTAGTGCGTATCAACTCTGGTATTCACCACTCACGGCCGTGCTGCGTCGATAATTTTCACTTCAGCGGAAACTAGACGGGCCATCATGGAAAGCAAGGCAACGTCGCTGCCCCGTCCGCGTTTCTCTGTTTGTCCCCAGACTCTCGTTGTCATCGTCGTACTCTTCTGTCTAAACACGGTTCAGGCTCGCTCCTCCGGCGATCCTCCCCTCCACGTCGACAGTATGGCATTTCACGCAGCACGCGTACCGTCTCTGCTTCCAAGCGTACCCATTCGCATCTCAGAGACGGTCAGAGCGCGCCTTCCCCAGCCGCACCTCTTTGCAGACAGATCCCACCTTTCCCGGCCAGAACTCCCAGGCGTCAGCCCGCAGCGCCCCGTCACGAGCGCCGCCGATGGTGCAAGAAAGCTGCTGCTGGAGGAGAGCCCTTATACCGAGCCTTCCACTGGCGAGGATGCGTACAGTGCGGCAGTGCTTGCGCCGACAGCAGCAGAAGCGCCGGCTTCAGAAGTTGATGGAAGGAGTGGGGGAAGCGGCGCCGATGGCGGCGAGACCGAGCGCCACACTTCGACTGGCGGAGGGGACGGGGAAGTGGACGGGGGAGACGACGGCAGAGGGGGCGGGGGAGGGGGCGGGGGAGCCGACGGCGGTGGGGGCGGGGGAGCGAATGGGGGAGGCGACGGGGGAGGGGACGGGGGAGGGGACGGGGTAGGAAGCTCTGAGTGGCCGTCATTCGCGGAGGGTGGTCAGGAGGTCGTTGGTAACGAGGGGAGCGCGGAGAGCCGCCCGCCTGCCACGTGGTGCGATAACGAGGCTTGCTTACGTGGCGCGCTGCTGGATCGCGCGCCCGCCGTCTACCTCACGCGCCACGTGTACCTGACCAACGGCGAGCTGCCAGCTGTCAGGCACACGGTGGCCGTGACGGGCTTGTGTTCGTCGGATCAGTGCACGATCGACGGCCAGGGGAAGTCCAGGGTGAGAGGGAGGAATTGAGGAGGAGAGGCTTACCTCTCGTGCACGAATCCAATCTCACACCCCTCCAACCCGTTCTCATATTGTGTCCCCCTAACCTTCAAAACTTCACCGTTTGGTCAGGAGGTTTCCTGTCGCTCCAAATCAACGCACGGCCTGCACGGAATCAGTTCCTTCTCCTCCCGACTCATTCCATACCCCATATCGAACCTTCCCCAATGTGTCACACTGCCTTCAGATCTTCACCGTTTGGGCAGGCGGTTACCTGGCACTGCAAAACATCGCACTCGTGCACGGATTGCAATCCATCTCACATCGCAACCCACCTTGAATCCCCCAATTGTTAACCCCACCTCCCCCTCCTCCCCCAATGTGTCACACTGCCGTCAGATCTTCTCCGTTCAAGCAGGCGGTTACCTGGCGCTCCAAAACATCGCTCTGCTGCACGGATTCGTCCCACGGGGCAAGTTCGGCGGCGCAATTTTCGTTTCCGGGCTGCCCGACTCACCGCCTTCACCAATGGAGACCCTGCCCCAGGCCTACCTGTCCGCTTTAGGCACGAGCTTTTATAATAACAGTGGAGAGAGCGGAGGTGGGGCGGTGGCAATAGGCAGTAATGCGGCGGCGTTTTTCCACGGTGCCAATTTCGCTTTCAACTCCGTTTTCATGGTAGTACGTGTGGCAGAATTAATGGGGGTTGATTGTACTGCATAGAGATTTTCGGGAATTGTACGATATGTCATTGCTGCGTTTCCTGAACCCGTCAGCATCCCACTGATTTCACCCTCCATCCTCTTCCCTCCACAGGACGCCTCTGGGAAGCATCGAAGCAGGGGAGGCGCCATGTATCTGGGGGCACAGGCCGACAGGAGCATAACAACCACCCATGCCCCTCACAAAGCGCGGGAATGCCCGCAAGGAGTGGGCTACACAAGCACCTCTCCCTGTGTGACTGTTCTCGACTCTCTCTTTGTCGCCAACTCTGCTGCTGTGGGCGGAGCCGTGTTTGTGGATGGGAGCGACGCTGCCTGCCACAACGCATCATCAACCAACCAGGTACTAGCCTGGCTTTCGAGGCACCCCGCTCGCTTTCCCTCTCACTCTCACTCTCACTCTCACTCTCACTCTCCCTCTCCCTCTCACTCTCCTTCTCCCTCTCACTCTCCCTCTCCCTCTCCCTCTCCCTCTCACTCTCCCTCTTACTCTCCCTCTCCCTCTCCCTCTCACTCTCCCTCTCCCTCTCCCTCTCACTCTCCCTCTCACTCTCCCTCTCACTCTCCCTCTCACTCTCCCTCTCACTCTCCCTCTCCCTCTCACTCTCCCTCTCCCTCTCACTCTCCCTCTCACTCTCCCTCTCACTCTCCCTCTCACTCTCCCTCTCTCTCCCTCTCACTCTCCCTCTCACTCTCCCTCTCACTCTCCCTCTCACTCTCCCTCTCACTCTCCCTCTCACTCTCCCTCTCCCTCTCCCTCTCCCTCTCCCTCTCCCTCTCCCTCTCCCTGTGTCACGGTGTTCCACTTGCTCTTTGTTGCCACCTATGCTGAGTGCGGAAGGTGGAAAGTGGAGATGTGCATCTCTTGAAAGTGCATCTCTTTTCCCCCACTAACCCACACCATTCAGGATGTGAGCACACTGGGAGCCTCTCTCCACATGAGCAACGTGCTGCTTGAGGCCAACACGGCTGCTGTGGACGGCGGGGCAGTGGCTGTGGGGTCTCATGGCCGGCTTGGGGGGCAAGCTTCGTTCTCCACCATCCGTTTCAATGAGAACTCGGCTGGGGTGAGTTCAGATTCAATCTCCACCGTTCAAAATGGCTCTGAAGGCCAACAGGGCTGCTGTGGACGGAGGGGCAGCGGCTGTGGGTTCCCACAGCCGAGTTGAAAGCCGAGCCTCCTTCTCCACCGTCCGATTAATGAGAACTCCGCAGGGGTGAGCTCAGATTTGATCTCCACCGGTTGATTAAACTCAGTGTGCGCAGGACGCTCTCCACCGTCCGATTGATGAAATGACCTGAATTATCTGTCCTTTTCTCCCGTCGTAAGGAAAGCACCTGAACTACTGTTTTCTGCCCTTGCTGCCGATGCCTTATCCTGTCCAGAGGGATGGGGGAGCGCTGTTTGTGGGAGGGGGCCGTCCCGAGCATGCCGGCAGCACAGCCACTATCTACCATGCAGTTTTCCTGAATAACACCGTTGGTGCCACTGCTGGTAACATTTCCAGTGACCCTGCTACAAGGCCTGTGACTAGAGAGTCTGGGCGACCTAGGAGGGGGGGAAACCTGCAGGGCGGTGCTGACGTGGCAGTGAGGCGATGGGCGTCAGCTCACATCCACCACAGCAGATTCCAGGAAGCTTCACCGCCAGTCACCCAATCAGCCTCCTCCCATCCCTCCTCCCCTCCCTACTCTCACCCGTCCACCACCCCTTCTTCCTCCTCCCTCCCCCGTCATCTCCCCCCTTCTTCCTCCTCCCTCACCACCCCTCTTCTCTGTGTGGGTTCCTGCATCATCTGCCGGAACATCACCACCACTCCAGTTACCCCTCGTGCAAGAGGCAACGTGACTGTAACCGACTGTAAGTGTAACGGATACACCTTAAGCCGTCTTTCCATTCCTCCTCCCTCACCGCCCCCCTTCTCTGCGTGGGTTCCTGGATCATCTGCCGAAACATCACCACTCCTGCTACCATTCTGGGAAGAGGCAACGTTACAATACATAAGAGTGAGTGCAACGGACGGAACTACCTCACTGCTGCTTTGCCTCTGCGTGGGTTCGTGCGTCATCTGCCGAAACATCACCGCTGCAGCTCCTCGTGCAAAAGGCAACGTGACAGTAACTGAATGTAGGTGCAACACTACCTTTCTGCAGCATTCGGTTCCCTTCTTTCCTCCTCTCGCACCCCCATTCCTCTTCCCTCGTGCACCCAGAAATGCCTGGGCACGGTTTTCGAGGCGCCTAAGAAATAGTCTCACCTCACCTCACCTCACATGACCCATGGGAATGCCCAACACCTCACATGCGTGGGTACGATCCTTCTCCATTGCCTGTCTCTCATGCACCCATGGGATTGACTCCCATTACCATCCTTTTCACATGGATAAGGGCACCATCCATCCTTCTCTCATATACGTCACCCTACCCTTCTACCTACCTTCCCCTTTCCCCTCCCACCCTCTCCACCAGCTGGTTGCTTCCGCGCCCCTCCACCCTTCACCTGCCCCTTCCTCCCCGCATACCTCAGGCCAGCCACCTGCGTTAGCACCAGCATCATCAGCAACAGCATCAGCAGCAACAGCATCAGCAGCAAAAAATCCTATGCTCAGACACTGAAGTTTGTTCTCCCCACCCCTTTCCCCTCCCACCCTCCCCACCAGCTGGTTGCTTCCGCGCCCCTCCACCCTTCACCTGCCCCTTCCTTCCCGCCTACCTCAAAGCAACCCCTCCCCGATCTGCACTAGCACCAGCAACAGCAGTAGCACCAGCATCAGCACTAGCACCATCATCAGCTGTAGCACCTGCATCGGCAGTAGCACCTGCATCAGCATTAGCACCACCAGCACCAGCACCGGTACCAGCAGCGGCAAATGCAGCTCCTCCTACCACACCTCGTCCCCTCTCCACCATCTCCTCCCTCCCTACCTCTCCTGCTACACCTGCCACTGCCCTTGATGCTACACCTGCCTCTTCTGGTACTGCCACTGCCGCTGCCCCTTCCCCCACGCCCACTCCCACGCCCACTCCCACGCCCACCTCTACGGTCTCTGAATGTGCCTGCCCCCAACCGGAAGGGCCACCGCTCCCTACCCTGCCGACTTCCCTTCCCACTCCAACCGCCTTACCTCCTCCTCCTTGCGCTCGTCACCTGCGGGAGAAGCTTCCTAAGGAGCCACAACCACCAAGGTGAGCCCAATCTTTCCAAGCAGACTAAAGCTTTCTGATTTCCTATGTTGCACATGCCAGTTTCCCACACATGCTGGAGGAGGTAAATATGTGTTCTGAACAAATGTGTTTTTTATCCGAATGTGTTCTGAACCCATTTCCTGGTTCCCTGACCTACAGCTATAATGGGACAACGCAAGGCAACGTGACAGGAGAACCCCACTTTGTGGGGCGGCACGGGGAGAGATTTGACTTCCACGGCAAGCCTGGGGAGAGCTACTGCTTGCTCTCAGATACTTGACTTCCATTATCTTTCTTGTATGTTTCCCTGGTGTGCACAGGTATAATGGGACATCGGAAGGCAACGTGACAGGAGACCTGCACTTGGTGGGGCTGCATGGGGAGCGACTTGACTTCCACGGCAAGCCTGGGGAGAGCTACTGCTTGCTCTCGGATTCAGACATCCACGTTAACATGCGACTCGTTGCTTGGGCACATAACAGCACGACGGTAAGAAATCAATGAAACGTATATTTTGCGCTGACGCAATGGTTTCCCCTCTTTGTCTAAGCTCGTTTCTCTTGCAGTATATGGATGAAGTCGGCATACTGTATAAAAACAAGGGGGCAGGCAGCAGTGAAGATGATTTGATGGAGGTTATTGTGGTTGCGCTGTCACATCCCGGTGCAAGGGTTTCGGGTTTTCAAGGAGGGCTCTTCATTAATGGAGCCGAGTTGCCTAATGTTGATTTAACAGTCTCCATGAGCAATAAGATGCTCAGAGTGGATCGTACAAGCAGATCCGTTCGGATTCGCGTCACAAGTACATTCGATATGACTATTGACATCAGAAGAGCAGCGTTCTATCACAACACCGACAAATGGGTGCACCAAAACCATGTAAGTGTGTATGCTGGTTGGTGCTGTTTCAATTCAATGGTTCGTCACTACCATACATCTCTTTTTTTGCAGCTGAATGTGAGGTTAGGGAGTTTCAAGGAGTCGAACTCTGTGCAAGGGCTGCTTGGGAACACCGAACAGACCAACTCTTCAAGGCTTGCAAGGACGAAGGGATCAATAGGAAAGGAGGGTGACAGCAAAGAGCATGTAAATTTTGGTGGTAAGGAGGATCATTTTAGGGTATCAGGCTTGCTCGAAGCTGATTGCAAATACACCCAATTCAAGATGCCCTGAGCAGTGGTAGTTGCATACAATCGCTACCTAAGTCCCAGAAAGATCATACCACCATATGTGTGTGATGCTTGTTTATAACATGTTTGTGTAAGGAAATTCCCTTTTCCTTACTTCGCGTCCCTGCTCAACGCGTACATCACTGTAGCACCTCAGTCAGCACCGTTACCACTCGCGACCATCGCATCATTCATCATCCCGCCCTTTTCGCACATCGCATCCCGACCTCACGGCTCGGCTGGTAACCCGCGCTCCGGGCCTACGCTTCGACACTTTCCCAACCTCAGTCCCAGGCTCGTCGCGCGACAACCACAGTCCATTACCGTTACCACTATTGCTTCGCTATATAATCCTTCGCTCATGCCTTCGCTCATTTTTGTACTCCTGTTTCGATAGTGCAATTCTCGTTCGTTCACTCAATTGCACTCGTAACACTTGGTATTCAGAGCCTACGATCTCATCTCGGACCGCATCCACACCTTCGCTTCCCACTATCTCAATTTTTGGGGGGGGTAGACGTCTCTCAGCGATACAGCACCGCCGCTCGTAGTGCTCTCTCGGAAGCACGCACGGCCACGACTGAGGCTCTCGCTGAGCTTGCCCGACACCCCTGCCATGGCTGATTTCACTATCGCCACGTTGACGCAGGAGCAACTCGATCGTCTCGTGCGACAGCTGGAGGAATCAGCGCTCGAAATCGCGACGCTCACGGCGGAACGTGACTCCGCCCGTCAACAGTCAACGGTGAACGCTCCGACAACTTCCCAAGCGCCAACCAATGTTTCTGTCCATTCGGAGGAGCCGATTGTTATCTCATCCGGCACACCAACGCAAAACAACAGCACGGGACAGCGCTCAGGCGCAGCCAGTGACGGCGCAGCCCAACCGATGCCCGGCATGGGAGGGAACAGGAATGCATCAAGCCCACGGGAGCCCCGAGAAGCCCGTCGGCACGTGGAGTTTGCGATGACAAGTGGAGGGAACGCCACGATGGCCCCAATGCCACTCAAGCCGCAACGCCCGCCCTGCTTCGACCCAAGCCAACGCGGTGGCCCGACAGTTCAATCGTGGGTCTTCACGATGAACGTGTTTTTCGACGCCAACTACGTCGAGTCGGACGCCGCCAAGATTCGGTATGCAGTTTCACTACTCAGGGGCCCCGCCATGGACTGGTGGCGAGTCATCGTGACATCGCCACGCGCCTACGAGCCACCGCCGCACGAGGAAGGGCCCTCGGGTCCAGCTGTCACCTGGAGTTCGTTCTGCGAAACAGCCCAATATAGCACGTGGGATGCGTGGTGCGCAGGGCTTCGGGCGCGTTTTGAGCCGATCGCGGCTTCTATTTCGGCGCGTCAGAAACTGCGCACTTGGCGCCAGCTCGGGTCGGTCCAAGACTACACCAGCGGTTTTCTCGCACTTTGCGAACAGGTCGGCTACATGCACGAGGCGGAGCGGGTGGACCGTTACGTCGGCGGACTGAAGCCGGACATATCGCACGAGATAATGCTACGCGGGCTATCGAATTTCAACGAAATCCTCGCGCTCGCCGAGAAAATCGATATCCTACGCCGACCGAGACCGGGGTCCTATTTCGGACATCGTCCTCGGGGACTGATCGAGCACGCCACCGTACATGCCGTCGCAACGAATGCAGCTGCCACGCCATTTAGAGGGCGCTGCTTTGCTTGCAACCGGCCGGGCCATCGCAAGAGCGAATGTCCAGAAGAGCTGAGGCGTCGAGGAGCAGAGCAGGGGAGGGAGTCTCAGAGGCAGGGAAACGCCAGCAGTCAGTAGAAATTGGGCCAACTACTGACGAGACTGCCTGCTCGCCCAACCACACCGACCCTCACCGAGTCACAGTACCGATTCACGCCATCGATCGGGCTCGGATGAATAAGGAGGGTACAGCGACGGATTGCCCAGTACTGATCCACGGGAAAATACAGGGAGCAGCAGTCAAGATTTTCATCGACGGAGGAGCTAGCCACAGTTTAGTTAATACCGCAACCGCACGAAAACTTCAACTGACACTTAGCCGATGTTTACCTGAGATTGATGCGCGCTTAGTCGACGGCACGCCGCTGGCCATACGGGAGAAGGTGGAGAGAGTAAAAGTTCGCTGCGGGGGGAACTTCGGGTTTACACAGGAAATGCTCGCGACGACACTGGATGGGCACGACATTTTATTGGGACGTGATTGGTTGCGACGTTACAATCCGAGAATCGACTGGACGACGGGCAGCTGCACTGTGCGAAGTAGTGGTAACTGGGTCGAACTACCACGCTGGCAGTCGCCTGAGTCATCGACGGTCCACGTCAACGCCATCACAATGAAACGAGCAGTCGCCGCTGGAGCTGACGTGTATGCAGTAGACATCGCAGTGGTAGAAAAAGATGAGCAGCCGAGTGATTTCCAAAAATTGCTGACAGCGGTACCGCCGGAGCTACAAGAGCTATTGAAACGGTACCCGGGAATTTTCCCCGACGACTTACCGGAAGGACTGCCACCTCAGCGGGCGCACGACCATAGGATAGAGTTAGAGCCGGGGGCACAGCCAACTGTACAGCGCCAGTTCAGACTGACACAGCCGGAGCTCGACGAACTGAGGAAGCAGTTAGATTACCTGTTAGCAAAGCAGTTTATCCGACCGAGCTCGTCGCCGTTCGCCGCACCGATACTATTCACACCAAAAAAAGACGGAGGTTTTCGCATGTGCATCGATTACCGAGCGCTCAACAGGGTTACAATAAAGTCACGATACCCCATTCCCCGCGCCGACGAACTGATCGACCAACTGCGAACAGCACGGGTGTTCTCGAAAATAGATCTACGGGGAGGTTACCACCAAATTAGAGTCGAACCATCGGACTGCGCCAAGACAGCTTTTAGAACTAGGTACGGGTCGTTCGAGTACACCGTGATGCCTTTCGGGCTAACCAACGCACCCGCAACATTCCAGATGACCATGAACGAGGCGTTTAGACCACTTTTAGATAAGTGCGTGATCGTCTACCTCGACGACATTCTCGTCTACAGTCGCGATAAGCAGCAGCATTTAGCGGACCTGGAAGCAGTGTTTAAAATTCTCGAGGAGCATCGTTTATTGACTAAGGGGTCTAAGTGCGAGTTTTTTCGGGATAGGTTAGAATTTTTGGGGCACGTTATTTCAGAGGCTGGGGTTGAGATTGACCCGAAGAAGCTGGATACGGTCAACGCTTGGCAACCCCCGACAAACATCACGGAGCTGCAGAGTTTTTTGGGTTTCGTTAATTATGTCCGTCGATTCGTGCCTGACATGGCCCGCTTAACTGCCCCACTGACGGATCTGCTGCGGAAAGGGGTCGCTTTTACGTGGGGGGAGAAAGAGCATGCTGCCTTCTCTACCCTGAAAACTGTTCTCTGTTCACCACCTGTCCTGCGCATTGCCGACCCACACCGCCCATTCGAAGTCATTACTGACGCAAGCGACATCGCCATCGGAGCCGTACTGTTACAGGATTTCGGGAACGGCCTACAGCCCATCGCATACGAATCACGAAAACTGCACCCACCTGAGAAGAATTACCCGATACACGATCGCGAAATGCTTGCGATCGTGCATGCGTTCAAAGTGTGGCGCTGTTACTTGACCGGCGCAGACGTGACAGTACGGACAGACCACAAATCTCTACAGTACCTCCGCGCACAGCCTCACCTCAACCCACGACAGATTCGATGGCTCGATTTCCTCGAGTCGAATTTTCACTACACGGTCACCTACAAAAAAGGAGCATCAAATATCGCCGATGCACTGACTCGCCCTACTGCCCAGATTCACGCGATACTACTCGCCCAGACCAGCCCACTGCTGACAGGCCTATTTACCCACGGATACCAAACCGACCCGTTCTTTACAGGAGGCAACTCGCAGCAGTTCGCAGCAGCACGAGGGATCTATTACGTAAAGGTTGGGACCGACCGCATTTGGGTACCCGGGTATACACTACTACGGGAATTACTGTTACAAGAGGCACACGACGGAGTTACCTCAGGACATTTCGGGGTAGAAAAAACACGACAGCAGCTGCAGCGGTATTATTACTGGCCAGAAATGTTGACCGACATCCAACGACACGTAGCATCGTGTCCCACCTGCCAGGTCATGAAATCATCACGGAAGCGGCCGGTAGGACAGTTGCAGCCGATCCCACCCCCAGAGCGTGCTTGGCAGCAGGTGACGATGGACTTCGTCACGGGGTTACCGGCCGGGGCGAGTGGGAACGACGCGATCTTGGTCGCCGTCGATCGACTGACGAAGATGGCACATTTCGCAGCATGCAAGAAATCAATCACAGCCGAAGAAACAGCCCGCCTCTTCATCACCACCGTCGTTCGCCTCCACGGGATACCATCGGCAATCATCAGCGACCGCGACACGAAATTCACCAGCAACTTCTGGCGGAACCTGTGGCAGCAGTTCGGCACACGACTTCAATTCAGTTCATCCTATCACCCCGAAACCGACGGACAGACGGAACGGACAAACCAAACCATGGAGCAGCTGATTCGAGCCACGTGCGACGATCCGAACACGTGGGAACATCAGCTGCCGCTCATCGAGTTCGCGTACAACAACGCACCATCAGCCACGACGCAACAGTCCCCGTTTTACCTGAACTACGGACAGGACCCAACAGTACCCATGACCCCACACCCCGACAATCCAGTCCCACGAGCCCAACAGTTCGCCGAGATTTTGCAAGCAGCACGGACCAGGGCAGCAGACGCAATTAAAAAAGCCAACATCATCGCTAAACGAAACGCCGATCGCCACCGTCGACCTGTCACTTACCAGCCAGACGACCTGGTACTACTCGATACCCAGAACCTCCGCCTGCCCATCACTCCAAAACTTCGCCCCCGATATTGTGGGCCATTTCGCATCAGCCACATGATCACACCCGTCACCGCCCACCTCCTCCTCCCTGCTGACTGGTACGTCAGCCCGTCATTCCACGTCAGCCTACTTCGCCCTTACATACCATCCACGAGCCAACTGCCACGAAATCGCCCAGCCAGCATGACACGTCCCCCAACCGAACCACTAATCACCCCTGAAAAAATCCTCAGCCACCGAGTCCGCAACCCTCGGGGAGCACGACGGATCGAATTCCTAATTCGCTGGAAGGATCGAACGCCCACAGAAGACAACTGGGTCCCCCTGGATAAAATTGAGAACCACCCTGTCTTCACCGAGTATCTGCGAAGCCGAAATTTCCGCGACGTCCATGCGCTCTCGTAAGAGGGGCCTCCTTGGGGAGGGGGGTAGTGTAAGGAAATTCCCTTTTCCTTACTTCGCGTCCCTGCTCAACGCGTACATCACTGTAGCACCTCAGTCAGCACCGTTACCACTCGCGACCATCGCATCATTCATCATCCCGCCCTTTTCGCACATCGCATCCCGACCTCACGGCTCGGCTGGTAACCCGCGCTCCGGGCCTACGCTTCGACACTTTCCCAACCTCAGTCCCAGGCTCGTCGCGCGACAACCACAGTCCATTACCGTTACCACTATTGCTTCGCTATATAATCCTTCGCTCATGCCTTCGCTCATTTTTGTACTCCTGTTTCGATAGTGCAATTCTCGTTCGTTCACTCAATTGCACTCGTAACAGTTTGTTTCCTACAGCACGTTGCTCCAACTCTAATGATGTCAGAACCCGTTTCGAATCCCACGCTTTGAATTCTCCTTCAGCCAATCAGCCTCGGCCATGCCCGCACGCCTCGAGAGCATCCCATCATTTCCCGCCCAGAGAGTGTCAGTTCCTTCAGTTCTCAAGGCAGGTCCTCCTGTCAGTGGGATTTCTCAGGTATTGTCAGTTTACATCGGGAATTCCAATCCAACTGCAGTGCTTAGAGAGGTTGCCGTATGACTCACTTGAGACCGGCGAAGAAACGCATAATAGACAGAGAGTCAGCATGAGAAGCAATTAGGAGGTCCGTACACAGAGAATTGCTGCTTGACTGAAATGCTTTACCGTGTTTCCTTCCTAGTTGACTATGTATGCGGAGCACCTCAGGATCGCCGAAGCTTGGAAGTTTAACACGAGTTTTAGAACTGTATTTCGAGTTGTTATTCCTCTCATACACCCAGCTCCTTAGAAAACGTAGCAATGACCAAGGAATGCAGTAAAGAGCAGCTGCTTCGGGCTTTAGAAGACCCCAGCCCGACCGCCTTTCTCGAGTTGACGCTTCGCCACGTGTCGAAGCAGGATCCGTTGAACTTAAGCCACGTGGTATCAGGTTTCAATAGAAGCACCACTCCCCGCCTGTGCTCCGCTCTGCTCCACCTCACGACGCGCACGCTCGATAAGGTGCTTCAGCTGATCGCAGCACGCGACACGACTGCGTCGCAACACACGACTCCAAGCACCGCCAACGCCTCAACCGCTGCCTCCGCTAACGTTCCCGCGCATGCCTCTGCTAATGTCTCCGCACATGCTTCCGCTAACGGCTCCGCTAACGTTTCCGCCAACGTCTCCGGGACAGCAGCAGCAGTGGCTTCAGCCGCGGGAGCTGCGGCAGCAGCAGCAGGAACAGCAGCAGGAGAAGCAGCAGCAGCGGGATCAGTTTCAGGAGCATCCTCGCAATCCGAATCAGAGGACGAAGCCCGCGCAGTTCTCCGGGGAATTCTCACAATAACGCGTCTTCTCTTATCGGAGTCGTTTTCAGGATCCGGGAGCGCGGTTACCCCGCCAGCTGACCTGCTGACCGTCTGCCAGTCGATACACAACGTTCTTATCGACTTGAGTGGTTTTGACCCAGTAGCACAGGAAGCAGCAGCTCGCGTGTTCGAATCCTGGTGGCAGTCGGATTTGAGAGGCAAGGACACCCTCATCGCACAGACGCTTCCGTATCTCCTCGCGAGATCGCTTGAGCTCTCTCGACCAGTGGACGTGCGACGCGTGTACGCCATGCGCGACGCGTTTTCGCAGCTTGAGTTCAGCCACGCGGAGAGCATAGCCGGGACTCGCGGGCTGCTACTTAGGTGTCTCTTCGCGCCGGTGTATTTGAAGACCACAGAAGGTCGGCGCTTCCTCTCCTTCTTTTTGCTTCTAGACCTCCAGCTCCTTAAAGAGTCCATACTCATTATAAGGAATCAGATTCCATCGGGAAGGAAGTCGCTGCTAGAAGCTTACGGCGAGGTATTTTTCCGAACCTGGCGATCTGCCGAGCCTGGCCCGAGCCTGTTGGAAATCGAGTACGGCTTTCTGCAGGGGCTGATCGAAGCTGCAGTCTTCGCTCGGACACCCGAGCTGGGAGCGGCGGTTCGGCGAGTGGTGGCCGGATTCTCCAATCAGATGCTGCAACGTGGCGTGGACGAGCTGCTTCTGCGCGTATCAGAGCCGATCATATTCCGAAGCCTACAGGTGTGTTGCTGCGGATGCCACGTGAGAAATATGGGTGCCGTGTAGATGCACCGTGCTGCGCTTGAAATACCTTTCTACACATGCGTTTCTCTTCATCTTTCCCCTATCCTCCCCGCTTTTCCCCCCTGTGCTTCCCGCGTCCTGACATTTCAGGCCGCCAATCCAGCTGTCCGCCGCAACGCCCTTCTCCTATTGGCCGAGCTCTTCCCCCTCCGCGACCCGGCTCAAGGACGAGAGGCGAACGAGTCGCTCCTTAATCGGCAGCTATCGCTCCTCTTTGATCGCCTCTTAATGGATCCCTGTCCCGCGGTTCGAGCCTCCGCTGCTGAGGTGGCAGGGCGTGTGCTTTGCGTCTTCTGGGAGGTTATCCCGTCGAGCGTCGCCACGTCAGCGCTGACGCGGATGGTTGACGAGCTGGCTGCTGACGTGGCCAGTCCCGCGGTGCGGATGGCGGCAGTGCGGGCGGTGGGACACCTGTTACAGGGTAACCCGGTTTGCCATGAGCTGTTACGGGGGATGCTGCCGCGAATGGCTGCGGGATTGAGGGACAGGTCGCGTGGGGTGAGAGTGGCAGTGGCGGAATTGCTTATAACGGTGGCTAATAACACCAGCATAAGACTAAAAGAGGTTATTTCATCGGGCCAGCTCATACAGGCTCTGGAGGAGCCCAACGATCCAATAGTATCGCGCCACGTCACCCGCGTCCTCCTGCCGACTTACCTGCCGACCCACCTGCCCCCTGTTGCTGCTGCCGGCCGTTTTATCACCCTGATGCAGCGGTCTCTCCCTGCTGCTGCTGCATTTGCGCGCTGCAGCTTCCAGGAAGGTGCAGGACTCGAAGCTGTGATTGAAGCCGTGAGGGCTGTTGTAGACTTGTTGGTGATTGTAACGGATGGAGGGGAGGGAGGCGAGGGGAGAGGGGAGGTGAGAGGGGAGGGAAGAGGGGAGGAGAAAAAGGAGGGGAGAGGGGGCGGTGGTAAAGGGTGCAAGAGAAAGGGAAAGAGGAGGCGAGGGAGAGCGGGAGAGGGAGAGGAGGGGGCAGATGGAACGGTGACATGTGGGGAAGGAGGGAAGGTTAGAGGTGGGGAGGCTGCTTCTGGGGAGGGTGGATCTAAGGACGAGAAGGAGTGTAGTAAGGAGGAGGAGAAGGACCGAGAGGTGATGTATCGTGTGGTGTTGGGGTTTGTTCAGGGAGTAATGGTGGAAGGGGGAGGAGGAGGAAAAGGAAGCGGATTCAAGGCAGGAAACAGGGGTGAATGTGAAAGCTCAGATGCAGCTGCAGCTATGGCTGATACTCTGGATGCTCCTGCTCTCAAACGGTTGCTTCTCTCGGCACGTACTGCAAGTCAACGGGCGGCGGTGCTACGAATCGCCGCCCTGCTGCCGCCCGTGTCAGTGGAGGAGCTTGCTGACGTGTGCAGGGAGGGGCTCCTGAGGGTTGGGCGGAAGAGGGAAGAGGGGAACCATGAGGGAGTCAATAAAGCGTTTGCGGAAATCTCTGATAATCTCGCTGGTGTGAGGATGGGTGAGGCGATGGAGTGGATGGAAGGGAGGAGGGAGGAGAGGCGGGAGGTGGAGGGTGTGGTGGTGCTGACACGCGCGTGGGGCGGGTTGGGTCAGCTGGTAGACGCGTTAGAGGTGTCTCTTGCTGCGGGTGTTGAGAGGGAGGTGGAGAGGAGAGAGCGGAGGGGGAACGGAAAGGAGGGGAAGGGAGGGGGGTCGGATACGATAGAGGAAGGAGAGGGAAGGGGCGGTGAGGAAAAGGAGGAGGAGGAAGAGAAGGAGGTGGAAGAGATATTACTTTCGGATGATGAAGATGAGGAGGGTGGGGAGGAAGGCGAGGAGGGAGAGGGGGGGGAAGAGGAGGAGCTCACGGGGGCAAGAGAGGAGGCAGAGGTAGAAGAGGTAGAAGAGGTGGTGAAGGAAGAGGAGGTGGAGGAAGTGGAAGTGGAAGTGGAGGAGTTTGAGGATGGGGAGACGAGAGAGGAGGAGGGAGAGGAGAAGATGATGGTTGGGGAGGAAGCTTTGCGGCGAGGAAACAGACGTGTGACTCGGAGCATGGGAGGAGGCAAGGAAGCTTCCAGGCAATCAACTGAAAGCCCGTCAGTTGCAAAGGATGGCACGGGGAAGAGGGGGCTATTGGAGGGAGGGGGGGGGAAGGGAAAGCTAGGGAAGAGGCAGCAAGAAAAGATAGGGCGAGGAAACAAGGTTCCTGGAAGGAAGAGAGGTGCTGCTGGTGTGAGAGAGGTCTATAACGAGGATGCAGCAGAGGGAAGTGATTCGGACCAATCAGAGCTTGCCAGCGAGGCAGCAGCCACTGTGATGCCTCCTTGTGTGGTGGCCTACCGCCTGGAGATTCTCCTGGGCCAATCAGAAGCGAGAGCTGAGTTACTGCGCATGCCCGGGGTGCCTGGGCGGCTGCTGGGCCTGCTGAGGACAGCTGTCGACGCGCAACTGGCCGGGATGAGCGATGTGGCGAATGCTACTCCTGCTGCTGGCCCTGGTTCGGATGGTTGTACTAGGACGGACTCAGATGCTGCTGTGAAGGATGATCGTGCTGCTGATGAGCATGATTTGGAGGTTAAGGAAGCAGAGTGGGTGCAAGGAGCGGCTCTGCGTGTGTATGTGAAGTTGCTGGTGCTGATGTGGAGTGAGAGGCAGCAGGAGGAGGAGGAGCTGGGACGGAGGGCGCAGAAGCAAGGACGGCAGGTGGACGACAAGGGGTGCTCCAGCCTGGTACGTGCTTTCCTTCCCTGCCTCCTCCACTTATTCTTGAGTCTGCCTTTGAGTTTCTTCGGAAGCACGGGGCTCAGAAGCAAGAAAAGCAAGTAGGCGACGAGGTGTGCCCTAGTGTGGTACATGGTTCACTGCCTCGTCTCCCCGTCCCTCCTGTCACCTCTAGCATATCCCCTCATGCTTCCTGCCATCTCCCTTCTGTCTCTATTGCCTTTCAACCCCGCTTCTTCTCCCCCCCCCACCTTCCTCCCCTTCTTCCCCTTTTTGCTCTCCCTGCATCACAGAGCGAGCTGTCAGATCATCTTCTCGAACTGATCTCAACCGTCCATGCAATGCTGGCCCTGATCTCACAAGCACACCAAACTCCCGGCGAATCTCGACCGTCCAAGGCAAGCAGAGCTGCCATCTGGGCCGTCGCTCCTTCCTTCCTGTCCACCCTCACTGCTGTCCTCGCAGCTTCCTACACTTCTCTCCTCCTGCCTATGTTGAAGTGTAAAAGGGAGGCAGAGAGAGGAGAACCGCACGCACTGGTGCTTGGATGCTGTGGTTTAGCGCTTGCGCTGCTGAGGAGGCAGGCTGAGAGTGTGAGGGAGGGAGGGGAGGGAGGGGCGGCGGCTGGGAGGGAGGGTGGTGCAATGGTGTGGATGGCGGTGCTTTCAGCTGTTGCTTGCTGTAAGAGGGTTCTGACTGCCGCTGGCACTGCTGCTGGTGTTGTTGCCGCCACTGTTACTGGCCAACAAGAGGGGAATGGGGAGGAGGTCCGGTGTCTGCAAGGAGAGGTGGATGCTGCTAGTGCCTTGTTGAAGGGCAGTTTGGGGGGGATTGAAGCGGAGGGGGGAGCTGGGGATGGAGAATGCAAGAATGAAGGGGGTTTTGGGGCGAGGAATGCGGTTGGAGGTAAAGACAACGAAGCAGGAGATGTGGAGGAAGGGGATGCAGGGGACGCAAGTGGGGAGGAGGGTGCAGGTGTGGCCGATGGGTTGGAAGGAGGATGTGAAGGAAGGGGGAAAGGGGGATTAGCAAAGCATGGGCCAGGGGTTGATAAAAGGAAAGCGGGACGGATGGTTTTGAAGGAAGTGGCAGCCCGGGAAAACGAGGGGAGGATAGATCCTGCATTGTGGAAGATAGCTCAGAAGGTGCTGGGGTGAGTTAGAAAAAGCACTTGTTCGTTGACAAATGCATATATCAAACACTGTTTGATCAAATTAATAAAGCTGGCGTAATATATCGTAAATATTCCGCCATAATGGAAAGAGTGAAGTCCCAAAAGGCAACTGACAATGCTCTCCTGTGGCTGGCAATTTTTCCATTCCATATGCCGTACGTGGACCATTACGCTCTAGAGATGAAAGTTTTTCCATAGGGATATCATAACAATGGAATGTGTGTAACAAAACTACATTGGCACTTCTCGTGTCGTTGACGTCTCTTGAGTAGCTTCCACTGCGAGTTTCGTGAGGGCACGCGACAGGCCTTGCGCGAACTTGTGATATCGCGAAATCTCAGCCGCCCATTCATTCCAGATTCATCCACCTTGAAAACATCACGTTTCGAAATTTCGATTTTTGAACACTCGCGCAACGCACTGCAGTGGCGCACGGAATTCTGCAGGGGCGAGCAGAAGAAGTGGGGAAAAACAATCGGTATCGAGGATATTTAGCGGTGTTTTCCATGGTACCCTCAGCTTCCATTGATGGTGTCTGCTGACAATGGTGATGGTGATCATGGTGGTAGGATATGGTAGGCAACGGATGGAACCAGAAGGTCGGGGCCAGGGATCACCATCGGGATTGCCGTTCAGCCATTCATCAACTCTCCAACACCTCCTCTGCTTACCGCTCAGACCAGTATTGTAGACACTCTGTCGAAGGACGTCTTTGATTAACGACTTTACGGGATCTTATACTACTGTTCTCCTCCAACACTGTTTACGAGATTCTAGATTATCATAATACTTGAAGCATTGCGACGAATACTGAGCTGAAGAGTGGAAGCGGCTTCTGTCACCTTTAGCAGCGAGGATTAGTCCATTCGCGATTCTAAGAATTTGTTAGTCGACGATACTGGCTGACTTATAGCGCGTATGCCGATCTGCTTATAACGGTTATGGAAGACCTCGCCATGGACGAGAGTAGGAACATCTTGTTTCTCATTGACGTCAACCCGCTTCTGGTGACGCCAGCGAAAGCCGTTTCGATTCAAGCCAGTATCTTAAAGTGTCTCCTCGCCTTCCATCCCTCCTCTCCTCCTCTGCGATGGGGTTACCACCTGTTTGACTCCAGCGTCAGCCCGTTACGATCAGAAAACAAGATTAAGAGGCTTCTTAAGAGGAGCGCCAGCTCGTATGGCGCAGCGTGTGAGGGTACGGAGAGTAACCGCAGCCGAGCCGCTAAGGACAGCGCGCATCGGCCGGTCTTCCTTCCCGTTAGAGAGCAGGATTTTTGCCGCTTGGCACGTGAACTGCAGACGCTGGCACACGCCGCGCGCAGCGATACCGCCGTAGCCGACAGCACTCGCGGTTCCGGCCAACATACTCTGTTGTTAACTGCAACTGCAGGAGCATGTAAAACAGAAGCAGAACCTCAAACTACGGCTCGTCTGTACAAGGAGATCGGCGGGGTTTCTGGTAACCAGGCTAATCCTGGATCTACATTTCCGGGTGACAATATGGGGAACATCTGGCGGACTCTATCCGATTTAGTGCAAGTTCGGTACACGTGGAGCCACTATAACGCTCGAAGCCCTCCCAGGACCACTCCCGCTATAGTTACTGCTGGTAGGGGGGGACAGCATAAGCGAACGGGTACAGCATCTGACGATGATATCGGTGAATATCTTAAAGGGGAAGACCGTTTGGGTTTGGAATCCAAGTGTGCGAATCACGTGGTCTTGTTTAGCAACATCTGGGAGAACTCGGCTGTAGCAGCGCAAGCTGCGGTTGCGGCTGAGGCGGCTGTAGCCGAGGGGCCGGCGGGACGCGGAGGAGAGTGGGCGGGTGCCGGCGGAGTGGCGAAAGTACAGGCGATGTTCGCACCACTGGGAATTCAAGTCTCGTGGGTTGACGTTGGCGCTACGGAACGGGTGGTGGGGCCAGCAGCAGTCGATTCGCGCGCGCAGGATCGGCGTGATAGTAACGAAGGGTGCAGATCGGCCGCACAAGGAGAGAGCGCAGCGGCAAGGGAAGCGAAGAACGCGGCGTTGAACGCGGGCTGGTCGCTCTTGAGATTAAAGCCGTATAGTTCAGCAGGAGGAGCAGACTGTCACTTAATATCCGCCGTATGGGAGGGAGTAGCAGGGAAAACGGAACCCTTAGCTGCTTGTCGGATGTTGCTGCCTTGCAAAACGGCCGCATTGGTAGGACGCAGTAATCCCGAGGTTAATGGTGGGGTTAAGGTTCTGGGTGGATTGGGTGGAGGGCAGGAGACTCTGCCTTCAAACACCCAGGTGCAATGCTTTTTGCGAGCGTACACCGTAGCTGCTGCGTCAGGCGTGGTAAAAGCCTCTTGCAATGCTTATAACGAGTACGAAGGCGAATACGACGGTGCGGAGGGTACAGTTTCAAGAGCCAGTAGGATTCTTTCCGGCAACGTGGAGCTGAATCTGCTAGACATCCAACAGAGGGTAGAGGGTCCGCGGACAGAAGCAGCTGAGGCGCTTGCAGAGTGGAGCGCTGGGGCTGGAGGGGCGGAGGGGATTGGTACGAGGGGTTCTGATAGGGCAGGAGCTGCTCAGGACGAGCCGTTTCTCCAGTACGTGCTTCTGGAAAAGAAGCCCGCGGTGACAGGCGGTGGTTTGGCAAAGGAGCCGCAAGGGGAGCTGTTTGGGGTTCTTCTGAGGTTTTTGGAGGGGGAGGGGCTGGAGGCGCATGTTTACGTGAAGAGCAAGCGGGTGTCGTGCGCGGGGATCATTGCGCCGTTCGCTGGCCATGCGGCCGTGTTGAGGATCCGCGATTGCCCGACTTTGCTGGGTCGCCAGCGGCGTAAGCCTGAGAAGCCGCTGAGGAAGCCAGAAGGGGCTAGGCAGAATCGCAGCCGGGGTTTCCCGGTGTCTGGCCGAGGCTGTGCGAAGCGGAGGCTCCAGGAACGGCATCAACAGGGTTACCAGCAGGAGGGTTACCAACAGGCGAAGATTCCCCGTAGTGGTGCTGGCGAGAAGAAGGGAAGGGCGGATGGGGAAGGTGGGAGTGGGAGAAAGACTGGTGTAGAGAGGGTGCGGCATAGACTGCGGAAGGGGGAGGAGGAGGATGATAAGGAGGTGGTGAGTGGCTGTGGAGGCGTGTGGAAAAGGGAGGAGGGAGAAAAACGACGTTCTCTGGAAGAAAGAAAGCGGTCAAGAGCGGAGGGATGCCGAGAGAGGAATGATAAGAAGGGTGGGAGGGTTGAGAGGGCTGAGAGGGAAGCTTATGGGACAGGCGGAAGGGAGTCTGAGTGGGAGGTTGGATTGCAGTTAGTAGTGTTTTCAGAAGCAGACAGGCAGGATACGTGGGGGGAGGCAGAGGGACGGTACGGGGGGTTTGAAGGGGGAGCGGGCGGGATGGAGGGGGACGCGGAGGAGGATGAGGGGTCGACGGGGGAGTGTGAGGGGGAAGGGGAGAACGAGACGGATTTCGTTATAGGAACACAGGCGTCGCAGGTTGCAGGGGAGGGGGATGGGCGGCAAGCCGTGGCAGGGGCGGTGTGGGAACGGAGTAACGGACAGGAGAGGGTGAGCGTGCATGAATGGGAGGGTTCTGAATGGGGCTTAGGGGCCAGTTTTGGCCAGAAGCGGCTGGGAAAGGCAGAAAGGGGACAAGGATTTGAGAGGGAAAGAGCGGCTGAAGGGGGTGGGAGTGTTGATATCTGCGAGAATGGCAGCACAGGTTACAATAACGATGCTGCTTGTAACGAGAAAACGGAAGGCTCGTGCAGGAGAGTCGCGTTGGGTGATGACGTGGCATGGGATGAAGCGAGGGAGTATGAGGAAGCTGAGCTGGAGTTCCTGCTGAGTCAGCAAGAGAGTCAGCCAGGTGGCGGGGAGACTGGGAGAACGGCATGTGGGGACCAGCTGACGTGTCATGAGGTGGCGCGAGCAGCAGAGGGTGGGGACCACATGACGCGGCTTACAGCCATGCTGACTCATACCTGGGCGGCAGCGAGGGGGGGACAGTGGAAGGTGCAGGGGGCCACGGCTGGAAGGACAGGAAGAGGGTTAAGAATGGATAAGATTAGAGCAGATGAGGAGAAAACAGAGCAGACTCAGGAGCAGGAGCAGGGCAGGGAAAAGGGAAGGAGAAGGGCGGTGGGGGAAGGACAAGGGGTAGTCAGAGCACAGGAGCGAGCACCAGGTGAAGAAGGGTTGCAGATGGTGCTGTGGGGTGGAGCAGGAAGGGACGAGGGAGGGGCTAGTGGGGAGGTTGGGAAGACGGAGGGTTCTGGCCGTGTTGATTTGAGCGTGGGTGTGTCTGGTGGGAAGAGTGCAGCGGAGGGCAAGGGCAATCAGGAGGGCGCGGGCGAGCGGATGGGAGAGCGCTTGGGGGAGGGTTTGCCAAAGGAACGGGACTCCACCGTGGATTTTAGACCCATCGAGCGAGCTGACAGGCTGGCAGAACGCGTGGCTGACGTGCTGCATGACGTGGCAGCGGATCTGTACAGTGCTGCCGTGGGATTGGTGCGGGAGGCGCGACGGTTGTTTCGAGAGGAGGCGGCAGGGAAGGGGAGCGGGGGAGGGGGGATCGAATCAGTTTCTGGGAGACAGATGGACGAAAGGGGGATAGAGACGCAGATGGAAGAGGGGGAAACTGGGCGAAGGATCGATGAGGAGGAAGTGGAAAAGCGGGTGCACGAGGCTCTTCTGTTGGGCAAGGCGGATTTGCAGCGGCAGTTCCCGTTGGGTTGCTGTGCTGACACACATGAGATCTCGAGACTAGGGGAGCCGGGGCCGCCCACACTGGGGGATCGAGTGCGATGGTGAGTGCACATTGGGTTGAGTGGAGCTTGGGTTGAGTCGAGGTGGTGGTGAGTCCAGTTAAGGGTATCTCTGTGCACAAGGCACCACCAGGTTCCCAGTGGGCCGCTGTGCTGATACACATGAGATCTCGAGACCAGGGGAGCCGGGGCTGCCCACATTGGGAGATCGAGTCTGATGGTGAGCGAGGGTGGTGGTGGTTGGAGTTGAGGTGGTGGTGGGTGCAGTTTGGGGTAAGTCTGTACACCAAGCATCAGGTTTCCGTTGGGTCGCTGCGCTGACACTCATGAGATCTCGAGAGCGGGGGAGCCGGGGCAGCCCACATTGGGAGATCGAGTCTGATGGTAAGTGAGGGTGGTGGTGGTTGGAGTTGAGGTGGTGGTGGGTGCAGTTTGGGGTAAGTCTGTACACCAAGCATCAGGTTTCCGTTGGGTCGCTGTGCTGACACGCATGAGATCTCGAGAGCAGGAGATACAGGACCGCCCACACTGGGAGATCGAGTCCGATGGTGAGTGGACTGGTGGTGGTGAGGTGAGTCAAGATTGCAGTGAGTGGAGGTGCTGGTGACTCCAGTTTAGGGTAAACTAGTGTGCAGGGCATCAGGTTCCTGTTGGGTGTGCTGACACACATGAGATCTCGTGACGGGGGGGCCGGGGCCACCAACGCTGGGAGATAGAGAGTTCGATGGTGAGTGGACTGGTGGTGGGTGGAGTTCAGGTGGTGGTGACTTGAGCTTGTGATGAGTCCAGTTTGGAGTACGTTCATACACAAAGCATGCATCAGATTTCGAGGGCGGGGGAGCTTAGCTTGGGCCTGCCCCCTGCCTCCCCGCGCCCGCTCTTGCCGTTCCCTCTTGGTTTTCCCCCTTCGTTTTCCTCCCCGCGCCCGCTCTTGCCGTTCCCTCTTGGTTTTCCCCCTTCGTTTTCCTCCCATGCGCCGGGCAGCTGCTCCCCTGCGGCCTCCCCTCGCAGACCTGTTCTGCCCCGATTCGGATCTTGACAATTCTAAAATTGTCCCTCACCCACACACATCCACCCCCGTCTCCCCCCACGCCCTGCCCTTTTTCTCCTAACCCCTTCCCCCCACTCTCCCCTCTTATCTCTCCCTTCCCAGCCACGAGCTGCAGATCCTGCTGCGTCTGGAGCTGCTGCCCTGCGACCTCCCCTCGCACCCCCTGGTGTCCCGATTCGCCAAGCAGACCCGCACGCTGCTGGAGAGGGTGAATCTGAGCCGAGAGGGCGGCGTGTTTGGGGAGAGCCTGGAGGAGTATGTTCGGCGACTGCTGTGCTCCAGGTGAGGTTCTTCCCAGGGGAGGTTCATTCAGGTGGGTTCAATGTCACTCATATCCCGAGAGGTGCCTTTCATTCGCCAAGCAGACCCGCACGCTGCTGGAGAGGGTGAATCTGAGCAAAGAGGGAGGCGTGTTTGGGGAGAGCCTGGAGGAGTATGTTCGGCGACTGCTGTGCAACAGGTGAGATTCTTCGAGGGGAGGCTCATTCAGGGGAGGCTTATCTATGTCCTCATAGATGCCTTGAAGAAGCAGACCTGCAAGTGCCCCAATTTCCTCTCGCTTCTCTTCTCCAAGCTTCGCTTCCAATGCAGCCCTTTCATTGCCCTTCCTCCACCCCCGACTTTCTGTTTTCCTCCCCTTCCATTGCCATCTCCCTTCCCCTCATATCTCGCGTGCTTAACCTCTTAGGTACTGTACCAAGTGCCCCAACTACCTCTCAGTTCTCTTCTTCAAGCTTCGCTCCCCCCTCACCGCCCCTCCTCCACCCCATGCTTCTGTTTCTGTGCCCTCCCTTTCCTAACCCTCCTCCCAGGTACCGCACCAAGTGCCCCAACTTCTCCTCTCAGTTCTCTTCTTCTCCAAGCCTCCCTTCCAAAGCAGCCCCTTCATCGCCCTTTAACCAACCCCTGCTCACGTCTATTTCCCTCTCTGTCCCTTATAACATTCCCTCTGACCCTCTCAGGTACCGCACCAAATTTCCCAACTTCCTCTCGCTCCTCTTCTCCAAGCTTCGCTTCCAAAGCAGCCCTCTCATCGCCCCTCCTCCCCCCCCGGCTGTAGCACGAGCCAACTACCACCCAGGGGCCCCAGAGCCCACTACAGCCGTCGATCCCCCAGAGGCAGGCGGGAATGCTGGCCCTCCCGAGAATGCTGCACGGGGAGAGAGTGCTGGTTCGGATGGGCATGCTGGGATGGAAGAGGGAGATAATGCTGCTGCGCACGCCACGATTGTGCGTGATCTGTCGCGTGCCTTTGATGCTGTGGCGGGGGGAAGGGAGGGACGGGAGGGGGAGGAGGAGGAGGAGCAGCAGGGGCAGGAAGAGGCTGCAGAAGGAGAGGAGGGTAAGGAGGATGGAGAGGTGGGGGAGGAGGAAGAGGGAGAGGTGGTGGGGGATGAGGAGCAAGAGGAGGGAGAGGAAGGCGAGGAAGGAGAGGAAGAGGAGGGAAATCTGGGAGTGAAGCAGAAGGAGGGAGAGGAGGAAGGAGAGGAGGAGGGAGAAGTGGGGGACGATGAGCAGGAGGAGGAGCAAGAGGAGGTGCAAGAGGAGGAAGAGGTATCATTCAATGGGGTATCGGTGCGGGTTCGATTAGGTCAGCAGACCAGTGAACGGTACAGAAGCAGAGGCATGAGCCGGGGTGTGACTATAGCGGGCTGCCAAAGCAAGAGCCAGAGTGTGAGTATAGCAGGGTCTGGCGCCCGTGGCCCAGTGCAACAGAGAGGTGGGTTAGGTCGATCTTACCATGTTTCTTCCACCTTCCAGGGGGAGAGGCAGGGGCAGAAACAGGGGGAGAGGCAGAGGGGAAGACAGGGGGAGAGGCAGGGGGAAAGGCAAGGGGAGAGACAGGGGGAGGGGCAAGGGCAGAGTTGTCAGGAGAAGCCACGGCAGCAGTCACAGGGGTTTCAAAAGCCACGAAACCGCCAGCAACAGCAGCAGCAGCAGCATCAGCAGCAGCGCCTGTGGAGTGAGGCTGGCGCGGAGTCTTCTGGCACTGCTGGTGCAAGCATGCGCAGCAGTGCTTTTGAGGCGCCTCTGAAGTCGTCTCAGTACTCGGGAAAATGCTCTGGTGGGGGGATGAATGTGCGGGGCAGTGTGGGGGCCACTGGGCGGTGCAGTGGTAGTGTGGACAGGAGGTCGGGTAGCTGTGCCCCTGCTGCTCGGGGTTTACTGGGACCAATGGGACCATACAGCCGCCGTGTACCAGCTGATAGCGCTGCTGCTGCTGCTGCTGCTGCTGCTGCTGCTGCTGGTGCTGCTGGTGCTGGTGTTGGTAGTGTTGGTGCTGCTGGGAGTGCTGGTACAGGAGTGCATGTCGGGGTCCCTCGTACTGCTCCTGGTAACGCCCCTGTGGACGTGGCGAATATGACCAATCGAGCGGCGAGGATTCTGAAAGCTGCAGCAGCTGCTGCTGGTGGCGGCACTGGCTTAAAGGTTACTGGAGCAGGCGTATCTGGTGCAGGTGTATCTGGTGCAGGTGTATCTGGTGCAGGTGTATCTGGTGCAGGTGCCACTGCATTTGCAAACCTGGGAAAGAATAGGCTTGGGACCCAAGGTCAAACATCCAACTGGCTTTCTAAACCCTCCGCCCAACAACCAATGCCGCCTCCTGCTCCTCCTCCTCCTCGCTCCCATCCTCTTGCCCGTCCCTCTGCTCGGCCCGAGTCGAAAAAAAGAAAGAGTCCAGAAGGTGGGAGGGGAGGGGATGGCGGAAGGGGAGGAGGAAGGGAAGGAGGAAGAGGAGGAGGAAAAGGAGGGAGAAGGGATGGTGAAAAGAATAACGACGCGGCTGACTGTGTTACCTCCTGCTATCGGGGTCCCTTGGGGGAGTCTGGAGGGGTGGAAAAGGAGGGAGGGCGAAAGGTGCCCAGATGCAGTGGAAAGTTTGTTGGTGATGTGGGTCGGAGTAGGAGAGGGGAGGGAAAAGAGAAGGGGGATAGGAGGGAGAAGAGGAAGGGGGAGACGGGAGAGGAGCGAAGAGAGGGGTTGGAGGTTGTGGGGGATGCTGCCTGGTTGGCTAGAAGACATGGGTTGGGGGTCGGTGGAGGGAAGGAAAAGGAGGGAGAGAAGGGGGGCCTGGGATTGAGAAGGGAAGGAGCAGCAGCAGGAGGAGGATTAGGAGGAGGAGGAGGGGGTGGAGAAGGTGGAGGAGGAGGAGAAAAGGATCCATACACTCGGAAAGTGGAGAAAACGTTAGAAAAGGCAGGTTTGAAAGCAGAACTGAAGGATAGGAGAAGAGAAGGCGGAGAGGGCTTAGGAAAGGCCAAGGGAGTCGGTGAACGAAGTCTTTACACAGGAGAGAGGAAGGGGTTGAACCATCCGTACATGGGTGAGAAGAAGACAAACAATGTGAGCCAGTTCTCCAAGTGGCACAGCTCCCTGCCGCCCAAAACCTTCCGCCGCCCGATGCAGCAGCAGAAGCTTCCGTTTGGCCTCCCAAGAAGCACTTCTGGTGGTGGTGGTGGTGCTGCTGCTGCTGCTGCTGCGGCTGCTGGGAAGCGTGCTGCTGGGTCTGCTGCCGATGGCGTTCTCGGGGATAGACTGAGTGGCAAGGGGGGCAGTGTGAGTAGCACTGGCGCCGCCACTGCTGCCGCCTCCGCCGCCGCCGCTGCTGCTGCTGCTACTGCAGGTGCTGCTGCTTCAGTGTCTGTGTCGGTGTCTGTTCCGGGGAGTCTTGCTCCAGATGCCTCGGCAGCTGCTTCCGTAGCTGCGCTGGCGGTTCGGGTGGGTGGGCAGGCCGACGGACCTGCGGTTCGGAAATCAGGCTCGGGCAGTGGAGGGCTCATGCTGATTGGTCGGCAGAGCAGCCTCGGCAGGCTGGTGTTGACTCAAGAAAGCAGCAGGGAAGGCGGGGTTGGGGGGGACCAAGCGAATGGGTCGAATCAGGAAGGTGATGCTGATGCTGATGCTGCGGCACGAAAAACTATTGATAATGGTCAAGACCATGAAGAGAACGGAAAAACTGGTGCAGCAAGCACAGCAGCAGCCACAGTACCAGCAGTGACGGCAGCAACGGCAGCAACAGCAGCAACAGCAACGGTTACCACATCGGTAACAAGGCGATGGGACCTTGCAGGGGCGTCTGAGACCACAGGAGGTGTGGAGTGCCCAAGGGGAGATGCACTAAGCGCTAAGCCTCCTGCTGCAGACATTTTCTTAGACTCCCTGGCAGACATGCTGCTGGGGGAGAATGGTGCCGCTGCCCCAGCGCCGCTGACTGCTACTGGGTGGATCAACCGTCGTCAGCCGTCCCTTGGGACTGCTACTGGTGGTGCCGCTGCCATTGCTGCTGCGAATGCGGCGGCTTCTGCTCCTCCTGCTGCTCCTGCTAGTGCTGGTGGCGCTGCCGCCGCTGCTGCTGTTCCTGAATCTGCCGCTGCTGCCGCTGATCCTTTCTTCGGGTCCCTGGCAGATATGCTGCTGGGGGGGAGTGATTCTGCTGCGCCAGAGCCGCTGACTGCTACTGGGTGGATTAACCGCCGTCAGCCGTCCCTTGGGGCTGCTAGTGATGGTGGCGCTGCCACTGCTGCTGCTGCTGCTGCTGCTGCTGGGGATGGGGGGAGAGAGCAGCAGACACAGAAGCAGGGAGGAAGCAGAGAGGAGGCGGAAGACAAGGTAGAAGAAGAGGAAGGAGCAGCAACGGTAGCAGCAGCATCAGCATCAGCAGCAGCAGTTACAAAGGGAATGCAGACGATATTGGGGGCGCCTAAAAAGGTAGAGCGGGGGGAGAAGGAGGTGGAAAAAGGGGGGACAGTAGGGGAAGGGGCTGAAACAGCAGGAGAAGCGGAAACAGCAGAATTGGCGGGAACAGCAGCAGCGGCAGCAGCAGCGGAATTGCGGATGAGCCTCAGGCGTGGACGCAAGCCCACGAAGCCTTGCAAGATTGAGCTGGGACGTCTCAAAAGGGTGGGGAAAGGGAAGGAGGTGGAAGAGGAGGAGGAAGTGAAGGAGGTAGAAGGGAAGGACGAAGGGAAGGAGATGGAAGGGAAGGAGCATTCAGGAGAAGAAGCCGAGGCGGTGGGAGCACGGATGAGTCTCAGGCGCGGACGCAAGTCTGGGAATCCTCGTAAGCTGGTCCCAGAGCGGCCTAAGGGGGTGGGGAAAGTGAAGGGGGGAGAAGTGGAACGTAGGAGGGGAGGCAAAGCCCAAGGGAAGGCGAATGAAGAATGTGAGAATGGAATAATTGGTTCCCCTCGTTGCACGCGGTCACGAGGGAGAGTAGAGGAGGCTTTTGAGGCGCCACAACAGAAGCAAGAATGTGAGAAAGGAAAGAATGGTTCCCCTCGCTGCACGCGGTCACGAGGGAGAGTAGAGGAGGAAGAGAAGGAGGAGGTGGAAGAGAAGGAAGAGGAGGTAAAGGGGGAAGAGGAGGAGCGAAGGGAGAGGAGAAGTGGCAATGGAAAGACGAGGAATTCAAATCAAGGGGCAAGAAAGAAGGGCGACGCTGCGGTTGAGGGTCCTTCCTTGCACCGCACTCGATCACGAGGGGGAGTGGAGGAATGTGAGAATCCGGGCAGGGGAATGGTTACACGACAGCGGATGGTTACGAGGGCTGGTATGCAGGGCATAGCTGGAAAGCGCGGGGTGCAGATAGGAGAGAAGAAGCGAGGGCAGGGGGTGAGGCGAGGAGTGGGAAGAGGAGGGAAGGGAAGGGGGGGAAGGGTGCGAGGTGAGAGAGGGGATAAGGGGGCGGAACAGGTGGAAGGGGGAGAGGGGGAAAGTGAAGTGGAAGAGGTAGGAAAGGAGATGGAAGAGGAAAGGAAAGGACAGGAGGAGAAGAGAGAGGAGGAAGCGAAGGGAGGGGAGGAGGAGAAAGGGGAGGATGAGATGGAAGAGGAAGAGAAGAGCGAGGAGGAAGGTCAACGGGAGGTACAAGCGCAGGGAGCTGGGAACGGGAGGCACAGCGAGGAGGAAGGTCAGGGGGAGGTATGGGAGCAGGGAGCTGGGTTGAAGGGAGGTGATAGAGGGAATGATGATGGGGGGAACGATGGGGAAAAGGGCGGGGGAAACGACAGTGGGAACGATGGGGAGAATGACGGAAAGGGAGGTGAAAATGGTGGGAAGGGGACAGAGGGAGCGGAAGAGCAAGGTGGGGAAGAGGAGGGGGGGAAGGAAATGGGGAAGGAAGGGGGAACTGCGGATGGGGAGATGGAAGAAGGGCATGGGAGTGGGGAAAGGGAAGGGGAAGGGGAAGAAGGGGAGGAGATGGGAGGAGAGGAAAGGGAACAGAGAGTAGAAGAGTGGGGAGGGAATGAGGGAGAGGATGCTAAGAAGGAAGAGAAGGACTTCAGGAGTGGGGAGAACGGAGAGTGTGAGAATCATGAGCAGCGGGTGGTGGGGAGAAAGGAGGAGAGGGAGAAGAAAAGGGCTGAGGAGGAAAGGGAGGAGAAAATAGAGGAGGAGAAACGAGAAGAGGACATGTGGGAGGAAAGGGAGGCAAGTATAGAGGAGGGGAGGACGGAGGACGAAGAGAAAGGAAGGGATGAAGAGAAGAAGTTAGTGGATGGAACTAATGGTGAGGGAGAGGCGGAGGCGGAGGAGGAGACGGAGGAGGATGGGGAGGCGAAGGAGAAAGAGGAGGAGGAAGAGGAGGAGGAGGAGAAGAAAGACGAGGAGAAAGATGCGGGGGAAGAGGAGAAAGAGGAGGGGGAAGAAGAGGGGGAAGAGGGGGCGAAAGAGGAGGCGAAAGAGGAGGATAGAGAGGCAGAAAACGAGAGGGAGGAAGAGGAAGATGAGAATGGGGAGGCAGCAGGGGTGAAAGAGGAAGGGGAGGAGGAAGGGACGGGGGGTGGGGATGGGTCGGAGGTTGGGGAAAGGGGCCAAGGAAAGGGAGAAGCTGCGGGTGAGGAGCAAGGAGATAAGGAAGATGAAGAGGAGGTAGAGGAAGAGAAAGGGGAGGAGGAGGAAGAGAAAGGGGAGGAGGAAGAGAAAGGGGAAGAGGAGGAGGAGGGTGAGGAAGGGAACGAGGGTGAGCAAGAAGGTGAAGGGGAGGAGGGTGAGAAAAGGGAAGAGAGAGAGAAGGCAAGGAAAGAAGAGGTGGAAGGAGAAGAAGGGAAAAAGGGAGAGGAGGAGGTGGAGGAAGGGGAAGAGGGAGAGGAAGTGGAGGAAGGGAAAAAGGAGGGGGAGGATTTTGAGGGGGAAAAGGGACAGAAGGAAATGAAAGAAGAGGTGGAAGAAGGGGAAGAGGGAGAGGAAGTGGAGGAAGAGAAAGAGGAGGGGGAGGGTGATGAAGGGGAAAAGGGAGAGGAGGAAGGGAAAGAGGAGGTGGAGGAAGGGAAAGAGGAGGTGGAGGAAGGGGAAGAGGAAGAGGAAGTGGAGGGAGGGAAAGAGGAGGTGAAGGAAGGGGAAGAGGGAGAGGAAGTGGAGGGAGGGAAAGAGGAGGTGGAGGGTGATGAAGGGGAAAAGGGAGAGGAGGAAGGGAAAGAGGAGGGGGAGGAAGGGAAAAAGGAGGGGGAGGAAGAGAAAGAGGAAGGGGAGGAAAGGGAGGAAGGGGAGGAGGGAGAGGAAGTGGAAGAAGGGAAAGAGGAGGTGGTGGAAGGGGAAGAGGGAGAGAAATTGGAGGGAGGGAAAGAGGAGGTGGAGGGCGAGGAAGGGGAGAAGAGAGAAGAGGAAGGGAAAGAGGAGGGTGAGGAAGTGGAAGAGGGAGAGAAGGAAGACAGAGAGGAGGTGGAAGAAGGGGAAGAGGGAGAGGAAGTGGACGGAAGGAAAGAGGAGGTGGTGGAGGGCGAGAAGAGAGAAAAGGGAGAGGAGGAAAGAAAAGATAAGGAGGAAGCGGAAGAGGGAGAGGAAGTGGAGGGTCAGGAAGAAAGGGTCCTGAACTTAGTGGATGGTATTGAGGAAGGGGAGGAGTGTGAGAGAGGGAAAGAGGCAGAGGAGGAAAGGGAAGAGGAGGTGGAGGAAAGGGAAGAGGAGGTGGAGGAAAGGAAGGAGGAGGCGGAGGAAGGGAAAGAGGCAGAGGAGGAAAGGGAAGAGGGGGTGGAGGAAAGGAAAGATAAGGAGGAAGGGGAAGAGGGAGAGGAATTGGAGGAAGAGGAAGAAAGGGTCGTGAACTTAGTGGATGGTATTGACGAAGGGGAGGAGTGTGAGAGAGGGAAAGAGGCAGAGGAGGAAAGGGAAGAGGGGGTGGAGGAAAGGAAAGAGGAGGTGGAGGAAAGGAAGGAGGAGGCGGAGGAAGGGGAAGAGGCAGAGGAGGAAAGGGAAGAGGAGGTGGAGGAAAGGAAAGAGGTGGAAGAGAGAAAGGAGGAGGCAGAGGAAGGGGAGGAGGGAGAGGAGGAAAGGGAAGAGGAGGTGGAGGAAAGGAAAGATGAGGTGGAGGAAAGGAAGGAGGAGGTGGAGGAAAGAGAAGAGGGAGAGGAGGAAGGGAAAGATGTTGACGGTGAGGGTGTGGAAGAAGAGCTCCTGATTGCAATGGAGGATATCGAGCAAGGGGAGGAGAATGCGGACGAGGGAGATAACGAGGAAGAGAGAGAGGAAGAGGGTCGGGAGATAGGGCAAGGAGAGAAGGAAGCGGAAGTGAAAGCGGAAGAGGGTCACGAGGAAGAGCATGGGGAGGAGGAAGCGGAAGAGGGAGAGGAAGGAGAGGAAGAGGGAGAGGAAGGAGAGGAAGAAGGAGAGGTTCAGGAGATCGAGGAGCGAATTGAGAAAGCGGGAGTTGGAGTGAGAGGGAAATTTGGAGTAAGCTTTGGGGAGAGAGAAGAGCAGCGAAATGGGGAAGGGCAAGAGGGAAGTGAGGAGGAAGAGGAGCAGGAAAGGAAGGATGAGTTGGCAAACGAGGGAGCGGAAGAGGAAGAGGAAGAGCGAGAGGGAGAGGCGAAAGAAGAAGAGGGAGGACTGGAGGAAGAAGGTGTGGTGCATCGAGCGTCAGAGAAGGAGCGAAGGGAGATGGAGCATACAGAGGATGTTGGAAAGCAGCAGAAGGGGAGGGAAACTGGGAAGGAGGGGGGGGAGACTGAGGGAAGTGGAGAGAAGCAGTGGGGTGAACAGGCGGAGGGAGAAGGTGGGGAGGGGGATGAGGGTGTGGGAGGGACGGTGGGATGCAGGAAAAGAACAAGGGAAGAGGGCAACTGGGGCAGGGGAGGGGGCGTGGAAGGGGAGAGGCAGCCTGGTTGTATGGAAGCTCATGGGGTGAAAGAGCGAGGAGAAGGGCTGCATGCAGGGGCAGAAGGGTTACTGAAGGACGGATTTGCAGAAGGGAAAGGGGGAGGAGCAGGAGAAGAAGCAGGAGCAGGAGGAGGAGCAGAAATTGGCAGTGCAAGGTCTCCTGTTAGAGAGAAGGACGAGGGGGTTGGAGGGAGGAAGAAGAAGAAACAGAAGAGGCGAGAATCTCAGGGCAACGTAGCAACAGTTGTTGAGTCGCCTCAAGGATCGTCTCAGCACACGAAAAAGAAGACAGTGCAGAGCGGCAAAGCAGCGGGTGTTCATTCCCCTCAGGGATCGTCTCAGCACACAAAAGGGAGGGCAGTGCAGAGGAATGTAGCAGCACTTGTTGATTCCCCTCTGGGACCGTCTCAGCACATGAAAAAGAGAACAGTTCAGAGCGGCATAGCAGCGCTTTTCCTGAAAAGGTCTGGTAAGAAGCCTGTGAGTCAGTCGAGAGATGGGGGTGTGGGAGGGGAGGGCGCGGGTGTGGCGGATATGGGAGCAGGGGGTGCGGGAGTGGGGAGCGTGGGAGAGGCAGAGACAGGGAGCCTGCGGCAGGGGGTCATGCAGGAAGCAACGTGTGGGGAGGAAACAGCAACGGGAGTGAGTGGGGTGGCTTGTGCGAAGGCAGGTGGGGGGGGTGCAGGAACAAGGACGGGAGGGGGTGGTGCTGGGGGAAATGCAGATGCGAAGGCTGGAGGGGGGAGTGCAGGAACGAGGACGGGAGGGGGTGGTGCTGGGGGAAGTGCAGATGCGAAGGCAGGTGGGGGGAGTGGGGGGGCAAGGACGGGTGGAGGGAGTGGGGGAAGGAAGACAAGGGGGCGGTTGCAGGATATTCGACAGTGGTTGGGAGTGGTGGTGGATGGCGGGAAGAGGTTGGAAGAAGGGAAGGGAGAGAGAGGAGGGCTGGAGGGAAGGAATGGAGAGGGACAGAGAGGAGGGCAGGGAGGAGGGGATGGAGAGGGACAGAGGCGAGGGGATGGAGGAGGAGAGGGAGGAGAGAGAGGAGGGCATAAAAGGAAGAAAGCGTCGAAGGGGGGAGAGGAGCAGGAAGCGTTGGAGAGGGGAGGGCAGGAAGAAACCGGGAAGGGGCTTGCTTTGAGGCGCCTCATATCACAGGAGGAGTGGCGGATGGAGCCTCAGGCCGTATCATCTTCCCTCAACAGCAACAGCAGCGCCGCTGGTGCTGCTGCCTCTATCAGTAATTGTGCTCCCACCACCACCAACAACAACACCACTACCACCCCCAACAGAAACGCCAAGCGTGCGTCCAGAAAAAGTGCCTCTAGAATCAAATCTGGGGCTGCTGGGACTGCAGGTGCTGCTCGGCCTCCTCCCTCCAACCTCTCCCACGAGCTCACTCCTCAGAAGCGACGAGCTGACTGCGTCTCCGCAGTAGCTCCTTCCTTCTCCGAGCACTCCTGCTCGCCTCCTCTTCACACTCCTTCTCCTCCTCCCTGGCCAGGGTTTGAGAAATCTAGAAAAACAGTTACTTCTTTCTCGGACCACTCCTGCTCGCCTCCTCTTCATGACCCCTCTCCCCCCTCCCACACTCCCTCCTCACCTTCCCATCGCTCCTCCCCTCCTCCTACTGACGCCAATTGCTGCACTCCTCGAAAGCGGCAAGCTACGAGTGTGCAATCCCGTTTACCTCCCTCTCCCGCTTCTTCTTCTCCCCCTGCTCCCTCTCCTCCCCCTGCTGCCCCTGCTGCCCCTGCTCCCACTCCTCCCTCTTCTCCCTCTTCCCCCCCTGCCCCCCCTGCCCCCCCTGCTCCTTCTGCACGTGGGAAGGCCTTGGAAACTCCTCTAAACCCCTGTGAGAAGGGTGCAGCTGAGGGATCATGTGAGAAGGAGAATGGTTCTCTAAACAAGCTTGGCCCTCTGCCTTCCCTCTTTCACAGGCGCCAGCAGTCACGTGCCATGCTGCCTGCCCCACTCGCTGCCCCTCCTACTGCCCCAAACACCGCCACTCCCGCTGCCTCTCCCATTTCCCCACCCACTGCCCCAACCTCATCTCTGGACATGAACACTGTTCCTTTCACCCATCCAGCCGTCGCACCATCCGTAACTGCCACAGCACCAGCCCCTCCTCTCGCCTTCCCTTCCGTTCCTATCACTCGCCCGCATTTTGTGCCGCAAGAGTTTACGAGCCTACACGTTTTCGCCGACCCTGCCACCGTGCCTGTCACCGTGCCTATCACCAAGCAAGCTGCCGTACCTGGTGCTGCCGGGCCTAGTCCTTGCACTCCTGGTCACAAGCTCGGGGGAGGCTCGGGGAAAGGTGGTGCGGGGAAAGAGGTGTTAAGTGGTGTGGGAGTATCCAGGGCAGGTTTACCTGGTGTGGGTGTATCTGGTTCCGGTGACGCCCGGGAGTCAAGGAGTGAGGGGAGTGGGGGTGTGGGTGAAGGGGTGGCGGTGGAAAAAGGCTCGCTGGGACTGAAGCGAGTGACTGCTGCCGATCGTGAGCAGACGGGCGGTGATGCTTCAAGGATGAATGGAGCTGAGAAGACGCGGAGAGGGACGGGAGGAGGCATCAAGAACGATGTTCAGAAAGGAGAGGTGGAAGGGGTTTCAGGAGGAGGGGCGATGGAGACAGGAGGGAGGCGAGAGGTTTCAGGAGCCGCTGTTCGGTTGATGGGGTTCAACTTGATGTTCTCTCAAGCACCAGTCACCACCACCACCCCTGCTTCTTCTGGGTCTGCAAGCCCTTTTGGATCTGCTGCCACTGC